GTCACTGGGGCTCAGGCTCTCAGCTTGTCAGGAGTATTCCGGCGCCTCTTATTGCACGTTAAGTCCGGAGTTTCCTTTATATTCTTGACGCTCAGCCCTTTAAGGGGTCGACTCTGTTGAATTGAGTTCGGCCTATGCATCGTATTCGCATGCAGCGGGCCTGCAAATAACAACTTGCGATGGGTACCTAACGGTGTCAATTAGCCCCGGAGACGTTGGTGACCCCTGTGCAGTGTGAGCTGCATTAGCTCAACTCTCGCGGCTGGGAGGATCCGAAAGGTTGCGCATCATCTGATCTCATTCCAAGTCAAGCTTGACCTTTATTGTCGCTTAGCTTGAGTCAGTCAAGTCAACGGCTCCTAGTGCCGACTCCTGCCGACCGGTGATTATCCCGTTTATGTGCAGTCTGGACTCTGGACTCCGGACATCGTGGATCCGTCAGCCCATCCCTATCCCTGATGACCGTGCTCGCCGTCCTGCGGACATACGCTCAAGCAGGCGAAGACGGTCTTGATTCGAAGACTGGCCACGGCTGAAGCAAAGCCGACAGGACTGAGCAGGTGAAGTCGCCAACCACGAAAGCCAGTCCCTACGGAAGGTTGCCGTCGTCTCGTGGTCTGGCATACGGGCTATTGCTCCCGAGAGTGCACGAGCCAAATGTCGACGATAGGGCGCCATATAGGATCGCCCAGCGAGGCTGAAGGCTGCTCCCGGATGGAAGCGAGCGAATGCAATCTCCCTGTCGTTGTACAGATCTGCAGGTCCAAGTTTCATGTCGCGATAGTCAGCTGCAGCTGGTCAGCGAAAGAGATGGTGCCAATTGACGAATCAACAGAAGCTTGGGTGTTGGAGCAGGAAGGCAGCTGAGATGGGAATCGCGATGCGGGGGAGCTCCGAGTCACCTGACGCCGTCACAAGAACTCCGACGGAAGCTCTTCCCTGTTTCTTGCCTCATTTCCATCATCTTCAGCGCCAATCGCATCATCGCTTTGCTTTTTCTGCTCTCCCTTTATTTACCCTGTGTATGATCATTCTGTATAACATATCCCGCCGCATTGCCTAGAGAACTCCGGCTTTGGACGTTCCCCGCACCTTCCCGTCAGTCCAGATTACAACCGCGTCAGAAGATCCCCAAACCGTGGCCGAGAAATAGACATCCCTAGACATCCAATTCCCTTCAAAAAGGCCCCGACCTCAGGAAAGGCCGCGGTCGGAAATTAGAGGTTTGCATCCTCTCAACTGGGTGATGCTCTGATTGAGTTAATGGTGCAATCTGGCAGTTATGTCACTCCCTCGAGTTTCATACTTGGAATCGTGGGAAACCAATCCAGCATCAGCCCGACGTCTTCAAGACCGTGAACAGAGCCCTAGGCGCGGTGCTTACCGTGAGGATGACGAAGAATCGTATCACGATCTCCCGGACGCTTCGGTAGCGTCCTCATTTCCGTCCACCACTGATCTTCGCTCCTCGCGGCATCGCCTGAACTTCAACCCATACGGCGGCTTGGGCTGGACTCAGGCTGTAAGGGACAGCGCGGATGATGAAGTTAACCCTATCCCAAGAGCTGCGTCTCTTGTTTCGAGACATAGCCAGGCCGAACGAGCGGCGGAAGCGGCACAAGCAAGGCAATCCGCCGAGTTGGACCCTGATAGCTGGGGGCATTTAGAGACGACTGGCGCTTTTGAGGTCAGCAGTGTAAAGCGAGTTGTCCAGGTGGCTGTTGCCGTGGTATACTGTTTCTTTGCCGCGGGAATAGTGTTCGGGTTCGCAGCGATCAAACCTGTGTTCATTAGCGAAGGGGTTTACAATCAATATTGTTTGGATGAAGAGGACATCTGCTATCGGCAGGAACTCAGGTAGGCACTCAAGCTTGCGCAAGGTGCGATGACTGACATTCTGCAGTCTCAACCTCATGTTCACGATCGCGGCCGTAGCCACAAATGTATCTGCGCTCCCAGTAGGGACTATTCTAGACACGTATGGCCCACGAGTTTGCGGCATTGTTGGAAGTGCTCTACTGTTCATCGGAGCTCTTCTTCTCGCCCTGGCAAACCGCCTGCCGTTCGACGCCTACGTCCCTGGTTACCTACTGTTAGCATTGGGAGGCCCCTTCATTTTCATTTCATCTTTCCAGCTTTCAAACACTTTCCCAGCGCGCTCCGGGCTGATCCTTTCTGCCCTGACGGGTGCTTTTGATGCCTCCAGTGCTCTGTTCTTGATCTTTCGGATTATAAATGAGAAGACAGATGGCGGCTTCTCGTCTCAAAAATTCTTCCTGATTTACCTTGTGGTCCCTGTACTAATAATAATCGCACAGTTTTCGGTCATGCCGAAAACCTCATACAAAACCGCTGGAGAACTTGTCCAACAGGCGGAAGATCACATTATCGCGGAGGTGACGGATCGGGTTGACGACCACATCCTCGACCGCGACGAGGGCGAGAGACAGCGAAATGATCGCCGGATGCATCGACAAGACATTGTGAGCAAGATCCAGGACCTTCTCGCCGATGATGACAACGCATCTACGGTGAATGATCTTGGCTTGGCACTACATGACGGCCGGGACGTCAACGAGAGCGAGATCAACCACACTGAGCCAAAGCCGGATGTCCCGAAAAAGCACACCACTGGCGGCGTCTGGGGTGCAATGCATGGATACTCTGCCATTGAACAGATCCGCTCCCCATGGTTCATTCTCATCACCGTATTCACTGTACTGCAAATGCTACGCATCAACTACTTTGTCGCATCGATCAGACAGCAATATGAATGGTTACTCGGCTCGGTTGAAGACGCGAGGCATATTAACGAGATATTCGATTTCCTACTGCCTCTTGGTGGCCTTTGTTCCGTTCCATTTATTGGAACCGTTTTGGACACGGCCAGTACACCCTTCGTTCTCTTCGTCCTGGCGGCAATTGCAACCTTGATCGGTGGGCTAGGCTGCATTCCCAACAGTTATCTTGCAGCTTACGCCAATATAATACTATTCGTCATCTACCGACCGTTCTACTATACGGCGGTGTCCGACTACGCCGCCAAGGTGTTTGGATTCCACACCTTCGGCAAGGTCTACGGGTTGATCATCTGCGTTGCAGGCTTAGGCAACTTTTCCCAGGCAGGCCTCGACGCGCTGACATTTACCGTCTTCGATCGTAATCCGATACCAGTTAACCTCATCCTGACTGGCCTCACGGCCGTGGCCGGGTTCACGCTCATGATATTCGTGGGGCGCAAGGCGGCCGTCATGGCGGCCAACGAATCCGGACCTGGTCCAGCGCAGGTAGAAACTTCCACCTTAACTCCGAGCTACAATGGCGTTGCGACGCAAGATTGGGAACGGCAACCTCTTCTTTCGCCGCGCTCGATACCCGCCCGGCCACGGCCGCAGTCGCCTACATACGGGAGCGTGAGGTCTCGTTGAGAAGAACCAGCATATTGTCTTCCGCACTTCCACTCCTTTACACTTTTGCGACCAAGCAAGTGAAATTGCTTAATCTCACTGGACCTGGTCGTTATCTGCGCGGACAGAAACTACGCTATAATACTATTGCTATGACTTCGATGATTGATGTCTATACGCCGTTTCAGCCTGTTGTTTGTCTTTTTTTCTTCGTTCTGCAACATTAGATTCTAGCTAGCATACTCACTCCACTGCATCTGGAGTTGTCTGGAATATAGAAATGATACTATTTTCTGGTGATGCGAAGGGGAATACTTAGTCAGGAGCCACGGTGTAGAATACTCACCCGTTGTGACTCATCGACCTTGAGTTATAAGCAGACCGGAATACTGGCCCATTGATCCTATCCTATCGACCTATTGCCCACGGAATACGAAGCCGTAAATATCAGCCCTAGCAACTGAGTTACTTACACTATATGCCCGTGCTGACAACCCAGCTTAGGCACATCCCTCCACATAGTCTCAGGTCCAACACCGGCAAAGACTATTTAGTGGTGTGCCGGTAACGGTCTCTGCAATCCGATCCATTTATCCCCATGTCATGTATATATGCCTCCAGTACAGTGGACACAGGCCGCTCGCTATACAGAGCGAATCGACAAACCGACAACTCCCACCATCCTTTTTCTTACCTGCGAAGATCCATTCTCCTGAGGGGTTATAGCGACCTTGCTTGAAGTTATGAGGGGACTAACTTTCGATGATACGTTGGTAGCGTAGTGTTTGATGCGGCCATGACTCGGAATAAGTTAGGATAGGGTAAGCAAGAAAGAAAGGACCGGTGTGTAGAGATTTTTATAGGTGATATCTGCCCTGCTTTTGTCTTTTGAAGAAACAGATGCAGAGAAGAGGAGGGCCATAGGACCATTACGTACCTATAGTAAGCATGTTGGTGATAGATAGGTTGAAGGTTACCTAGGCAGAGTATCGCGCTGCTGAACCCATCAAGATATATGTAATGGCACATAGCCGGTGGATTCGGAGTCCGTCTAACTAGGCACCAAACTTAAGAACAAACCGCGCTCGTTTTCTACTCACGAGCCGAAGGCTGTCTCCCAGAAAGGGCAATACAGACAATATCTGACACCGGCCGTTTCATTATCAAGTTGTAGTTTAATATGTAGCCACTCAAGATGATATTCTACGGGCTGGTGGCACATTTTATTCGAATATATAGATATAATTCCCTCTCCCGGGAAAAGGAGGGTCGGCTGGCTAGCCAGAAGAGGTAGTCCACGCTCCGTTTTTCAGACAGCTAGACTGGCCGGGGTACCTCGAATTGGTCAGGTCCAGATCAAGTCTTCATCTGTAGCTTGCCCTATTTCCACGGCCACGGGGTGCAGCTTTCTGACGACAGCCGGCATAGGCGAAACTCGACCTCGACCAAGGTATGGCTCTATTTTGAGCGGAACCGTTGTGGTTGAGGCAGACTGAGGCGACAACACGCAGGCGCCAATTGCCTTTCTGCTTGATGTGTTTGTCGAGCCGAAGCCGAATGGGCGTGCTTTGGAATATCTCAATTCCGAGGGGAAAGGGGAGACGGCCTCTTGAAGTGACAGTCTTTGTTCCGGTTGATCAGGTCATCTCGCAGAGTTCCCAATTCGAGTCAAGCCAGCAGGGGAAATTCGGGATTATCCACTAGAGCGTCAACCCTCACCCAGACTGTCTCTGATATACTAGCTCAGTCTGCCAAGTTGCCTTACGCCTATAATCCTCGACAGCACCCCACAGCTCCATTCCTGGCTTATCGCAAGCCATGGAGTACCATGCCACTCGAGCCAGATACTGTTTCAAGTGATTATAGGACGCAACTCTGTTGATTTCGGCGACGCTGCTGAGTGTGGCGATGAACCATGCTCGGTGAGGAGTCTGCGTTGCCGCAATCCCGCCGAGCATAAGAATCCAAAGGAGAACAGCCTGGCCGTTGGGCGTGTCCCAGAGGCGGAGAGTAGTATGGGCGGAGATTGCAGGGAGAAGTGTATTATAGAGGAGTTCGGCGACGTTTACGAGCGGCGAGCTCTGCGCCGGGAGAGGTAGGATAACCCCAACGCTGTAGATAAGGGTTGCGAGGCGGAAGGATTCGTATATGATATCCTCGGGCTGGGTGCAGATGCTGTCTTGACCGGGAAGGGCTGCACGAGGGACGGAGATGAGGTTGTAGTGGATGAGATTGCGTTGGTCGGCGACTAGGCAAGTGTCATAGCCCTTTTCACCCTTGACGTATTTGTCGACGAGGGCGATATACGTGTTCATGGCACAGATGATTTCCGCGAAGATGCGCGGAAGGCCAAGTTGTTGGAACTGAGCGTGGTACTGGTCTACCTCGGAGTCGGTGTACTCTAGGAGGTCTTGCATTGTCTTGCCCCTGCGGCTTGGCTCCAGAGGAACGAAGGGGAATACTGGGCTCCCAAGAACGGTGGTTGAGGTTACGACATCGGAGCTTGGCTGTTAGTGAGGTCGTCCATAAATAGCATGAGCCAAACTTACAAGGATATCACCGAAGCCAGACCAGGGAGCTGAATCTTATCAATTCCGCCTCGCAGGTTAATCATCTGTATCAGGCCTCCAATGTGGACGAGGTTCGGCCGAAGGCTACCATACACACCAAGCCACTGCAATCGCTGCATCGGGGCAGTAAACGGCGGGGGAGGAGACTCAGCCAAATCATCATCTGCCTTGTTATGTGCCATGCAGACGACACTCCAGATTACGGAATCGCACACCGCACGCGACGGATTGTCTATCTCCCTACTGACCAGCTTGATAGTCTCCATTTCGACTGTTTCCAGCATACGCTGCTTGCGTGCATGGAACATCTGCCGCGGAATCCAGCCGTGCAGCGCTTGAACGCGCATATGTGAGAGAGCGCCGAACAGGAATGCGGTAAAGAGCGTCTGGTCGGATAGCGACATTGGGAACCACGATTTCATGTTCGCAATGGATGGTCCGGGGGTAAGACCGGGCCAGAGGCATGATAGACCTGGCAGAGTCAGTCCAGCACTAGGGCAATATGCTAGCGAACGTACAGTACTCCTCCGAGGCCCGGATGAGCTCTGGCTCATATTTTGTAGTATAGACTCGAAATGGATCAAGGCAGCCGGCGCCGATGGCTTCGATGTATTCTCCTGGGTACAGAGGATTGGGCCCGTCTACTCCTGGTAAGCCACATCGGCAGCCCTCCTGACCATCGCATTGTTCTCGACATGTATGCGCGTTTGTAGCCGGTATAATTGTCCGAGGAACAATCGACAAAGTTGGTTCAGTCGTCTGCGGCGGGATGCAAATGGGCTGTGCGGGGTTTGCAGAGCAATTACACTCTGGAGAAGAGACAGAGGACGGCGGTGACGGACTCGACGAGGCATCGGTAGAAGGAGGATCGATCTCGACAGCGGCATCGGCGTTGGGGTCCGCGGAAGTGGCAGCCGGAGGAGGAGGAGGGTAGGCAGCCTCAACGGCGGAACCGGCTCGGTCCTTGGTCTGGGTTGAGAGCCATTTCCCAACGTGGGCGCGTACCATGCGTTTAATGTCCAGTCGCTCTGTTTCCGAGGCCGGTCGGGCGTTGATGAAGTGAATGGTGCCGTCCTTGCGGCCTTGAGGACTGGGCTTTGGAGGCATGGCTGGGCCCTGTCCGTCGACAGTCAAACTCGTCAAGAGTAGACAATCGAGCTCAGGGGCTGGATGGATGCTGGGGGCAGCATCCTGCTTTTGGAGCAGTTGAGGAGAGGAGAGCCAAGGTGAGGAGAGAAGAGGGAAAGGCAGGAAGGGTGACGTTGAAGATCAAACGGGTTTCGGACTTGCACAGAAGGAGGCCTCGATCACTTCCGCACGACGGCACGGGAGGGATCCTCTGACTGGCAGCCGGTCAATCCGCCAAATTACCGTAATTCGTCCATTTCTTCATTTTCGCCAACGTTGATCAGTGGGGGCGGAGGGCCCATAAGACACAAAGTACTGCCCGGCGCATCCCAGGCACGCTGATGATTTCACTGGTGTTTCTGCTTGCCAGGGTTCTTATAAGTATGTAGCTGGCTGACCTGCATGCCCAGGAAAATTATACTTTTGTCACGGAATAATTGCATTAAACGAGAACCTCAGCTAGCTGCAAAAGGACATCATGAAATGGTCAGTACGAACAAAAGGACGAAGTGGACTCCATGTCCGGCGGCCCGAGCAGAAGCACAAATCAACGCAGCGAGAGAGCTCTAGGGGACCCGCAAAAGGCACCAAAAGGTACAATCGGGCAGTGTCAACGCGGAATACGACTTATGCGGTGTTATTTATGTTGTCATTATGCTGCTCTATACCGCAAACATCAATCCAGCTCAATCAACGGGTACTTGCCTCCCTCCCCAGTGACCGGATCGTAGAACTTCTCCAACGCTCCCTCAACGGCCGCCATGTACCCGAGCACCTTCTCCTCTTGCCATCTCCTGCCGACCACCTGGACAGCCGTCGGCAGCCCCGCCATCTTGGCCGCATCATAGTGCTTCCAGGCACCCCGCGCCAGAGCGTGATTGGCCCCGAGCTGCTTCAGGACTGTCCTGTAAGGGGCCGGCAGGGCATCCTTCTTAGGGTCAACGTGCGACACCGGCAGTACGCCGGCGCTGTAGTCGAGCAGGTTCCAGAGGAAAGTGTATCCACACGACGAGACGGCATCCTTCATCGCCTTGTGTGGAAGGGCGGGAGTTGCGTTGACCGGGCACAGGATAAAGTCGTACTGCTGTGGCTCTGCGTCCCACCAGGCGTGCCAGGCTGAGCGGAAAGCCTCGCGCTTTGCGACCAGCTTCCATTGCTGGGCTGCACTCTTCGGGCCGAATGCCCGGATCAATGCCGCCCATTTATCGTCCCGCCGAACATACCGCACGAAGAGGTAGTAAAGGTATCGCAGAGGACGAGGCAGGTTGGCAATCAGTGAAAGTTGTGCGGCGCCAGGATCGGACGGCTCGAAGCTGTAAAAGTGCGAGTTGAATGTTTCACAGCCATCGGAGTTGAGCAGTTGAGAGGCAAGGTGAAGGCCAGTAAACGGATCCGCAGTCGCTGGAGGTGTGATCTCGACAACTTCATGTCCGGCGGCGGAGAGAGCAGCAGCGGTGGTCGCGACGGCGCGGTGGATTGCCGGCGTTGCGGGAATGACGCCTGAATTGGTCAGTATGGTACTTCACCCTGTGACAAGGACCATACCATCGTATGCCATCAACCCAACCCTCAACCTCTTGCCTTTGGCCTCGCTCTCCTCATCATCCCGCCAGACAATGGGGTGGACGGTGTAGTCGTACCTCCACGGCTTCATGCTGATGATCGACCGGGTGAAGTAGGTCAAATCATTCAACGTCCGGGCCATGGGACTGAAGACACTCGCCACACCCTCTTGCCCTGCCATGCTGGTATTGACTCCATTTTTTGGCCAGCGACCGGTGCTGCAACGAAGGGAGTAGATTCCGCTCCATGCAGCAGGGACCCGGACAGAGCCCGCAACATCCGAGCCGATGCCGATGCGACCACCCAGTGCGAGCAAAGCGCCTTCTCCGCCGGTTGAGCCACCGGGAGAGTACTGGGGTACATGAGGGTTAAGACACGGACCCCAGAGCGCGTTGTCCGACTCAAACGAGAGAAGCGTCACCGGGAGCGCCGTTTTCGCATATGGTACGGCCCCTGCAAGCTGTCAGTCTTGTCCGACAAGCACAAGGGCAATACCAACCCGCATCTTTCAAAAGTCTCACCAAGGGCCCGTCTTCCGCGTACGGCTTCCCTGCCAGGCGGGAATACCCCAGCGAGATGTCAAAGCCCTTGACCTGGATTGAGTCTTTCAACGAGACGGGGACTCCAGCCAACGGGCCCTTGAGGTTGACCTCTGTCTGGGCCCAGGTTTCCGCCTCCGGAAGCAAGATTTCCGTGATACAGTTTGTCTTCTCTTGTGCTTTCACGGCAACCTTGCCGTAGGTCCGAACAACGTCGGTTGGGGAAAGGGAGCCATTATGGACGTCTTGTACGAGCTCCTCAATTGGCTTGCTGACTATTGTTTTGTCGGCCGGTGTGAAGGCGGCATGGTACTCTGGAGGCAGAGAGGCGAACCGGGTAGCTCGTTCCTGGCGCTTGATGGTCCTACATGGGTTAGCAGCCACTCCAAAATCAGGTACCGTGGTCTTACCGGACACGGCGATAAGTGAAGTAGTCAAACGGGGGAAGCATCGCGTTCTCCGTTCAGCGCACAAGAAGCGACACTGGAAAGAGGGGTAGAGCCGGCGCTGCGCCCTTTATATGCGTGCGGAGGATGCGGAGATGCCAGCGATAAGTCCCGCCGATAAGCGCCTCGGGGCACCAACCGTCAAGATCCGGGGTTCCAACGGTCAAACGAAGTTGAAGAATTCGGTGCTCTCCTTTTGAGAATGAGCGGAAAGACTTGAGGATATCTCTCTTTAAGTGATATCGTGGAGAAAAGAAGATTTCTCCCAGCGATACCCGACTCGAAGCAAACGGCTGGTTCCTAATGCGGAAGGTCCTGCCGGCGAGGGTCGGGGATTCTAGTTCCGCTGCTCGGTTGGAGTTGTTCTTCAACTCACTCTCCAAGTACCTTACGAAACTGACAACGGACGTCGCTAATGTTTTGTGAACTGTGTCTATCCTCGAGTGTCTTCTATCATCATATCGCATATTCTACCATCATCATGCCTTTGAAGACCTCGAGACCAGCACGATTCCAGGCAGCTCCCCACCCGAGCCCACCAATATCTGCTTTGATCATCATGGCCATCAAGAGCACGCCCAATTCCTTTCAACCAGAGCCGCCCAAGCAATCATCAACTACGGGCCGACAACCCTCAACTCAGCCCGCCTGCAACCAATTATGCGCACATAACCACCAGACCACGGCCGCGACAGCCGCAATGAAGATCCCGATCAATGCAAATCACACACCTCCATAACGCGCTCTTCCGTCGTTTTCGCTGTTGGCTGGTGAGCCAGTTATCTCTGCGTCATGGATACATCAGTTGCGACATATTGGAGCTGGGGTTGGGAATTGAGGGCGTACGGATGCTACTTTTCCTTTGTTGGGGAACGCACTTCCTCGTCTTGATGAACGGCGCCCGAGAAGCGCTGCCAGAAAAAGGGGTCTCGACAAGGGCCATTGCGTGGAGATTGGTAGATAATTCGTACCGGTACGAATTCGAGATACTGGAGACGTGTCAACTCAGAAGGTGATTCGTTCTGCTATATACGCGGCTATCTGATCTGTACGCGTCGTCTGGTAGGATTCTGGCCTGAGGTAGGTAATAAGTCGCGTCCGCGTGATGAACGAACAACGACAAGAGGGCGCCAGGCCGATGCGATTCAACAATCGACTGTCAACTGGTTGGACAGACTGCACAGCGGACCCATGTCTATCCCCAGATCGGTCGGTTGAGAGAGAACGCACGCGCGAAGCCGAGGCATTGTTACTATAAACCACGACCAAACCCAAAGCGCGAGGGAATCTGCAGCTCCGCATGCTCCCTACACTCCAGCCATCAGGCACAGTAGCGTGCACATTCTAGAGGTAGGTCTGGCCGTCAACTTTCAAGGTTGGGCATTCCTACCGGCGACCCACTTCTGCATGCAATGCAAGGCACTTGCAGGGTCTTGACCATGTCTCTGGAGTCTAAATTGTATGAGTTGGGGAACTTCAGCGGATAGTTCGTGATACCTGCCAAATTGCTGCTTCACACTTCAATCATCCGGCACGATCTCCATCTGATCATCTGAAGATCGGGCCGAGCATTCGGTGCAACTTTCTCCAGTTTACCACCTAACATTCTTCGCGACGTCAAAGTCAAGATAGTACGGAGTATACATCATAATCATCAGTCATATACCGCATTAGTAAGTACATCTCCCTATAATAAGCCATAACCATCATGTGCGTGAATCATAATCATAAGCATAAAAAGAAGCCCTAGTCCCATGCATTCGGCAGGAATACCCAGCCCAACGATCTCGCTGTCCATCTCTCCAAGCAGTACTCGCGAGAGTCTCAAGCTCAAAGCCATCACTCTGTCGTCGGGTCGTCATCACTTTCAGAGCAAGGCAAAGTCCAAACCACCCATCCTCAAACCCATCGCCCTCAAACCCATCGCCCTCAAACCCCTCCATAAACTCAAGCAACATAAACCCTCCTCGGCCTCCTCACACTCCCCCCACCACTCCGACTCCTCCGCACATAATCCGCATCCCCATCCCCATAAACCGGACTCCGTCGCCTCCGGCGATGCCGCACCGTCTCAGACGTAGAAGCAGGATACCCCGGGTAAATCGGCGCGCCCGTCTTCTCGGCCTCGTGGATCGTCCGCTGCGTCATGCAGCTCCGCCACAGCCAGATGAGCAGCAGCGTGCCGGCGATCGACCCGATCACGATGCCGGCTATGGCGCCCCCGCTTAGGCTGTTCGGGCAGTTGCAGGATGTGGTTGTTTGGCGGGTGTTTAGTGTGGGTTGGTTTGGACTTGAGGGTTTTGAGGTGGTGAGGGTGGTGAAGAGCTGGAGGGGGGACAGGGCGAGTGGGAGGGGAATCGGGGCCTGGAAAGGGATGTTAGCGACGGCATTTGTCTTTTAGGATGAGGGTGAGGATGGGGATGGGGATGGATGGAGATGCGGAGTGAATGCGACGGGATGGTCCAGCAGAACCCCGGTTCATGGCATGCATGGCATGGCTCGCCACGCAGTCCCAGGTCCCAGAGCGCAACTGCATAGACTGGATCGGTGGAAAGCAGCCGCCGCAATCCATGGATAGGCCGGGGGTAGAGGATGTATACTCCGTCAGGTGCATTGCATGTATACATACCATCTCGAAGTCAACAGCCGCAGCCACAGAAAAGTCTGTTTTCAATGGAGGCTCAATCAATGCGATCGCAATTGCCCCTACATCGATCGCACAGCACTAGAAGAAAGATATCTCACATCTGAAAGTCGCGGGGCTGGGCCTGATATCATAATTCATATACCTGCGTGCGGACTGTTGCGCGGACCCGCTCATTCTGACGTCAACCTTACCCTAGCACAAGCAGGGCCTCTGTTCGACTTCTACATCGCGCCCCGCTCGATCAAGTAAGACCAAGTAGTCTAAGATGCTGATCATGGCGGAAACGAGAAACGCGGAGCCAGCAAGCAGGATTCGTTCTCCTTCGTCCTCCAGGCTCCGTAAGGTCGTTGCATTGAGCCAATGGCAGGGCCAGGAGTTTGATCCCGGAGCCGAGGTGCTTTTACCTACTCCAACGGAGCAGGTGAGTGCAGTGCGGAGGTAGGGTCGGGACTTCGGATGTTTTTTGACGTGTGAGGTTTTGTGTCATCGTGGCTGGCGGGTGCAGTAACGCAGTTGTAGCGGGAATTGGAACATTGTTTCGTTGTCCCTTGCGTCCCTGTTTAGTATGCATGGGCTAGGGACCGGCCTAGGATGGTTAGATACCATGTTTGTTCCTTTATAGAGAAAGCAGAGGTGTACGTCGGTAGTGGTGCTGTACAAGAGTCCTCTCGCGGATTCTCGGTGGTTGGCAGAGTAGAAATAGAAATTGCAACTAAGATGAACCGAGCCCGCTAGATACAACGCAAAGCAAAGCAGCAAATGGAACTAATAGAATAAAATAAGCAAAAGGAAGCATATGCAAGAAACCCTCATAACGCCCTCTAGCCTTTGTCGTGTCGTGTCCTGTCGGTTCGGTCATGTCATGTCGTCGTGAGTCGTGAATGTCTCCGTGATCAAAATCAAGTCTGCGTCTGAGTCAAGTTCTGTAGACCCCGCTGCCCGTGTGAGATCTGAAGTGCCATCAAATGTAGGCATCGCTGCCGACACCAAATCCAACAAACGCCTGTCCAAAGCGTGAATCCTACTAAACAGCTCGTAATGTCGTTTCGCGTGGAAATCTCCATAAGCCGGACTCCGTGCCAAACACCTAGAATGTCAGTACATATAACATTACTACAATCCGATCGCGCATGATCATCGATCATACATCGCCGATCTCCGGCCGTACTCCGCTTCAATGATACCCGGGGGAACCGGGCGCCCGGCGCCATGCACAGCGTGAGTCGACCACCGCGGCGGCTGAAAATCGCCTACGGACGCAAACCGCGGCCGTCGATAGGATCCCCCACTGCCGCCGCCGCCACCCCCGCTACCGCTTGGATTGGGCGTCTGGCTCCCGCGGTAGCCGCTCCTGCGCGGGTCGTCCATGACATTTGCGTCTAGTTCGGGTTGCACCTGGACCTGCGGGTGGACCATATATGCTGGGCCTGGGTTGGGGACGTTCACGAAGCGCGGGTGGATGGGGTGGATGGGGTGGGGGTGCGCGTGGCCGTAGACCGGGCTTGTCGGGACGGTCGCGGACTCGCGGAAGACGGGCTCGGCGTAGCTGGGTGATGGGCCGGGCGTGCGCGACTGGCGCACTTCGTCAATGTACCCTCTCGGGTGGCGAGGACCGCGGCCGCTATCGGAGTCGTAGGGTCTGTTGGAGCTTGGGTTGAATGCCTCGCGGTATGCGTAGCGGCGTTGCGAGTCTGGGGATAGTTCGCGGTGTGGTCGGCGGGAGTATGCTTCGTGGGAATGTCGGCGGGCGTGGGGCGCGTGTGGGGGAGATAGGTTGCGGCGGTGGCCGTAGCCTGGCGAGAAGGATTCCTGGGTGGCTGTGCCGGAGTCCTCGGATGATGCGTCGGAGGAGCTATGGCCGTGGATATGCTCGGGGCTGACGGGTCGGGAATAGGTCTTGCGTTCGCGGCCTCGACCCTTGGCTGCATGGTTTGGTAATGTCGGCGGAGAGGGGGCGCGCGGGGAGGCGTATCCGTTCACGAACTCCGCCGAGCGACGGGGCAGGCTGTTTTGCGGCTTGTGCGAAGGTTGAGGGACCTCGGCGCTCTGGCGTCTCTGATGCCGGCGGGTGGGCTGCGCATCGGCGGGTACGGAGTAGCGGTAACTCGATGCTCGTGGGTGGTGGTTCTGTATGAACTCTTCTTCCTTGGGTGTCGTAGCCTCCGGATAACTGAACTGGTTGTGGTATGTGCCAGTCTTCGCCGCCGAGGCCTCTTTCTGAGCATTGAACTGGTTGTTATATGGGCTGGACTTCGGAGACGTGTTGATGAGGTTTTTTTTCCAGTAATCGAATTCAAACTTCTGGCTAACCGCCTCGTGCCACTGGATCATCTCTGGGTCTGGCTCAGCCGGAAACGCATCGCGGGGGATCGTCTTTGGAAACAACGTGCCGTTAGGGCTGAAAATGTCCCACCGCTCCACTGCGTTCTGCAGGTAAGAAACATGTTCGTCCGGGTCTAGCAAGAGTTGGATCGTCTGCCATCGCACGAAGCCGTGGGGTTGCAAAGCGGGGATCGACGGAGGCTTGTACGGGTCGGTGGAGGGCTGTATGCTGTGGAAGCACCCGAGGCGCTGGTATATGAATGATAGAGCAGATGGTTTGGTCTCAAGGAAGAGGACATCGTAGTTGCCGCCGACTTTTCGATAGAACTGCGCCAGTCGTTCAGGGGTGAGGTCGTGGATGGCGACGTTGTCAAACGTGGTCTGCCGCAATCATAGGTAAGCCTTCCGAATAATTTGAAAGTTCTATCCGACTCACATACCATCATCTGAGCAATCCCCAGACAGAGCTGCTCGAGCAGAGACGACGGGCTCTTATCGGGGTTGATCAACGCGCCCCAAAACTCCGCCTCATGATCGTAGGCGAAGGCCATGTTCGGACAGGCTTCGAGATACAGCGCAGGCATCTGACAGCAGCGACTGTCGCATTGATATACCACCGTAGACACAGACAAGAGGCAAGGTGGATCAGCCGTCTCAGAGAGAGGCTGAGGTGATATAGACGGAGGTCCGTCTTCTGACAGGCATCATTGTCTGGCGGTCAGGCACCCATCGGCGCTGCTGCTGCTCCACTGCGGGGGAGCCCAACTGGACAACTCAAGCCACCGCGACAAAGCGCTGAAGACTTGAAACCATGCCAGTCGCATGATTGGGAGCTTAAAGAGCCCAATGTGCTTCTATGCATGTTGTCCATCCGCGTCTTTGTGGCCATTAAGAACCGGTTCGAGAAATGACAGTGCATGCGACTGCACGTTTATCAGAACCTCTGGCTCGGAGTAACTGGGACTATATCTGCTATATCCGATTGGATGAGCTAATTGATAAAGCTGGATGATGTCTAGACGCTTGCCCGTCCCCGGCTCTCATATGGAACAGCCACAACTAACATCCCCGCTACTAAAAATATCATCCCACTCACGTACACGGGCAGGGTGCTCTGGAGGTCCGTCATGAGGGCTACCACAGGCGCCAGAATCCCGCCGAGCCTGTTCGATGCACTGACGAGCGCGTTGCCGGTTCCACGGTTTCTGCTCTCGAATATCTCCGGTGTGTACGCGTACAGCACGGCGTAGACAAGGCTGCTGTTGAAACCGTAGGCACAGTTCCAGCCTAACAAGGCTGAAGAGGTAGTAGCGCTGGTGGATGCAAGGAGGCAGATCCCTGTCATTATGGTCGCCAGGGTAAGCGTGCCTTTGCGCCCGAATTGTGGCATCTCCACCATCACACCACCAACAAGACTGCCTGGGATGGATGCCACCGCGATGATCAATGAGTTGCGATATGTTAAGTACGTTGAACCATCGCCGAACTCAATGCCGCGCTCATGCTGGAGATACGGCAAAAAGGCGTTGTACAGAGGGAACGCAATGCCAATCAACCCCCAGATAATGATCATCAGTGTCGTCGCCAGGCCGCGGCGTCGTGTGGAAAACAGCGATCGAATCTGCGTCATAGAGAAAGGCTCTAGGAAGATTTTGAGCCGGTCGCGAGCGCTTAATCCTTGCCGGTGGTACTTTCCTCTTTCATAGCCATCTCCGCTGTCGGAGCAGTCGTGAAGCTCATCTGTGGTTAAGTTGCAGCTCTTGCCGTTGCGTTTCGCTACCTCATGAACAACGGCTACAGCGTGGTAGTGCTCTCCTTTGCCCATGAGGAATTTTGGCGACTCAAGGAGGGTAAAGAGGAAATAACGGGTGATGCTCATCAGCAGAGCCAATCCGCCCATGGCCGCAATGAAGTACCGCCAGCCCACATTACCAGCTCTGGTGCAACCATCAGCTGAAGGACAGGTGTAGCCACCCACAAGTGGCCATGCGACGAGATTTGCGAGGAGTTGAGCCAGAGCCCAGTTGATTGATAGGACAGTGAGTAGATACTGATGTGATCCAGGCAAGAACTCGAGAAAGATGGCCGAGTCCACGGGGAGATTTCCCCCGACGCCTATCGACCAGAGGGCGGACAGTATACACACTCCGGCGAAGCTAGAAGCCGCAGCCGCAGCCAGACTGAAGACGGCCGTGATTCCGATCGTCATGTTGAAGGCCATCCTTCGTCCGAAGATATCGCAGCCGAACCCCCAGAACAGCGCACCAACCAACAGGCCCATGTTCTGTGCCAGCAAAAGAATAGGTGGTTGGGAAACGTCAAACTCGTATGTGACAGGAAGGAGGATCAAAGACGTCACGATCGGCCATAGATTGTCGCAGGCCCATCCGAACCCGACAACTCCAAATAGCTGCCATTGGTATCGTCCCATGCCAATTTCCTGAATAGCGCGATTCAGTATATTCACATTGAGTTTGTAGGCGCCTGACGCATCGAGATCTGCACAGCGGTTCAAGGGGGCCGACTCGGGCACGGGCGCGAGCTCAGGACTTGGGGGCTCGGAATCATCGTGGTCGGGCATCTTGGTATATGATTTGACTATCTGGAAGCTAGTTACGGTGAAAGCATGTCGAAGTGGTCTGGATATGGGAGGAGTTTCCTAGATCCACGTCACGATTAGCTTGAAGCTGCATGGTTCAGGAAGTGTTGAGCAGAATATAGAATCTTGATTAAAGCAGTTGCATTGTTTTGTATAGTACACTGGATAAGATCTACCTGTATCTTCCCTCTAACCCATCACTTAGTGGCGGTGGGCACGGCACTGGTGCTTGTGGTGAGACTTCCCATGCCCAGTGGGCTTCGCACTGGCAGTGGACGCGGAAACGGCATCGACCCCAGTGGGAGCCGTAGGAGCCGCGGAAGCTGTGGAAGCGGCGGGAGTCGCAGTAGACGAGCTGGATGCAGGGCTAGCAATGACCTTTTCCTCGGCGCCCGAGGATGCAACAGAAGTTGAAGAAGCTGAGGCTCCGACGAGGGCACTGTAGGGAGTAGCACCGGGGTAGAAGGAGGTCGGGATGGTGGGGATGGGGATTTCGCTGTCGGTGCCAAAGGCGGTCTGCAGGTCGGCGTCCATGCTGGGGGCGGAGTAAGACGCCGGGGCGGCCGAGGCGGTCAGCGTCGACGTGAAGGTCGAGTCTCCGTCTCCGTCTTCCAGACAGAATCCGGTGCCAAACGCGTTCTCGCAGAGATACGTCTGCTCATCACCAGATTCAGTCCACATGGCGAAGTCTTCGATCGTCACGTCCGTGCAAGGGGCTCCGGACGCGCATTTCACCTTGATCGGGCCTCGCTGAGATCCGTTTTCCTCGGTTCCCTTCCAGTTGCGAACCGTCACGTTCTTCAATTCGACACCGTCGCCGTCGATCGTGCTCATGCTGCTCCAGGCGCCGTCGATATCGAGCGAGTATGCGTTTCCGTGGCCTAAATCGTCAGCTTTCTTCCCGCACCGCGACGTGCACCACATACCGATGAAGTTCTCCAGCACAAGGTTGGACACCGTTCCGCTGCCCCCGTTGCTCTTGACCATGTACATCTGGTTGGAGTTCCAGGTGTAGATGTTACGGTACACAATGTCGGAGATGTCGGTGTCGGTGCCCAGAGAGCCCATGGCGCAGCCTCCACTCCAGTTACAGTAGATGTTCTCAACGAGGATGTTCTTGGAGGGGCTCTGCGAGCGGTTAGCTAGAATAGTAGGGGTATCGGCGAAGCACGACTGACCTTGACAGTGACACATTCGTCCTTGTTTGTCACCTCGACCTACGCTGGTTAGTGGTGGAACCAAGAAAACACGAAAGAGTTCGACGTACATCGTGGATCCACACGTTTGTACTCCAGACATCAATGCCGTCCAGGCCTCCCATGTTGCCACCGCGGATAGCCATGTTGTAAACCTCTCCGTTGGTGCAGGTGTCGATTGAGAAGTGGAAGAGGGGCGAATCGACAAGCGCGACGTCGTGCACCGAGAAGTCCGTCACGTCGTAAAGCCTCAAAATCCGCGGGCCATCTGACGAGCCCTTGGCATGGAACTCGTATCCGTACCCTTGGAATGCACCCTCGGAGGTACTGCTGAAGAACTCGAAGTCGGAGCTGTGCTCGATCATGATCATGTTACCGCCGTCCGTACCGGTACGGTAGATGATACCGTCCAGCTGGATGGCACAGGCCTTTCCACCCGACAGCTTCACCCAGGTCTCGATCGCGTAGTCACCCGGGGGGATGTAGACAACTCCACCATCGGCGCACTCATCCCAGGCAGATGACAGGGCAGGCCCGATATCCGTAGACTTGTCGGCTACGGCGCCGTAGTCGAGAACATTGCAAGTCTTGGTTTGGCTCTTGGAGCTGGCCGATGTAAGCGGACCGACGCTACCGGAGAGCTGACCCTTGACCAGCAAGGGGGTCAAAAAGAACAGAAGACGGCTGATATGCATGATGCGAACGATGCAATGCAGAATTCTCGCATCAGGAGAGGTGATGCCGTCTTTCTTATATACAACATTCTATATATAGGAGAAATTACAGGGTGGTCGTTTGAGGCCCGTCCATCGCTGTCATGTCAGGAACAAGACGTCCATCCGAAGGGTGGAGACAGGCTTCTCGAAAGCTTGACAGCCGAAGCTCGATCCAGCCAGCTCGAGGCCGATTTCATTGGTTCCTGTCTTCGATCTGAAGCCGTCGGCGCCGCAGTTGCGCGGTGGATTTGGTCCCACTCTCCCTGAGAACGCGGTTGCGTGGTTTTTGACCAACCCTCGAGCCCGAGGAAAGCAGATACCGTCCAAGGCGAACTGCATGGCGCATGTGCGGTTATCTTGCAGTACCTAGTCTAGTGACATGCAACTGTAGGGTCAAGGCTCAAGAGTTCAACACCTTTCGAGCTGATCCAGCACGCCAAGATTCAGCACTCCAGCAGCATGGGCCGCTGGAGTCGGGCTTGTTTTGCTTAGATTGGGCTTGATCAATCTCTTACCCAGCGATTCCGCGGCGCAAGATCCCCCTATCTACTCCGTACCGTATACGGCTGCCTTGACCTTGCCAGTCGAAACTGATATGAAACGCTGATCGCGGAAAAGCACTTTCTGGGCCGTGTTGCTTGTCCCTTTCCCCCGGTATCGCTTTTCGGGATCTGATAACGGCAGTCATAGCCTCATAGGGCTGACGCAACCAGCACACATGAAGCGCTGGACAGCTGAAGATGAAGCTATATCCCTCTTTCATAGACTCCGAGTAGAGTCGCCTGCATGGTGATTCGGGTCTTAATCAACTGCACTGAGGTCTCAACTGCAGATCTGCAACTAGCAACATACGATGTCTTGTCGCTTCGCCGGCTAATACACACAACTTACGCCTTAATTTAAGGCGCTTGCGCAGGCACCACTGCCTCATTTCGCGAGTGATCGTGTACCGTGCTCGCTCGGGCCCTAGTAGACAGAACAAAGCAAGGGCTTCTCCGGCTCACTTGCTCCAAGTCCAACCCCCTTTGTCACTCGAAGAATTCGCATCATCTCACTCACTACCCTGTCTTCGAACCTGTCCTCGCCTTCTGCTAAGGATGGAGCGGGCAACTGTGGACAAAGGACCTGGAGAGATGGAAACCATGCCCCAAGCTCCCATATATCTCAGTTCCATGATTGCTGGTAGACATCTACAGAGTTTCCTTCCCCTCTAACATTTGCTAAGCACAGCTATGCTCTCATCTTCGACTATCATGTCAAAAACTAATGGGAATCAGCGTGTGAGAAAGGCAAAGGCAAGTAGACCTCCAGATTAATCTAAATCCCCGTTTTCCTTACTCTTGTTGAGGCATCCGCTCCCTCTCCCTAAGCCAAAAGGAAATAGGAAGGGACTAAGCCTTCTGATGAAGGTACTCAGACGAAAAGAATTAAGTGCGTGAAGGTTGCCCAGGAGGAGAATTGCTCCACGCCCTCCAAGTCTTATCCAGAGCTCGCGCATGCCGTTAACAAAAAGTCAACTGCAGACCAACTTCCCAAGGCTGCCGAAAATGCTGCAGTTACAAGCAATCAAGCGCCTGCTGACGACGAGAAAGACCGTCAGATCAAAGATCCTTCGGAGAAGCTGACCAAACTAATCGAAGCTCACGAACGTCTTTCCGAGAAATACGAGGTGCACCACGGGGGTGACCAGTTGTTTGGCCCGGGGTTCCCTGCTTGCTGGCTGGACTCCGATGGCGGAAAAAGGGATCGGGACCTCAAGACACTGTCCGGCGAACTGCATGACTGGGTGTTGAACTACTGCTTCAGGGATCTCAAAGCCATGGAGAAGTTGTCCAAAAACGAGAAGGACGATCTCATTGGCAGCCTCAAGGGGTATTGCGTGCAGGAAGACTACGAGACACTGCTCCCACTCTTCCCCAAGTCGGCTCGCTGCCAGATAGCGGGATTGTTCTTGACCATGTTTGTTGTCAAGGATCTCGTCGACAAATCCTACACCAATCCGTACTGGTATCTCGGCCCAGACCCCACGGCTGCGATCAAGGACGACCAGGGGAGAAAGCAGCAAGAACAATCTGCAGCAACCTCTACACTCTCGACTGACAGTTCAAGAAAGGTAGCAAACGTCTACGGCTGTAAGCGGAGAGGGTCACACTATGAGTTCGGCGAAGCAACGAAGAAGTATCGCGATACTCTCGTCCCACCCATGGTAACCGATTAAACCGACATTCTCCGCCAGAAGCCGGCTCAGTATTTCCTCAAGGGCCCCAAGAAGATCAACCCGGTGACAAGCCCTACGACAACCTGCTCGAGGTCTACAACTGAGCCGCCCAGAACTCCATCAGCGTGTCCTTCTGGAACGTAGAGCCGTCCATTCATACCCTAAACCCCGCATTTGAGGGCCTCTGAGAGGCCGACTGCCTGGCAAGACGAACGAGTTCGATAACTGCTGACATTCCATCACAAAACCGAGGGACTTCCTTTTCCTTCTGTCTCCTCTTTAGGGCATGTTAGTGTCTGTTATGCAACTTCCCACAACCGCGATATTCACCCGATAGTCTTCAAAATTGAGTTTTGCGTTCGGCGACAGTTCCGATGTCGAATAAAAGCCTATCGCTGTTGAACTAGATCTGCATCTGCCTACAGCTCCACCGACTTGAATCGGAGGACGATGTGGCGATTATCCAGATCCTCCGATCTCAATTCTCGCCCACCCCATAGTACGTATACAAAGACACTTAGTCCCTCTCGCACTCGCCTCCACGTTGTGCCATGCTATCGTCAACGCCGAGCCTTTCGGTGGCCCTGGCCCTGGTGGATCTCCACCAGCGTCCCGCCTGTGCCAAATTTTCACTCCCCGAGCCTGGCCGAGCGGACGCCGAGTCCCAGTCAGTAATAATGCCGGCAAGGCAGCCGAGGACGGTCCGGCCTTTGACTGCGTCGGGGTCTGCTGGAAGGGCGCTTGGCTTGCCGACGGCGCATCTATCATGAGCCCGCCCGACGTACGGAGCATGGTTAACGAGAGCGTGAGCATGGCCGGCGAGGACGACGCCAAGCTCGACAAGCACGATGTGGGATGGAGGCGGGTGGTGCGGAATTTTACGCCGTCGTATGTTCCTCACCCATTAGAACTTTAGAAGATGACAGGGCCGAGCTAACAGGCACAGCTGGTTCTCCGTCACCATGGGCACGGGGATGGTGTCGACGCTGCTGAACACGCTCCCCTACAACGCACACTGGCTGTACTGGCTATCCATCGCCATCTTCGCATTGAACGTCCTGCTCTTCCTCATAGCGTGCGTGATCTCCCTGCTGCGGTACAGCCTGTACCCGGAGATCTTCCGCGCCATGATCCACCATCCCGTGCAATCCATGTTCATCGGCACCCTCCCCATGGGCCTCGCGACCATCGTCAACATGTTCTGCTTCGTCTGCGTGCCCGCGTGGGGTGCCTGGGCGACGAGCTTCGCCTGGGCGATTTGGATCATCGACGCCGTGATCTCCGTTGTGTCGGCGCTGTCGCTGCCCTTTCTACTGTACGGCTACCACTTTCTTAGCGTCAAGACGAAACTAACAAGCGACAGCATGTCCGGCACCGACGAGATCCAGCTGTCCTCCATGACGGCCGCCTGGCTCGTCCCGATAGTCGGCTGCGTCGTCGCGGCCTCCTCGGGCGCCGTCGTCGCTGATGTCCTGCCGAACCCGCAGCACGCCCTCTGGACCATCATCGTCAGCTACGTCCTCTGGGGCATTGGGCTGCCGCTGGCGCTCATGGTCATGGTCATCTACCTGCAGCGGCTGACGCTGCACAAGATCCCGCCAAAGGCGATGATCGTGAGCGTCTTCCTGCCCATCGGGCCGTTTGGGTCTGGCGGATACGGGTATACCAACCTCTGCACTCGCTCAGAATTTGAACGAGCTAATAGTGGACGCAGGGCTATCAAGCTAGGCAGAGCCGCGCAGACGATCTTCCCGCAGACGAATACGCTCGGTGACCTCGCGGGCCCGGCGTTCCATGTCGTCGGCTGCCTGGTTGCGTTGATTCTCTGGGCGTTCGGCCTCGTCTGGCTGTTCTTTGCGTCGGCGAGTATCGTCCGGTGTAAGACGTTTCCGTTCAATATTGGCTGGTGGGGGTTTACGTTCCCCATTGGCGCGTATGCGATGTGCACGTACCAGATTGGGATTGAGCTGCCGTCGGCGTTCTTCCGGATACTGGGGACGGTATGTTCATGTGTTGCTTCCATGGATGGTTCTCGAGCTCGGGTTTCTAACATGATGGTAGATCATTGCGCTTTGTGTCGTTGTGCAGTGGATTGTTGTTAGTGCTGGGACGTTGAAGGGGGTTGTTTCTGGGCAGATGTTCCAGGCTCCGTGTTTGGCGGACTTGAGGGTCGAGGAGGAGAAGGATGCGGTTGTTAAGGTTGCTTGATAGATGGCGTTGTTGCTCTGTTGATGCGTGTTTGCTGCATAGCGAGGAGTTTAGATTAGATGGACTATACCGGTCTTAGCGAGTTATCCACTCATTTAACTTTAGAGTGTGTTTAGCGGATTTGGTGTACAATCCTTCAGTTGTGCTAGGACATATCGCCCTTATCCTCTATATATGACTCAGAAAGTTCTTTGCTGTCCCTGATACTGTAGCCTGTCGTAGCTATATATAGTCTGACATACTCTGTACCTAATCAAATATATTGACAGGTTCCACTCAGCAGATGAAGAGCTCGGAGTTTTGTCTCAACTTCAACTTCAACTTCAATACAAGGTACTTCAAGTTCAGCCAACCCCGGATTGTAGTAGTATAGTGTGCTATAAGTTATACCTTATACTCACTCTACTATATGGTGGTGGCCTGGCCGTGACTGCCGATTGGCCGGAGCCCACGTGACCAAGGGCCCAGCGAAAAATCAAAATCCAAAAAACGCGAAAAAACCCAAAAGGCGAAATCCCAAAAGAAAATAAAATAATAAAATAAAAAAAGGACGGCGCCCATCGCCTGCCATCGTCCATCTCGGCCGACCCCAGCTTTCCAGATCCCAGCTCCAGCCTGCCTCGCTTTGCTCTGCTCGTCGCCGCCCTCCTGCGCGCCTGGTCCTCCCCTGCTGCTGCCCCATTGCCGGTCGGGGGCGAGCTGAGCTCTCTCTCAGAGTTCTCTGCAAGTGCGCCACCTGGCCTCTTCCGATTGCCGTAGTTCTGCCTTGCTGCCTTGCTGCCTTGTTGCCTGACTGCCTGAGGCCGCACTCACGGGACGTCTCCGCAGGCGAGCGCCCATTGGCTGGCGAGTGGTGTCAGTCCAGCCTCGTCGTTGCCCAGCACGCGTTTCTTATGCGCGTCCGTCGCTTCCATTTGGACTATCTACCGCCGAATCTACGGCTGCTGCTGGTGGAGCGGGGTGTCGATAGCTGGGCCGTTGATTGCCCCCGTCGCTGCTACTCGGAATCGTGGTCTGCATGCCTGGTTCTAGCCGTGGGCCGACGCTGACACCATCACCACCACCATGATGGACTATGGCGGCCACTACCACCATCCGCAGTCCCAGCAGAATGCCCACCCGCAGCAGCACCAGCAGCACATGCAGTCGCCGGCGATTGGTGCGCGCCAGTCTGCCGGTACTAGTGTCAGTGCCAACGCCAACGCCAATGCCAATGCCAGTGCGTTTGCCAGCAACAGCTCGCTGTATCGCTCCCAGTCGCAGGCCGACATGACGGGGCTTTCGCCGAGTGTGCGCGGGACGACGACGTCCTCGCAGTCGCTGCTGGGTATGCCCACCGGGACTAGCTACGGGTCATTCTCTGGGCAGGACTCGCTGGGCCAGTTGAGGAGCCCGTATGGCTCGTTGCAGGCGCAGAGGAATATGAACTCTGCCACGAATTACCGGCATACGTCCCTGAACTCGCAGGCTACGTTGTCGCCGCATGCGCAGGGGCTGAGCTCGTCGCCGCAGCAGTCGCTGGATCGGGTGCAGCAGCTTCAGCAGAGGCAATCGCCGCATGCGCATACGGCATCACCGACAAATGGCTTGCCGATGGTCTCGGCTACTTCTCAAAATCAGCACTATACGCAGTATCACCCGTCGCAGTATGCGCAGCCTTCATATCAGACTCAGCAGTCGGCCCAGTACCAGCAACCAGTTTCGCAGTATCAGCAGCAACAACAGTATCGACAACCCCAGCACACTCAATATCAAACGCAGACTCAGACTCAGAGCTCTCATTATCTGTCTCAGAGTCAATACCCTCAGTATACGTCAACTGAACAATCTTATCAGCAGTTGCAGAACTATCAACAGCAGCAGAAAGCGGCACAACTGTCGCAATCTAGTCAGCAGAGCTATTCGCAGTCGACGCAGAAAGCGGCTCAACAGACACCACAGTCGAGCCAGCAACAGGCTCATCAAACACCGCAGTCGGCGCAATTACCACAGTCAAGTCAGTATAGCTATCAGCAAGCGTCAGCTCAGCAGGCATCCCAGGCAAGTCCGGTGCAGCAGGGTTACCAGCATGGGGCCAAGTCGAATCAACAAATATCACACTTGAGTCAAGGACAGCAAAGCTATGCACAACAAGCGCAGAAACCGACGCAAGTACAACAGCCGAGCCCGGTGAAGCAAAATTACCAGCTGGCGCAAAGCTCGGCCCAGCAACTGCCGCAGTCAAGCCAGCAGAGTTACCAGCAAACCTCGCAAAACACAGCCCAGCAACCTCAGGCTAGCCAGCAGAGCTATCAGCAGGCAGCACAAAGGCCGACTCAGCAGCTGCCCCAATCAAGTCAGTACAGTTACCTGCTAGGCACCGCACAAATACCCCAGTCGGGTCAGCAAAAGGGCCATCAACAAGCGTCTACCCAGCAAGTGCCGCAGTCAAGTCAGAGCTATTCTCAGCAAGCACATAAAACACAGGTTCCTCAGCCAAGCCAGTCGAGTTATTTGCTAGGGACAAACCAAATACCGCAGTCGAGTCAACAGAGTTATTTGCTAGGGACAACGCAATTACCGCAGTCAAGCCAACAGAAAGGTTATCAGCAAGCTTCTGCCCAGCAAGTGCCGCAGTCAAGCCAGCAGCCGAACTATCCGCAGCAGGCACAGAAGCCCGCTCAGCAAGCGCAGTCAAGTCCTATGGTCCAACAGTACCAGCAACAAGCACAGAACGCGCCACATGTATCTCAAACTCAGGCGCAACAACAGGCTCAGCAAGCCCAACCTCAGAAGGCCGCCCAATCCTCTCAGGCCAAGGCCCAGACGCAGGTTAAACCTTCGCCAAAGCAGCAGTCGCAGGCTCGACAAGCGCAAGCTCAGGCTAATCATACTCCTAAAACCACGCAGGCCACAAATGCTCATCAGCTGCAAGCGAACGCTCAGACTCAGCGAACGGCTCAACAGACTCAGGCTCAGCAAGCGCAACACACTCAGCCTCAGAAGACGCAGGCCCAGACGCAAAATCAGATGTCCACCCAAGCTTATCAACAACTCTACGCTCAGCACGCACAGCAAGCGCAGGGTTCGCCGTATCAAACACACTTGCAGAACCCCCAGTTGCAGTATGCATACCAGCGCCAGTTTCCTCAACAGTATATGCAGTCGCCGCAAATGCACACCCCGCAGGCGCAACATTTTCAATTACAACAGTCTCAAGCATCCCAGTCTCAGTCTCCGCAGCAACCAGTGCAGAAGACGCAGCATACCCCACAAATGCAGCAGCAGACCACACCGCAGCAGCCCCAGCAGTCACAAACATCGCGACCACAAGCACAGGCGCAACCTCAAAAATCTGCCCAGTCAAGCCAGCCCGCTCCCAAACCTCCAGCTAAAGAGCCGAAGAAGAGGAAGACTACTAAGAAGGAGACGAAGCAGAAGCCCGCTGCGTCTCAGGCTGCATCGCAAGCTGCGTCTGCTGGATCTCAAGCAGTGCCTCAACCCGCGCCTCAACCCAAAGCACCTGCATCACAGGCTACAGCGACACAGCCGAAAGCTCAAGTCTCGGCATCTCAACCTGCATCTCAACAATATGCCCCCGCCTACGCTTCTCAAACACCCTCCTCGCAAGCCCCGGCCTTTCAAACTCACGCCTTCAGAGCCAACTTGTCACAACCGTACGCGTCTCAAACACACGCCCAGCATAACTCTTTCCAGACTCCAACTTCGCAAGCACAAGCTGCTCAAGCGAACTCTTTTCAGACTCAGGCTTCTCAACCACGTGCCCAAGTGAACTCTTTCCAGAATACCGCCCAGCCACGTACTCAAGCAAACTCCTTCCAACAAGCCTCCCAACCACATGCCTCTCAGTTGAACACTTTCCAAGCCACGCCCCAAGCAACTTCCTTCCAGCTGCAAGGATCTCAATCGACACAAGCCTCTTCTCAGCCGTCCACTCAGCCAAAAATCGAACCCTCATCATCCCAACCGTCTCAACCGACACAGCCAACAGCGACGACCAACGCGAATGGACAGGCGCCGGGTACGTTCATCACGGAAAACCCGATACAGAAGAAGACGAAACCGGGAGATCCCGGTCACACACCCAGGAAGCGAGGCCGACCACGGAAACAACCCGGCGACGAGACAAAGCCACGGAAACCGAAGAAGGTCAAGAATCCGGATGGGACCATCGACCTGTCTACAGCGTTGCCTCCAAATCTAGCTGCCATCCCAGGTGTGGGTATCCCGTTTTCCATCGCGCCCATTCGTCCGCCTGACCCTCCTGCTGCTGGAACCGCGAGTGCCCCAGCTCCTCCGGTTATCGGACCAGATGGTAATCCAATCCCGCAGAAGCGCAAGCGTGGAAGGCCGCGAAAATCCGAGACAGATGGAATTCCTCGTAAACCGCGGCCACCGCGGGACCCGAATAGGCCGAAGGGAACGGGTCGTCCTCGTGGGCGGCCGAGGAAGGCTGATGTGCTGGCAAGGAAGAAATTGGAGGAGGAGCAAGCTGCTGCTGCTGCTGCTCAAAATGGGGAGCAAACCGGCCAGCCTGGGCCAAGCCAGCCAGCCGGTCAATCTGGACAGCTTGGTCAGGGGCAAGTCAGTCAACCGCAAACCACACAAGCGCAAGGCCACACTCAAGCCAATCATGCCAATCATGCCAATCAGGGCCAATCGAGTCAAGGGTATACCGGCCAAGAACAGGTACATCAGTGGCAGGTCAGCCACGGGCAAGTGAACCAAGCACCAGCCAGCCAAGCGAAGTCCGGTCACGCACAAGTCAACCACCAAGCTAGCCAAGGGCAAGCATCTCAAGCGCAGGCCACCCAATGGCCGGTCAATCAAGGGAAAGCACCTGCGCGAGTTGCTCAAGGGCAAGTCAGTCAAGGACAATGGGGACAGCCTGTCAAGGTCAGCAACAGCCAATCTGGACACGCCAACCAGTATGGGCAAGTTGGGACTCAGCCTGGCCATGCTCATCCTTCACATGGTCATCCGCAAGCGTCCGCTCAGTCACATACCCAAGCGCACGCTCCGCCGACCCAGCCACAGTCCCAAGCTGATTTCTCCAAAACCCAGGCCAAGATGCAAGCACATATGAACCAGCAGATACAAGCCCAGAATGTCCACGCCCAACGAGCGCAGCCAATACAAAGCCAAATGCGAGCGAGCCCTATGCAGAGCTTGCAAGCGAGCCCATTGCAGAATATCCAAGCGAGCCCGATGCAAAGCCAGATGAGCCAAAGGCAGCAGCCCCAGGTTCAAGGGGGCCAACGCGCGTCGCATCTGCAAGCCCAAGCTCAGATGCAAGCGCAGGTGAACGCCAAACCGCAGATGCAGGTGCAGCCGCAAAAGGCACAACCGCAGATGCAGACTCAGATGCAGACGAAACCTCAGGTGCACGCTCAGGCGACTAAGCCTCAGGGACAGACTCAACAAGCTCAGCATGCGCAGCATACGCAGCATACGCAGCAAACCCAGCAAAACCAGCAGGCTCAATCTCAGCAGTCTCAGACTCAGCAGACTCAGCAGGCCCAGGCTAAGACGCAGCAAAAGCCTCAGGTCCAGCAATTGTCTCAGCCACTGCAGATGCAGCGACAGGCGGCGTCCCCGATGCAGGCCGCCACGCAGCGACCTCACCAACCACAACTGGCAGGACAAGCTCAGGCCCAACCTCAGTTGCAATACTCGCACGCACAAGCTCAGCCTCAGATGCAGCACGCGCAGACCCAGCATCAGCCCCAGGCTACACAAGCTCAACCCCAGGCCCACGTCCAGGCCAAAGCCCAACCTCAAGCCCAACAAACTCAACCAACCCACTCCGCGTACACCGCATACCCAACCCACACCACCGCGCAATCCCTCCCATACCCGCACTCGCACCCCTACCAAGCACAGTTCCACGCACAGATGCCCCAGCTGCAAATGCACTCGCAGCTCCACCACCTCAACCAGCAACACCCCTACTACTCGCAGTTCTCGCCTACCCAGGCCACAGCCACAGCCACAGCCCAAGCCCACGCCCAGCAGCCGTCGATGGGCCACGCCCAGCAGCCGTCGATGGGCCTCGCCCCGCAGACGGGGCAGAAGCGCCCGGCCTCGGTGCTGGACGATGACCCGCGCAAGCGCGCGTATATCATGCCGCATCAGCTATAGTGCAGTTTATTTGGTGTTTGAGATACCACGAGCGTCAGTCGCCTTCAGCATTTGATCTGGACTCCCCTGTTTCTTCTTTCTTTTCTTTTCTTGTCTTTGGGTTGGGTTTCATTTTCAGTTGTTTAGCAGGCATGTCTCCTCATCCATACCACCCTACATAATTACTTTGTCTTGCTTCGTTCGTCAGGTCGGTCGGTCTACTTGCGTTACGTTACTCTGCTTTACTTGCTTGCTGCATTTATATTATATCATACCGTCTACATAATAATCAGCGTCTAGCGTCACTCATACCATACACCCCATATCTAATCTATCATATCACCCCTCAATACCAAGAGACCGCGAGAAGGCCCAGCAATGTCCTCCTGTTCTTGCAGTAGTAAGAGTGGCCACATGCATGGTCCGCCTACCAATCGTAGTCGTAGTCATATCCCCATGCTTCTCGTCGCTTTCTTGGGCTGTGCTCTTCCCCTCGCCGTCTTCGCCTTCCTTCCCAGCAACACACCCACTCTCCTCGTTACCATCAGAATCTCCATCCATATACCCCCCCAAAACCCCCCTAACCCACCCTCCCACCTCAGCTAACATCTCCCCATCAACCCCGGTCCCAATACCCCTCCCCTCAAAAAGCCGTACCAAAGCGCAAGTATCCACATTCCCCTTCGCCCCCGGCGCAAACGGACACCCTCCCAACCCACCAACACTGCCATCAAACACCCTTACGCCCGCCTCAAACGCCGCCCAGACATTCTGCACCGCGGCGCCACGCGTATCGTGGAAATGGCACGCTAGCTTTCCCACTGGGATTCCGTGAGATGTCAGGTACGATAAGAGCGATGTTGTCAGGCCCGGTGATCCGGATCCGTCGGTGTCGCTTAGGGCGATCTCGTCGATGCCGAGGGATAGGAGGTGTTGCGTGCAGTGCAGGACTGAGCGGAGGGGTGTTGGACAGTGCGTTATCGGGTCGGAGAAGATGCAGGATATGTAGGCTCTTAGGTGTTCCACGCCGGCTTTTCGCGCGGCGTGGGTTATGGCTGAGGCGCGCGTGAGGGCTTCGGAGACGCTGCAGTTTGTGTTGGTTTTGCTGAAGGGTTCGGTTGGGGAGATGAAGAGCGATATGGCGTTTAGGGAGGGGGTGTGCGTGAGCGCAAGGGTTAGGCCTTTGGGGTTGGGGAGGAGGATGGGGAGGGTTAGTTCTTTCTTGCTTTTGCCCTCGGACCCGGACTCGTTCTCGGTCTCGGTCTCGGTCTCAGGGTCGGAGTTGAAGTCGGAATCATATGATGATATAGTTGAGCCGGATGAAGCAGATGCTGAGTCTGACTCTATCCCGCCATCGCCATCGCCATCTCCAGCCCCCAACAACGCCTTGATCCGTCCATCCCCCAGAATCCCCCTCCAATCCCGCAACTGCGGCACAGCCCTCGGCGAGACAACAGAAGCGATCTCAATCGTCTGCAGTCCTGTCTCCGCTAAGCGCCGTATGAGCTCGATTTTCGTCTGTGTTGGGATGAAGGACGGGATGTTTTGGAGGCCGTCGCGCGGGGAGACTTCGACGATGCGGACTTGGACTTTGTCTCGCGCGGTCTTCTGAGAGATGGGGATGGGGCTTGGCTCTTTCATTGTGTGTTGATGGTGATGGTGATGAGAGGGGAAGGAAGGCCCGGTAGAGGAGGCGCGGATGTACGGTAAGTGGAGGTATATTTAGTAAGGAAGGTGAGATGCGGCTGTGAATGAGCCCTATGTAAGTATGTATGGTATGTACTCGACTTCCAGCCCGTAAGCCTACATATAATATTATTTGTGACAGTGTGAATTCCCCGCGGGTTAATAGTCCGCAGTTTGTGAATCGGGCCGAGGCTGAGGCTTTTATGACGCCATCCTCTACAGACAGTAGCGTCGGAGTTGGCGGTTCTAGAAGGTCGGAGAATTGAAAAGTATACGGACATAGAAAAGTAATCATTGATCTTGTCACCGAGTATATGTAGTGAGGTGAGTCGAGTGGCTTCCCATCGGTAAATATACAAGTAAGTCTCCGGCCTGTCTGACGTGAGATAAGGCTGAGGACCGACAGGGTTGGACTGTACCTAAATAAAGAATAACCCTGTTATAGACACCATAATAACCATGCCGTTGTTCTTGATGCCACTGCGATGAGATGAGCCCAAAGAGGAAGTAGGGCTTTTCTCTAGGGCTCAGGGTGACATCCTTCACGCACATTACTTGTTTGCCATCATTGACATCTCAAAATGCAGGAGACATCTCATCATCAACCAGGTACAGTTCAGGACAGCAAATCATCGCCCTCGCCATGATTCACCCCCGGAGGATATCAACAAGTGAAGAACCGGAAGTGCCGGAACCCCACAATTACAGATGACGGCACGCCTGCTTGTTGTGGTTAAGGGGAGAGTTTAGCTTGTTGATTCCCCGCTGGAGCCTGACTCGGTGGGCCCAACAAGTCATGCTGCTCTCCTATTTAAAGCCTCACCCCGTTCGCAATCAATCTCACCGTTCTTACCATTCCCCCGGTTCAATCAGTGCAACCAACATGTACGGGCTCGCTGCCGCCCTGCTCTGCGGCCTGGCCGTTGCTGCCCCCAGCTGCCCAGCGCCGACTGCTTCACTAGGAACGCTTCAAACCCTCAAATACAACTACCTGAGCGCCCAGAACAACGGCACCTCTGCAGTGCTCGTGCACGACCACCTCACCAACGCCAATGCCCAAAAGCGCTGCGCCGCCATCGGGGAGGCCCTCTACCCCTTCTCGTCTGCCCCCGCCGCGAACCGCTCCGAGCTAGCGTATCAGTTTGATTACCTCGTCTACGCTCAGGACCTGCGCGATGGCCAAGACGTCTGGGTTGGCGGCGACTGCCAGGCGTACTCGCTCGGTCAGAAGAAGGTCGTTTCTGTGCCGTGCACCCGTCAGCTTCCGGCGCTGTGCACGGCGAATGTTCCCCCGACGAAGGATATCGATCGGACCGTTGTTCCGTCGTCCAAGGTTACCATCCGCTCGAATGAGTATACCCTGACTGGATACCGCGATGCCCGCTCCTTCCGGTTCCTGGGTGTGCCATTCGCCGAGCCCCCCGTTGGCGAGCTGCGTCTTGCTCCTCCCAAAGAGTACTCTGGCCCCAAGACTATCGATGCGACGACGCTCGGGGACTCGTGTATCCAGTCTTCTAGTTCTGCAAAGAACATCTCCGAGGACTGTTTGTACCTGAATGCTTTCACCCCAATCCTGCCTGAGCGCGCTGGTGCGGTCAAGAAGCCTGTTGCAGTATACTTCTACGGCGGCGCCTTCACCAGCGGCACCGCGTCCATCATCGACTACGACGGGGGCAACTTTGCCAGTCGCAACGATGTCGTCGTCGTCACCGTCAACTACCGCGTCGGCGCCCTCGGCTGGCTGGCCACTGGCAACATGACGACCGGCAGCTACGGCACCAGAGATCAGATACTGGCCCTTCGCTGGGTGCAAGAGAACATCGCAGCCTTTGGCGGCGATCCCAGCCATGTCACCATCTTTGGGCAGTCCGCCGGCGGCCAGAGCGTCGTCGCGCTGCTCTCGTCCTCCGCCGCCCGCGGTCTCTTCTCCGGCGCCCTCGTGCAGTCTGCGCCTATCGATCTCCCCTGGTACACCCGACAGGTCTACACCGAGCTGGTCGTCCCTCACATCGCGGACGCAGTCGGCTGCGGCAACGCCACGACCGAGTCCTCGCTCGTCTCGTGCCTCCGCAGCGTCCCAGCATCCAGCTTCATCGACAACTCAACCGCCTTCCAAGCCGCGACCTCCGCCATCGCCACCGACGTCGCAGCCTCCTACCTGCACGTCTCGCAGCTCTTAGCCTCCATCGAACCCCTCATGCCAATGGTCGACGACTCCCACTCCGGCGTTATCGACAACCACTTCCACACCCTCCTACAAAGCAACACCCTCCCCAACCGCGTCCCCACCTTCTTCACCACCCTCCCCGACGAAGCAGCCATCTACGTCAACTCGCTCGTCCCCACCCTCGGCTCCACGCAAACCGGCCTAAACACCCTGCTGGGCCTCGCATACCCACCCGCCCTCGCCGCCGCCCTCATCAACACAACGGTCTTCACCGCGAACCCAGCCCAGCCCGACTCCGTCCGCATCGAGGGCGGTCTCGCACTCACACACAGCGAATGGACGTGCCCGCTCTCGTACCTCCTCCGCAACGCCGGCAACAGCAGTTTCCCCTCGCTCTACAGCGCCCAAATCACAGACGGCCACGCGCAATTCAACTCTTCGACACCGGCAATCTGCAAGCCAAACGCCCTCTACAACGCGACGTGCCACTCCAACGACGTCCTGCCTGCATGGGGAACCCTAAACTCCAAGACCGTCGACGTGCAGCCGTATTACGGCGTAAGCGACCTCAAGCACTCACAGCTGCTGAACGATATCTTCGGCGCGTTCTTCCGCACGCGAGACCCGAATCCTGATGTTAAGGAGCTCGAGGTTCGCGGTCCGGCGTACGCGTACACGAAGACTGTCTTTGGCAGCGGGTATAGCATCGACGAGTATAGCGCTGGAGAGAGCACCGTGTCCCTGCTGGGCGTTGTGCCGAGGAAGGCCGTGGACCCGGGGACGACGGCTCAGTGTGAGGTGTTCGAGGCGTATGGGTTTACGTTTGAGAATGCGGCGTTTACGGGGAGTTCTTGATGGGACCTGTGAGGTGAAGAATAAGAGATGATTTGATGTTATGAGAATGCCATGTAATGGATGGGGTATGTACATATACGGCCTGGATAATTGGTGTAGGTGCGAGTGAAATGTACACTACTAAATCAGTCAAATAGTGCCAGCATGGATGGGATCACTACCTACCTACCTACCTACCATTCGCTAAGGATTTCAATGAGAGGGGCCGTACGTTACGTTGACACCAACATATACATGGCATGCCTGGAATATCTACTGCCAAAGCGAGATGTAATACCTGCCCTGTCCAAGATCTAAATCAACTCCACGCGACCATATCCTCTGTCTCATTGCATCCATCTTATAATATCATTTAGAATGGTAGGTCTTGACCTAGTCTCATCTCGGTGCACTTCGCATATTGGATCTGCCAAGTAGGGTGTTCAGAGGTCTAGCCATGAAGATGACGATATCCCGGCTGGGCGAGCACTGCCTGGCGCCTGCGTCTAACAAGATAAATACCAATCGATACTACCCGGACGATACATGGCTGCCATTTATATGCGCTCTGGCTCGAGTTTGCTGGGTCTCTTGCGGCTACCTAGGTAGGGTAGGGTCTCAGCGCGTACCCTCGTATGCTACCATACCATAGTTGCTAAAGATTCCCAGGACATGGACGAGTGATTATGTAGATCTTCGCTGAGGTGCTTGTGTTTTGACTAAAGGCTGTTATTCTGGACCAGGGCTCTTTTGTGTAAGAACGCCTCCACGCCTCCCCTTTCTCCTGGGCCAAACGCTGTATAAATGCAACCGCTCCAAGTGCTTGTCTTGCCTAGGTAGTTCGTCCATACAAGGCGTGTTAGCAAAATCATACCAGAGTGACAAGACTCCTTTCCTAATCCTCATGACATATTGACTGCGCGAGTCTAAGTTCGTGGCGGGCTCTATGGCACATTATAGAGCCTGACGGGTCTGTAAGGTGGGTAACCAAGCCAAGGCCATGAGCTTCTGTTTTCAAAAAAGCCGCACTAAAAAGTATTATTTTTATAGCTTATTGCTTAATATACATAATTAGGGCTAATAAGATCCCAGAACTAACTTTGTGTTTCTCTACGAGCGCACATGGCCCCATATGCTGGCGACCCCCTGTACCTGGAACAACAAGACCCAATACTTCACCTTCGCTTCCCAGATCCTCGCAGAGTACTGGCATATACATGGGAACTGGTTCTGGGAAGATTGGTACATTGAGACAGCTGCTCGACTGCTTGGGGACGCCGACCGAGAATGCCAGGTTAGGGCTGGGATGCTCTTGGGCCGACTCCATCGCTGGTTGGTGGGGAGGGGAGACTTGGAAAGGGCAGCGCGTGTGAAGCAGAGACAGACGGGAACGGAGGAGTCGGTCAATCGTCTGCTGCAAGGGGAGATTCAGGGATTGGAGTCAGAAGGGACTCCAACGGGGAATGTGTAGCGTCCACATGCACTGCTTGCCTCTACAGCCTTCCAATTGGTACGGATACCTAGCAATATAGGCATGGTATAAGCCTACTGTGCCCTGGTCCTCCTTTAAACCTCCAACGATGCAGCTTTTTATCTTCTCCAATTTCTTCTTTCTCTGCATAGCAACGTAACAAATTGTTCCCCAGTGGCAGTCGCATCTCCGGTGCCATTTGCCGACGTAGACCTGGAACTATCAGAATATTAACCCTAAATACCAACATTACCCCCCAGCTTCATTATCAACGAGGAAGCTTTACAAGCCTAAAATACTTTTCCTCCTAGTTATAATCATATAGAGGCAAGTCTGCTTACCTACCAGAGCAAGAAGGGCCATAGACTTAGGGCTTGTAGGTTCTTCTTGGTGCCTAGGTATGGTATGGTAGGCGGCCAAAAAACGCAAGCCCTAACTCTACTACCATACTCACTCGACATTGAGCATGGGAGGAGTACACATGCATTCCACGCAACCAAGCCCGCTTCAAACGAAATCCTGACTATCCCAATCCCCCCAACGCCACGGCCCCTCGACTGACCATCCCATAAACAATCTTCTTCGTGACCTTCTCATTATACACCATCGACCTACTGCTGTGAGTCAACGTCTTACAGGTTTAAGAGCACTTACCCATCATTGGCAAAAGCATCACAAACCCCAGTTGGGCTCACTTGCACTTGCAGGGTTCCCTTATATAAGAGGCGCTCGCCCGTGGCGGTTGGACTGATATCGAAGCTTGATAGACCCCGGTCTACCCAGCATTCTCTTCATAATGAACCCTATCCCTAAGCCTAAGCCCGCGATCCTCGACGCCGAAGATGCAAGACGCGTTCGCTATCTCTCGCGATCTCCAATATCGTTGCAATGGGTTCCGGAGAGTGAGGAAGCCCATACCTTGGCGGGTGGTCCGCCTTACCTGGCGGATTCCGCCACGGCCAGGCAGTAGGCCCGCGGCAAGATGTTACCTATCAACTCACGCACATGCAGGAAGAAATGGCTTTAGTAAAGTAGATGGAAGTTCAAGTACAGCGGCAGCACCACACTGCGAGTTTTTATCATAGAAAGGACGGTTGACATGGGTGTTTAGAGGCAACATTGCCAGCGGATTGAGAGCTGTGCTTGCTAAGAGAATAAAGTGCGTATGGTCCAACATCCAGCTTCACTAGGCCAAGTGGTAATTACCCGGCAAGCCATCGACGAGGGCAATCATTTGCAGCGGCCGCCTACCCCTCCAGAACATCCATTAGTCGCGGATACTCGCCTTGCTCGACGGCATCGACCCATTTGGCGATCTTCTTAAGCGAGAACCCATAGCCGCAATAGAAGGCCGCCCTAGCGAAGTCCTGCCTGAAAGCACTATCGTCGACGAGCAAGCCCCATCCCGGATTCATCTGGCGCATGGATGTGTTGTACAGCTCCCTCAGCTGCGTGGTCTCGTACTCCATCAGATGGATCCAGTAGAGCTCGTTCTTGCCCTCGTTGTCCAGCGCGTCATCATCGTCCCCGCCATCTCCGCCGTTCTCTCCGTCGCTTTCATCCCCGTAGCCGTCGCGCCGCGGCTCTTCGTCCCGCGTCGACAAGTCTAGGAATTTGGGCATCTCGGTTGCCATCCACAGTGGCATGGCAGAGACGCACTCCCAGTCGACGATGGCGGTGATTTCGCCCCGGTCGTTAACTAGGATATTGCATAGTGAGAGGTCCTGATGCATGATAACCGAGCGCTCCGGGGGGTTCACAAGCGGGGGGAAGATCTTGGGAAGTAGGGAAATCAGCTGCCGTGTGACGCCCAGAGCGAACTCGGCGTCCGCCACATCGTCTTCATCTTCTTCATCTTCGGCCTCCTTTTTATCTGTCGCGTGGTCACTGATCGCGATCTGCAGGTACGACGCAAGCCAGTCGTGCGTCGAGCGGAACGGCCCACGGGGGATGTCGAGGTCGAAGTGGGCGCCGTCGAAGAAAGAGGTTGAAACGAGCTCGCCTGGCTGCGGTTTCTGGCCGACTTCCTCGCTCGTATCGAGTAGCGTCCCAATGCCGGAGAAGGGATGCCGCATGAGCTGGGACTGGAATCCGGCGACCCGCTGCACGAGACGGGCTTTTTGAAAGGCGCTCAGCGTCCGCCACTTCTTGTACAGCGATACGCCGGGCATGCACTCCATCAGGATCCACTCGAAGCCGATCTCGTTATTTGCGCTGTCGTCAAAGGCGAGGACGTCTGGAACGGGGATGTCGGTATGTGTTCGGAGAAAGCGCAGCGTTGTGACCTCCCCTCGAGTTTTGGCTTGCGGATGGACGGGGAGCGAGACACGCATGATGTACGAGGGGTTGTTCTCGCCTGACTGGACGAGATAGAGCTTGTTGAAGGCCCCTTGGGCGAAAAAGGAGACCGAAACATCGGTTGTGTGCAGCTTCTCGCGGCATGTTTTGACGATGCCGTCCAAATTCGGGTCCCGAGTCCACACGGGCACATTGTTCAGCCCGGTGTCATTCCAGGCAAGGCCGTCTCGTGGTTTGGTGGGCATGATGGAAAAGGTAGCTTGCAAGCGAGTCGGTCGATGGAGGGGTGATGGAGGAAGGAAGACTGGATGGATGCAAAAGGAAGGTGCGGCGGGGATCACGTGACGGAGTGTCAACACAGTCCAGCTGGACTCCCTCCCACAGACACAGTTCAGCATGATGATCTATTCGGAGACCTCAAAGCCACTTCCAATACTGCAAGCCTATCATGGTGTGCTGAACGCCCTCTACCCGCATCATTGCTACGTCCATAGGCCAACTCGAGGCCAAAGGCTGACCACGGCCGAGAAGCCTCGATTGGAGTGAGCACATTGACGATATGTAGGACGTCTTGTGTTATGGCCCATGGCCACAAGTTCCCAATTGGTGTCCGACTCAGTTCTTCCTACTGCATCTCGATTCCCTCGTCGCCTCCTTCATCTCGATTCCTTCGTCGCCTACTACACCTCGCTTTCCTCCTCTTCGCCGTACAATTCAAAGCCATGGGCCGCGGCAAGAAGAAGGTCCTCAGCGACTTCATCGACAGCATCCCCGACGAGAAGCTGGAGGGCTTCCCGGACTCGCCGAGCACGCTGTACCATGACCTAGACTTTCGATTCGACATGCAAGGCGTGGGTGCTCTTTGCCTCCAGTATCTGCTCAAGATACCCCATACTGAATCCATTCCCAGATAACGAGCAACGACGAGTGGAACTTGCAGATCCAGGTCAACTTCAAACCGAAGACGCCCTCGCTTCGCAAGTTCGCCCCCAAAACAGTGGCCGGTCCGGTCTTGGTTTCTCGCAGCGAGCCGCTTACGGGCGAGGAAATCAGGCAGGCCCTGAGGGATACCGTGAGATTTGAATGATCGAATTCGCCGAGATGGACGCCCTACGTCGGATACTTGATTCGTTGGCAAGGACATCGGAGGGAGATTATGGGAACGTGCCTCGCATCCTCAATGTTTTCCTAACACATCGTCTTACTGGCACCAAGGGCCTTCCAAGGATCTTCCTCGAGTTTCTCAATATCACCGTCAGTGACCGTGCCAGCATAGTAATCCCATGCTGAACTGGATCCTCTAAAGCCACTTCATCAACCTGGCAACATAAGTCCCACCGCCGACCACGCCCGTCACCCCCGTAAACACAATCAGCGGGCCATATCCACTCCCATAACCCCAGCCTACACTGCCCTCCCACGGCAACCCCTCAATCAGCGCCTCACTCAGCGGCCCCGAGACCAAATTCCCAACGCCCCGCCCGGCAGCGAGACACGCAAACACAATCGAGCTCTCGGCCGAGGGCTCCCTGCGCACGACGTCGCGCATGATGCCGGGCCATGTACTCGTGTAGCTGCCAGCGAAGAGGCCGTAGATGATCGCGAAGACGTACAGCGGCCCCAGCGACATCGAGAACCCCCAGATCAGAAACACGCCGATGGAGGATCCGATTGTGGAGACGAGGATGCACAGCGTTACGTCGAGCTTGTCGACGACGGCGCCCATGACCACGCAGCCGATCACAGACGCGACGTTGAACAGGATCACAGTCAACGCCTGCAGACTACTCGATGCGCCGAGCATCCCCGCGTACGTGGGGAGATAGATACTAGGAAGGAAGAATCCGAGCGCCTCGACGGAATTACACAGCTCAAAGAGCGCAAACGTGCGCGTCACGAGGAAGCGCAGGTTCGGAATCGGCGGCTGCATCCTGTTCCGTGCAGGCGGAACCCTTGGCTTAACGAAGTACACCAGCGGCGCGGTGAGGACGAACAGCGCCGTCGCGAATGCTCTCAGCGTCGTGCGGAACCCCCAGCGCGTCAGCATCTGCTCCATCACAATGGGGAGGACGACGCCGCCCAGCCCGGTGCCCGCCCACATGACGCCGAACGCGAAGCCCTTGCGTCTGTCGAACCAGTCTTCCATGAGCAGGATGCAGGGGGAGTAGGCGATTGAGCCGCCGAGGGCGTAGAAGATGCCCTGCGTGATGATGAGGTGGGTGGTGCTTGTGGAGAGCGAGGAGAGGGCGAGGGCCAGACACATTGTGAGCACGCCGATGCCGCACCCGATGCGTTGGTATTTCGGCCAGTAGCGGTAGGCGGCGAAGACGAGGGGGAGGTCGAGGTACATTATTCCCTGACGGAGGTAATCATCAGCTGGGAGTTGTCATTGAGAGGTGGAAAAGAGGAGGGGTACCATGGCGCACGTCCCGATCACGGCGATATTGCTTGAACTCTTGAATTCCTCTGCTTCGGTGTAGTACGCCTGGAAGACGCCGTAGGTGAAGGCGAAGCCCCAGACCAGGGCTTCCATGACGAAGCATGCGGCCAGGAAGAGCCAGGCGTCTTTGCCGGTGTCGATGGGCGGGTAGGGGCTGGCATTGGAGAGGGAGGTTGCGGAGGTATTAATGCCCTTTTCGTTTTCGGCCTCGTTTGAGGAGGCGTGGGAGCTGGAGATGTCGTCCATGGTGTTCTACTGACTTGTAGAGGGGCTCACAGCGGAGGGTCAAGGCAGAGTCAGAAAATAAGAAAGAAACAGCGAGAGACGCTATAATAAAGGCCATAGGCTGAGCAATCACTGGCCATCCACATCTGGGTTAGATCTGCATTGGCAGCGGCGGTGGAGACATGTCTGGGGAAGGGCGCGCTTTTTATTCTCTTCATGGCCATTGGACGTTACATGAGTGCCCACTGTCATGTTTCTCTGTCGAAGTCTTGGGGCAATGACTCGGCGAGAACACTTGGTAGTGACCACCACATCGACAAGAGATAATTCCAGCACACATGGCAGGTCAGTTGGTTGAAGGGAGTAAGCCCGATCTCGGACGCACCTCTATTATCAACTGATTATTATTAATAGGCTAGTCGGCTAAATCGGAGTTGTCCGGCTTATTGCTTAATATAGTGGACCGTCATGCAGTCAGCAGCACAGCTTTAATCTACGGAAACAACAAACATTGCTCAATCCATATGGATACTCCGTACAGGGATTATGCGAGCTCACGTTTCGCCCAGTTCACCGCGCATTTGCCCAACTTCCCGACCAGTTCATCCTGTAATTTAGGTACGCGCCAAGTTTGTGGCGCTTGCATAGGGCACATCCCTGCTGACCTCCGGCTTAGGAAAGTTCCCCTTTACCACTTTAGGCATCTTATAGACCGAGCCCAACCTGCCGAGTCATATACCCCCTACGGAGACGTGCACCATAAGTTTCCGCGTGTGGCTGTTCCAGGTCACGTGACCTGTAGCCAATGACGAGCCACGCTCAAAACCACTGGATGACCTGATTGGCTACAAGTCACGTGACTTTTGTGTCACCTATGCGGAAACTTTTGGTGCACGTCTCCGTACCCACTACACAAGCTGACACCGCAGACCTCCCAGGCTGGCCGGCCCCGTCCCGCCCATATCAGCGCCGCTGTAAATCCATGCACAGGTCGTGGGTTCCTAATTACAGACCCAGGACCAGAACCACGGTGTGCCGTCAATGCATGTAATCTGGATCACACCGTATGTGCGCGTGGCACAGTGGCGGCGGCAGCGGCGCAAGGCCAGCGCTAATTATGCCTCTTTCGTGGTGCCTGGGGGAGGCAAACGGGGTAACAGTACGGAGTAGGTGCTGTGACAATTGTGGACGCAGAAGTACTGGAGCAAGTGCATAGATAAACACGGAATAAATACGACCGCCATTGGCAGATCTTGGCCTTTGGGGTAATGTTGGCAGTTGAGGACCTTGGAGTCCACATGATGACTAGCGTTGCTGCTGGTAGGATATCGCATTAGTATCACTGACGAGGCATTAGACGCTCAGTTGACACATGAACTGCTAGTAATTCACGGCCTATGTTTGATTGTTGTTGATGCCTAGCTAAGCAGTGCTATATTAGGGCTCACTTGTTCCAACAGCACCTTTACAACTCTTAGCAATCTAGGGGTACCTTTAAATAAGGGCTCTAGACACTTTAAAACTATTATAAATATATATTTCTACTATTTTAATTTTATTTTTAACTTTATTTTTTTCTTTTTTATTACTTTTTATAATATAATAACTAAAATTAAAGCATGTACCCTTAATTAGCCTATAAGTATTAACTTAGCTAACTTTATATAGCTATAAAACCCCTTATTTTTTTTTTTAACTTTTATATTATAAAAAGGTAAAAAAAAAGGGTTCTAGCAAGCTTATTTTTTTTATTATTAAAAATAATAGCATGCTAACTTTTTAACCTAGCTTAATTATAAAAGCCTTTTATAATTAACTTAATAAGTAAAAGTACTAGGTATATATTAAGTATAAAGTTTTTATAAGCTTTATAATTATTATTAATAACTTTATAATTAGGTAAAAAACTTAAAATTAAAAAGCCTTTACTTATAATATTTATAATAAGTTTATATATTTTATTTTTTTAAAGGGCTATACTAATATTAATAATATTAATTATATTTTTTTATATATATATAATTAGCTTATTATTATAATAACCTTTAATAAAATTATTACTTAAAAAAATAAGTTTAATTCTTAAAAACTTAAGGGCTTAACCTACCCCTTTTAAAGTAAATTTTTTTATTTTAATTAATACTATTTTAGGCAAGGGGGCCCCCTTAAGTATTTTAATAACTTAATTAATATATAATAACTTTATTATAGCCTTAATAATATAAAATAATTATAAAATATTAATTATTTTTTTTAATAATAAGCTAATAGTGTGCTTAAAAATATATATTATTTAATAAGCCCTTACTAAGTACATGCTAGGCTTAACTATAATTATAATTATTTTTAAAATTAATACCACCCGCACGGGCTAGGCTATTATTTTTAATAATTTTTTTATTAAAAATTTTTTAATAATTAATAAAATAATTAATATAATTTATTATACCCTAGGTGTTATTAATATATATATTTTTTAAAAATAATATAATTATATAGTATAAAAAGTGTTTAATATTATTTTAATATATAATAATAGTAAAATAAATACTATTAAGCTAATTTAAAATAAAGTTATAGCTTAAATAAGATTAAAGCTAGTTAGGCTTACTTTTTTAAAACACAGGCCTAATTTTAATACTAGGTATATTACTTAAGTAATATTTTTTTTAAAGTAGCTTAAGGCCTTTACTTTATTTAATTAAAGTAAGTATTATTAGCTTATTAAAAAATACTAGCTAATTTTTTAATATAACCCTAGCTACTAAAAATATTATTACCTAGTATAATATAATTATATAATATATTATATATAATATAATATAATAATTATAAATTACCTAAGTTTTATTAATTTAAATTATAAAAATTTTATATACTACACAAATTACCTAAACCCCTAGTTAATAAAATATAATAATTACCTAGTAACCCCTAGGTGTAAAAATAAGAAATTAATTTACTTATTTAAAAAAAACTTAATAATATATATTATTATAATACCTACTAGTATTAAAATATATATACCTAGGCTAATATTAATACCTAGCTTTAGGCTAAAATTAAATAATTTTTATTTTAAAAAAACCCTTAAAAATATATTATAAAAAAACTAAAGGTAAATAAGCAGGGCTTTATAATAATTATTAATTATTATATCCCGCGGTTTAATACCTTTATTAATAATTAAAATTTTAAGTAGCTTTTTATTAAATTAATCTTGCTTACCTTAATTAGCGTAAATATACCTTTTTTATTTTAAGTAATAAAAATTAATACTAAATCCCTTTTTAAGCTTTAATAATAAAGTACTAAAAAAATTATAATAATTACTATTAAAATAATACCTAGTAATAGTAGGATTTTATTATTTATTAGGTTAATATAAATAGGTTTATATTTAATTATATTATAATTTTATAATTAGCTTATAAGCAAGGCTATAATATTATTTATATTTAAAAGCCCTAAATTACCATAGGCATAAAAACTTAAAATTACTTAATATATAAGTATTACATGCTAGTAAATATTTAAAATAATTATAAAAACTAGTTAAAAAAGCGCCCTAAAGTATTTATTTATATTTATAAAAAAAATACTACATGCTAAATAATATTACCTAGTATAAAATTAAAATATACTATAACTTATAATAAATAGTATTAAGGTTTTAAATATATATTAAAAACTAACTACCTATAAAATAATTAATTATTTAATTATATTAATCCCTACCCTAAACTATATAATTAGTAAGAATTTTAATATTACTTATAATATTTTTAAGCCCGGAGTAAATAACCTATATTATAATAGTAAAATTATTAAATAGGCTAGTAATAATAATATTAATTATATTAATAAACTAGGTATATTCACGCATAAAGCTAGCTATATTTTTAATTTAACCTTTTTAAATATTTTTTTTACTTACATGCTAGTAATACCCAAGTTATATAATAATTTTAATTATTAAACTTTAGTTATTATAATACTAGGGCGTGGGAAAAAAATATTAAAATAGTATTATTATAATATATTAAATTATAAGCTTAAGTACCTAGCTAGGCTTATAAAAAATAAAATAATATTTTTTTTAGCCTAGGGAACTTAAAAATATAAAAATATTAAATTAATATACTAAATCTTTTAATAATACTATTATAAAAGTTATATAAGTAATTAATAAATATTTTAACCTAGGGAGCCATAGTGCCCCCTAGTAATTAATTAAATATATAAAAAATTATTAAGCCTGGGTAGTAAACCCTACCCTAAAATAAAAAAAGTATTTTTTAGTTATAATTTATAAAACTAAACACGCGTACTAAACTAAAATAATTAATAATATTAAAAATAATTAAAAACTATATTAAATAATAATATAATATAAGCTAAAGCCTAGGCTTAAGGCTTTTTTATTATTAATAAATAATAAAATAATTAAAAATATATAAAAAAAGGCTAATATTTTATAAAAGGTAGTATTAAAGTATTTTAATATAAATAATAATTTAAACTTTAATTTTTTAATATTAAAGCACTAGCAAGAAAATAAGCACCTTTATTAATTAAAAAAAATCTTATTAAAAAAGGTTAAAAAAATATTATTAATATAAGCAGCACCTTTTTAAAAGTAAACTAGGTAATAATTTATATTTTAAAGGCTTATTAAAAATATATTAAGTAGGTTATACACAGGCTATATAATTAATACTTATAATTAAAATATTTTTTTTTATTATAAAAACTCGCGGAGGTGGTAATATTTTTAAAAAGTAATAAAAAAAATAAGTTTTTATTTTAATTTTAGCGCCTTATAGCACTACTTTTAGTATTAAAAAAAAACTTAAATAAATTATAATATATTATGTTATTTTTATTATACTAGTATAAGGGGTACTAAGTTTATAATAATATAATACTTTACTTAAGCACTTAGCTATAAACTTAATAACCTTTTTTACTTATAATATAAAAATAGCACTTTTATAAAATTAAAAGGTTATTATAATTATTATAAATATTTTAAATACTTTTAATATTATTTTATTATAATACTTATTTTAATAAATAATAAAGCAAGGCTAGCCTTGTATACTTTTAGCCTTAATTATAAGTTTTTTTAATAAATAAAGTATAAAAGTATGCCTAAAATTTATTATAATAATAATATACCTAGTATATTATAATATATTATAAGGCTTGTCTTTTTTTTAGTATTATTTTTATTATATATTATTAAATTATTACTAGTAAACTTAATCCTGCGCTTTAGCTATATAAATAACTTTTACTTTAATTATATAAATAACTTTTTTTATATAAATTATAAACTTTTAGTAAAAAATATTTATAGCATGCTAGCTTAAAAAAAATAAAATAAAATAATTTTTACGCCTAAAAAATTAAAAATATTATATATTACTTAAAAATAGCATGGTAAATTACCCTTACTAATAATTAATAACTAGCTAATAATTATGCTTATTATTATAATACTAGGCTAAAAATAGCCTATGTTATATTAACTAGGTATTTTTTTTAATAAATAATTTTTTTAATACTAGTATATTATTAAGTAAGTTATTAAAGCCTATATAATAGCCTAATATATTTATAATTTAGTATATATAATATATAATCCGCCCGCGAATTTTTTTTATAAGGTAATTATTATTTATATTATTTTTAGCTTTTTATATAATATAAAAGCATGGTATAATAGTAAAACTAAACTTAAAAAATATATATAAAATTTAAAAGTTAGCGCCTAACTAGGCTAATATATTAAAATAATTAAAAAAATTTTAATACTAGCCACTCGCGGTATACTTCTAGTTTTTTAAATAATATTTATAATAACCTTTTTTAAAAATACTAGGCTTTTTTCCGCGGTGGTAATATTAAAAAAAGTATAATTATATTTTACCTTAAGGCTAAGGCTAGTTAATAGCTAAAACCTGCTAATAAAGTATATAATATTACTAAAAATTTTATAAGGCTAGGGCGCTAGCTTAAGGTAAAAACCTAAAATAAAGATATAAATAATAAAAGCTTTTTTTTTAAAAATACTTAGGCTAGTTTTAGCGTATTTTTATTATTTTTAAAAATATTTAAAAAACCTTACTAAAAATAAGGCCAAGAAACTAGCCATAAAAAAATTTAGGTAATAATAATAAATATTATTTTTAGTAAAGGTAGTAATTTTTAATAATAATTTAAAATAAATATATTAAAAAGTATATTACGTAGGCTATAGTTATATAATTTATTATAAATAATACCTTTAAGCATAGAAATTATTAATAATTAATACTTAATTTTATATATATAATACTAAAGTTATTAATATACTTTAAAAATTAAAGGCTATAATTAAAAAGCTTTTAAAAGCACCTTACTATTAGCTTTATATTAATAATATTTTAGTAATTTAATACACGCGCGGGTAGCCTTTATTATTTTTAAATTAGGCTTTTTAAATATTATATTAACTTATAAACTAGCATATAGTTTACTTATAATAATTTTTTAGTTATATAAATATTAAGGGGAATAAGCTAGCTAACAAGCTAGCTAATAAAATAGCTTTTATAAAAGTATAACTTTTAAATATTAATTTTTTAAAAGTATAACCTATTATAAGTAAAATATATAACTTATATAAGTAAATATACCGCGTGGCTTAAGCTAAATAATAAAAAAATATTTTAATAAAATTATTTACTTAGTATAAGTAATAACTTATTATAAAGCTAAAATTTTACTAGATTAAGGTATAATTAAAATTAATATTAAAATAATTAGTTTTATATTATTAGCTAGCACTTAAGTTTTTATATAAAAATTTTAAATAATATTATAAATACTTTTAATATAAAAATATTAAGCTTATTTATTTTTATAAAAAAATAAAAGCCTTAAACACTTAATTTTTTATTATTATTTTAAATAATATTTTTTATAATAGCCCTAGCACCTTATAATATTATTAATAATTAAAATTAAAATTTTAAAATATTTTTATAAATTAAAGCTTAAGGGCTTTATATTTTTACTTAAAATTATAAATTTTTATAAATTTATTTATTTATATTAGGGTTTCTTGTGCTTTAATAGCCCTTATACTAAAATTATTTAATTTAATATTAAATAATTTTTTTTTATATTATATTTTTTTTTTTAAATTTTTTTTTTAATATAATTAATTTACCTAGTATATTTTTTTTTATATAAAAGCTAGACCCTATAAACTACTATAATTAATTTTTTAAGTATATAATAAATAATACCTGCTAATAATTATATATTAAAATAATAAATAGAAAATAAGCGCCTAGCCTATAAGCTTTAGCAAAAGTTACCCTTTAAAATAAAAAGCCTTTTTATATATATATATAAACCTATTTAAATAAGCTACTTACCTAGTAGTGGCACGCCCCCATACCCCAAGGGAGGTCTAGAATATTAGGCGCACGCCTAGCGATCCCCGGGGCGTTAAATATTACTACTACTACTACTACTACTTGTTCCAACAGCAACTGGTACACCTATGGCCTCAATAGATGCCCAAGACTGGAAGTTTATGGCAGAGAAAGTTAAGTCGTTCTCCAAATTTAACAATCTTAATCGGCTGTCTCCGTATAAGCGTGATGCCAGAGCTGTAGCTACACTGCATATGCAGTATCGATCCATCTATGCATACCCCATGGTACATGTCGAACGTACTCCATCACCCCGGATAATGCGCCGCATTCCTTAACGTCTGATACTCCAGCGCCGTCAAATCCTCATAAACCGCCTCCTGCCCATCCAAAAACTCCCTCAACGGCCCAACATTAACCCCCCGATCCGCCTTGTTAAAGTACACCAGACTCCAGCGCTCGGGCACCGTCTCCCCGACACACTCCCTGGGCCTGGTAACCCGATGCAGCCCCCCCGGAATCCCCCCATTCGTCCAGCGCTGCATCGTCTCACTCACAATCACAACAACCTCCTCCTCCGACCCATACGGCATGGGCACAAACGTCCCCGGGTTCCGACGATCCTCGTACTCCAGCCCCGGCGTGACATCCGGAAAGACAAGGCTGATGATCCCGAAGTCCTTGTGCGGCCAGATGCGGCTGATCTTGCCCGCGTCCAGCGTCGCCCGATCAATGGGCGGGAAGTGGTTGATGCGGATCGTGCTCGCCTCGTTCGTGCACCGCGCCGTGAAGATCTCGCCTAGATCCAGTGCGCAGCCTAGTGCGTCGAGAAGGTCGAGCGTCAGGGCCCCGCAGCTGAAGAAGAAGCGCTCCATTGTGTCCCTGTAGCCTGGGAGGTCGTGCTCCGCGGGCCACTTGTTCGGGAAGATTTTGTCGCCTGGGTGCCCGCAGTCGAAGCTCTCCTTTACCATGTGTTAGAGGGAGATGAAATGGAAACTTAACGGCAGGACGCACCTTGTTATCGCTGAAGGTCGGCTCCTTGACGTCCCCCGTGTTGCTCTCGAGCCACCACGTCTTCTCCTCGCCCGGGACGCTCCATCCGCGCTGCTGGCCTTGCTTGGGGTCGTTGCGGAGGGGGAGTTTCACGTTGTATGGGAGTTTGAAGAAGCGTTTTATCTGGCCAGCCATGGCTCACTGTTAGATACTGGTACTGTATGGTGTAGGTAATTCCATGCAAGGGCGTACCTGGTCAAATGTCTCCTGGACCAGCGGGACAGGGACAGTGTGGTTCACCAGCTTCGCGAACCCGTACGTCGTCAAGCTGTCGAGGAGCTTGGCTGCGAACTCGGCGCGTTGCTCGGCCGTGCCATTGGAAAGGGCAGACGCGTCGAGAACGGGGATGGTCATGGTGTTGCTGGCAGTGTCAGTCCTAGGTATGGGATGGTAGGCACTGGGCAGATGAGCAAATGGTCGGGAGCAGAGGCGGCTTATAGAGCAACGGCCTTATGCATTGCCTGATGCCGTGATAGCGCCGGAGACCACGAAAGGTATGTCTTACGCTTGGCTGGTCCCTCTCTCTTGAATTTGCTTGCTTCGCCCCTTGGACTGGAGCCTCCTCACAGAGCCCCACGTCAAGCTATATCTCCTTCTGGTCTTGGATTGTCAGACCCCGAATATCGGACGCATCTCGCCTTTTGTAGTAATTGTGGATATTCAGGCAGGATACAGATGCATACCCTATGAGAGCTGGGAGTTCACCTCGCACTTTGCCTGGTATAGGACCAGGATGTTCAGCTCGGGCTGCACATATCCTATAGGGGTAGTTAGATACGCAGCGGGCTGCATAGCCGTTGGACGAGCGGCTGTAGCTAACAAGGGGTTCAGCTCGGGATGGCCACTGCCTGAATGAGAAGTCGATCCGGAGTCAATCACATCCTGCAGCTGGGACACGCACGTTATTTGCGGGAGCGTGGAGCTGACCTACGTCTGACACAGCACTATCTGCAATACGTAGTGGGATATGCACATCAGCACTAGGAAAGACAGGAGGCTAGACGTGTCTGTAAGCTGGCTAAGGAACGCACTACAATGGATGATTCAGCTGACTGCCCTACCATAGATATTACAGATAGGACCTCGGAGATATTAAACTCGTCGACTCGTCAGCGCCAAGAGGCCTGCAGAAGGGGCACACCAATGGAGGATTTGGCAATGCGGCTGACGGTGTGCCGCACTGCCGAGCAACTAGATTAACTGCAATGATCCACCACTAAGAACGTATATCTGTGCAGGGGTAGAGTATTATCCCCGCGTAAGGCGCCCGAGCTGAGTTGACGGACAGGGATAGACTGCAAGGACACCGAAGGGGTAAAAGCTTCGACTAGCCCGGGGCTGTGCAGATAAGCAGAGACTGAAGATGGCGGTTTCGGACAATTCCAATGTGTCTGTTGCACACGTGTGAGGGGTATTGATTCCAGGATGGGGGGAATCCGAGGTCTTAAAGTGAAGTGTATGGCCTGATGCGAGGACAATCGCAAGTCACTTCAGGTGCATTGTCGCAAAGATAAAATGCCCATGTATGACAACCCTAATGTTCATGTCCCAGCACCCGTGGACCCTAACTGACTGCATAGGCTCCGCAATCCCTCCGAGAAATATGAGCCCTTCATCCCCCCAGACCTGCCCGACAGGACATGGCCATCGAGAAGACTCACCAAAGCCCCTCGCTGGCTCGCAACGGACCTGCGAGATGGAAACCAAGCCCTCGCCTGCCCAATGGTCCGTCCCCAGCTCTCCACCCCAAAGCCAAGTATAGCCCTAACAGAACCAGAACATCGAGCAAAAATGGTCCTACTTCCAGCTCCTCCTAGCCACAGGCTTCAAAGAAATCGACATCTCCTTCCCCAGCGCCTCAGAGACCGAGTTCGCATTCACCCGCCGCGTCGTCGCCTCCGCGCCCGACGACGTCTGGCTGCAGGTCCTCTCCCCCTGCCGGAGAGAGCACATCCGGCGCACCGTCGACAGCGTAACCGGTGCCAAGAAGGCGATTATCAGCCTGTATATCGCGTCAAGCGATACCTTCATCGAGACGATGTTTGCATCTTCACGGGAGGAGGTCCTCCGCACGGCCGTGGACTGCGTGCGGTATACGCGCGCCATCACGAAAGATGATCCGGCGCAACAAGGCACGAGCTGGAATCTGATGTTCAGCCCCGAGGCGTTCTCAGATACAGAGAGCGAGTACGCAATTGCGCTCTGCAAAGCCGTCAAAGACGCGTGGGGCCCAGCCGAGATCCCCATGATCCTGAACCTCCCTGCCACAGTGGAGCGCTGCACGCCAAACACCTACGCCGACCAGGTCGAGATCTTCGCGCGGGCGTTCGCACAGAGCACAGACGTGGTTGTCTCGCTGCACCCGCACAACGACCGGGGTTCTGCCGTTGCCGCTGCAGAGCTCGGCCAGCTTGCTGGCGCGACGAGGGTGGAGGGGTGTCTGTTTGGCAACGGCGAGCGCACGGGGAACGTCGATCTCGTCACGCTCGCGCTGAACCTGTACAGCCAGGGCGTGGATCCAGGGCTGGACTTCTCCGACCTCCCGCGCATCCGGGCAGCGGTTGAACAGATCACGCACATCCCCGTGCACATGCGGGCGCCGTACGCGGGGGACTCGGTGTTCATGGCGTATAGCGGGTCTCACCAGGATGCGATCAACAAGGGGTTTAAGAAGTGGAGGGGGCCTGGCGATGGGACGGGGAGGGCGCTGTGGAAAGTGCCGTATCTGCCCATCGACCCGGCGGATATCGGGGCGACGTACGAGGCTGTGATCCGCGTGAACTCGCAGAGTGGGAAGGGGGGCGTGGCGTGGGTTTTGCAGCGGACGCTGGATCTGGAGCTGCCCAAGGAGTTCCAGGTGGTGTTTTCCAAGGTCGTCAAGGCTGAGTCGGAGGGTGTGGGGAGGTGGCTGACGGAGGCGGAGATCACGCAGTCGTTCTTTCGGCATTATGCTGTGCTTGAGAAGGATGTGCGTATTGTTGCGTGTGAGGTCTCGCCCAAGGAAGACGGGGGACGAGTGACGGTCGAGGCGATTGTCCTTGTCCGAGGGCGGCCGCGGGAAGTTAGGGCTAGCGGCGAGGACGCGGCCGATGCGGTTTCCTTTGCGTTTTCTTCGCTGGCCGGGCTGAATCTGGAGTTTGAGACGGTGCAGAGACGTATTCAGCCAGACGGGCAGGCGGCACTTGTCATGGCCCTGGTCAAGTGCAGGGGTCGCTGGCGGGCGAGGGCAGCGGAGCGTGGAGATCTTGCGGTGGCATTGGCCTGTCTATCTTCTGCTTTGGTATGTTTCCTCCAATGCTCTCTTCCACTGCTGCGAATACGTACTGACTGGAGCAGGATCTGCAGGAAGACCTGCCGGCCGACCGTCAATTCATGAGACTCTTGCCGATTGTGCAGGTCATGTCGTGATCCACCACAGGAGTGAAGAGCTAGACAGTTCGCAGATAGATGCTCCACCCGATTCTATTCTTAGAGGAGAATATACACATCCATTACTGTGTAGACAATAACCAAAGTACAGGGTTCTCTTCGGTGACTCGTCAGCGTATCACACAAAGGTGGAGCAGTAGTCGTATGGAATGCATCCAACCTGTTCAACACGTCCGATGTCGCTCGCAGCAGCTATATATTGGGCCTTCCGGCCGTCCGCGGTCTCCTGTCATCCCATCCATCTGCCTCCACCCCGAGAAAATGGCTCGTTCAGAAATGCAGACACCGCGCATGTTCAAGGTAGCCCTGTTGGTAGCACCAGAAGATAGGGTTAGCCGAGAGAAGGCCTCTCATGTCCGAGAAGTCCTGAGCCTGATCCAAGACGCCCGCCCGGGAATCCGCTTTGTGGTTTCAGAACACCGCTGTGGCTCCGGATCAGAGACACTGCAAGCATGCCTAGACTCGGATGCCATCCTGCTCTGCGGACATGATGCCGAGGACAGCATATCTATGGCTTTATCCAAGGAGCTTGACGCTTCTGCCACCATTCAACCCGTCTCGATCCCAAGTACTGCTCTTCTCCGCGAGGACGGTCCAACCGAGAGCGTCAATCTCAGGAACCTCGATATCACCTTCGTCAGTGGGCAGAGGGGAGAACGTGACTCTCGTGACATGATCGAACGGATAGCCCGCTGGGCCGGAGAACACGCCATGCGGTTCCAGCCACCCAAGGCCGTGCATGTCGTCGACGCGTCCACCTCACTGTGGAACACCGTTGCCAGTGAGGTCCTGCAGAAGCACTTTTCCCGCGTCCCGATTGATTCCGTTCCCGTTGATGTCGCTGCTGCACTGGTTGATTCCCGACCAACGCAGCTAAACGGGATTGTCATCAGCCGAACCGGAGCGAGCCTCGCGGAGAAGGTTCGCAATATTGTGGAATTCAATGATCTACTGCCCTCTGCCACTATCTCGTTGTCTCAGAGGAGCGACCAAGCGGACTCTAGCCTCAGCCGGGGGGTGTTCAAGGCTGGAGACTTCAGCACAGCCCATGAAGAGGCCACCTGCATCCTCCCCGCCATCAGCCTCATGCTCGACCTCTCTCTAGGGCTTCACGCAGAAGCAGCCGCAATAACCAAGGCCATACGTCGAACTCTAGACCCCGTCGAACTCCTCGGCTCGAACATGCGGACTCCCAGCGCCGGCGGCACAGCCAGCCCACACGAGTTCATGCAGACATTCACACAGCACCTAGACACCTATCTCGAAGCAGCCCGAGCTCTTCCCAGCCCCGAACCCCCTCAACACAATCCCCACACATCCCATCTCCATAACGCCCCCCGCCCCCGCCCAATGTCCGTAATCGAAAAGATCCTGACCCACGCCGCCGTCGGACTCACCACCCCCACCATCCAACCCGGCGAGATCATCTGCGCAGCCGTCTCCTGGACCCTAACCTCGGAGATCCTCTGGGCCGGGATGGAAAAGACGTACGCCGCCATGGGGCGCCCCAAGCTCCACCGCACCGACAGAACGTGGCTAGCCCTCGACCACACGCTCGACCCGCGCACCAACCACCTCCCGCGGCAGCGCGGCCTCATCGAGAAAGCCGAGGCCTTCCGCCGCGAAGCCAAACTCGTCGACTTCGTCCCCGCCAACACGAGTATCCTGCACACGGACTTCACGCGCGATAGAGCGCTCCCTGGCCAGATTGTTGTGGGCGCGGACTCGCACACGTGCTCGGCGGGGTGTGTGGGTGCGCTGGCGGTTGGTCTCGGTGCCGCGGATGTGGTGATGCCCATGGTGACAGGGGAGACGTGGTTCCGGGTGCCTGAGGTGTGCCGGATCAACTTCGAGGGCAGGCTGGGGTTCGGGATCAGCGGGAAGGACGTGATCCTGCATATTCTCCGCCTGTTCAAGCGGAACACGATTGCGTTCCAGCGCGCCGTCGAGTACGGGGGTCCCGGGCTGTCTGAGTTGTCGATGGACGCGCGGTTCGCGATCGCGAATATGACGACGGAGTTTGGCGGCATGGGGGCGTGCTTTGAGGGCGATGAGAGGACGGCGGCCTGGATTGGCGATCGGCCGCATGGCGAGCATCGGGGCGGTTTGTATTTCCGGGCGGACGCGGGGGCGGAGTATGCGGAGGTGCGCGCGGTGGATCTGGGCGAGGTGGAGTGGACGGTTGCGCTGCATCCGAATCCGGACGATGTGGTGCCGGTGAGTGAGAAGGAGGGTATGAGGCTGGACGGGTGCTTTATAGGGGCGTGTACTACGACAGAGGAAGACCTGATTACCGCGGCGCTGGTGCTGGATGCGGGCCTGCGCTCGGGGCTCGTTCCTGTTTCTGGACGCAGACGAGTCACGCCGGGGAGTCTGAGCATTATCAAGAACCTAGAGCGCCACGGCCTGTTGGACATCTACCGAGCAGCTGGGTTTGACATCGGGGCACCCGGGTGCTCGTACTGCGTGGGCATCAACGACGTGGACGTCGCCTTGGAAGGCGAGGTGTGGCTGTCGTCGCAGAACCGCAACTTCCGCAACCGCATGGGCAAGGGCAGTATCGGGCATGTCACCTGTGCGGCGGTCGTTGCGGCGTCGAGCTTCGGCATGGCTGTTGCTGATCCTCGGCCGCTGCTCGGCCAGATCGACAAGGCGAGGCTGGACAGGATCCTGGGCAGGCAGAAGGTGGCCGTGGCATTGGCTCCAACCATCAGCGAGCCTGAGCCTGTTCTCGTAGCAGAGAGCTTCGACGAGTCGGAGAATGCTGGGGGTGGAACGGAGGCCTCTCCCTCTACTCGAAGTACCAGAGGTAGCTCTGAGCAGATTCTGCAGTCGAGAGTGCAGAGGTTCGGTGAGAATGTCGATACGTATGCCATCCTACCTATCCACAATAGAACGGTCTAACCTCTTATATTATGTTTAGGGACGCCATCATCCCCGCCGAGTTCGTCCCAGGCGTCGACAATGCCGACCTGGGCAGCCATTGCTTCCAATACTACCGCCCCGAATTTCGCCAAAGAGCAAAGGATGGAGCAAAGATCATGTTTGTCTATCTATTGAATAGTGATGTATCTCAGGCTGACTACTCAGCGTCGCGGACCGCGGATTCGGCAGTGGGTCGTCGCGCGAAGACGCAGTTAGGGCTTTGCAGGGCGCCGGCATCGAGGCGGTTATTGCGCCGAGCTTTGCGTTTATATGTGGGTTCTACTTGAAAAACCATGGGAGTGCTTGGCTAATGCCGATTGTATAATGCAGATGACAGAAATCAGCTGAACATGGGCCTTTTCAGCATCACACTCCAAGACGACGCCTTCTACGCCCACGTGCAGGAAGATTCCGTTGTGATTATTGACCGTGAAAAGAAAATCGTACGCATCGACGGACTCGACCAGGCGTTTGCGTACCAGCAGTCGGAGATGGAGAAGACGCTGCTTGAAGCTGGGGGTGTGCTTCCTCTGTACAGCCGGTTCGGGCGCGCGGTGTTTCGGGGAATTGCCAGGGCGAATACTAGCAGGGGGGAGAGGCCTAAGGCGCCTGCGAAGGGTTTGTCTGGTGGACTGGAGTGGTGATATACAGAGTTGCATGCAGAATAGGCACAGGGGGACGTGCAGGTGGCAGCTAGAGACTTACCTAGGTGGTATTTCCAGTTGACCTTAGTTAGGGCTATAGAGTGTGGTATATATTTCCCGAGTAGCCTTCTGTTTGCCTACATTCCTTTCTTCAAAGTACGTTGCTGGAAGCACCTCAGTACCTCGATCTCGATGAAGTAAGTGAACATCAGCCCCGGTTGCCATTGAGGATTCCCCAAGGAACGACACGTCTCATCCAAGGCTGCCTATTATACATTGTATAGTGTCAGGCTGAGGCTGAGGCTGAGCCACTAGTACGAAGAGACTCTAGTCCATGCTATGATCGCTTAGCAGGATCTCCAGCTGAGGCGGGGTTGAAGAATGTCACTGTTAGATCCAACCTCTCCAACACGACCGTGAAGCTGCTGTAGCAACAATGGCAGACCACCTCTTCTCCCCCGGCGCCCCCCCAAAGCCCCTCCGCATCGAGTACACCGGCCCCCTATACGACGGCGACGACTGGGATACGTACCCCAGTCGACAAGGCTGGGAATCTGCGCCAAACACGCCAAAGTTCCCTCCACGACGAATCCCGCCTGAGTTCCACCCATATATCGAGTGCTGGCTGTATTTCGGCACGCTGCACTACGTCTTCGGGGACACGCTAGACCAGAATGACTTTCTTGTCTGCGAGGGTGAAAAGCAGTACATTACGACAAAGCACCTACCGAGGTATATTGAGAACACCAGAGCGTGGAAGAAGCGCAACCGCGGCACACGGAGTATCGAAATCGTCTCGAAAGTCTGCAAGGTCCTTCCACTCTATTACAACACCATCCGACCTCCCCTGCGCCTCGCCATCCAGCTCCTGTCCCACGCCCTCTGGAACATAGCCACCACCCGAGACCCCTCGCTACCAGCACAACCACCGCACGTCCGCACCTGGATGTTCGCGCAGCCCAGCGAAGTCGAGACAATGGTAGGCGATGGATGGTGCCCGCTCGACGCGGAGAAATGCCGCAAGGCCGGCGGGGAGGTTGATACAGCAGCGTATTTGCTACAACTCGTGCGGACGAAAGCGGACTGGAATAAGCGGAGCCATGAAGCGTGCAGGAAGACGGAGTGCGTGGCCGATAACGTGGACGAGAGCGTCTACGTCACGCGGCATGTCGACGGACGCTGTAACTGCCAGCACGTCCACGCCGACGTCGAAGCGCTGCACGCCATCCTGAAAGAGGGGGACATCCCGATCGTAGAAATCGCGCGGCGTCCAAGCGGCGGCGGGTACGAGATTGCGGTCGCTCGGAGACAAAGCAGGCGGTACGTCGCCGTGTCGCACGTCTGGGCCGATGGGCTCGGAAACCCAGCCAGCAACTCGCTGCCGCACTGCCAGATCGAACTGCTCTACGCGCGGGCGAAGACCCTCCTCTCCGAGACGGAGTACGTCCCGCAGTACGAGAACGGCCCGTTTGGGGCTCTGCATAGCGGCGCTGCACGACTGGCGCATTTTGCAGGGCGCCGGGCGGAAGCGAGACGGGGGGAGGCTGTTCTCGTCTGGATCGATACGCTGTGTATTCCGCATGGGCGCGAGGTGCGCGGGCTGGCGATCACGCGCATCCGCGATGTCTATGTGCGAGCCTACAGGACCATGCTGCTCGACTCGGAGATCCGGCAACTCGCTTCCACAGCGAGCGCGCTCGAGCTCGTCCTCCGCGTGCTCTACTGCTCCGGCTGGATCCGGCGGCTGTGGACGCTGCAGGAGGGGCTGGCTGCGAAGAGCAGGCTGTATGTGCTGCTGTCCGACAAGGCGGTTAACATCTCGACCATGGCAGATAGTCTGTTCACGAAACTTGATCAGGGCAAAATCCCGATCTTCCAAGCGCGCATTGCCCGGTTCGCGGCGGGCGTGTGGTACAGCTACTTCCAGCATACGATTGACGCGGCGTCGAAGTTCGAGAAGTTCGTGAATGTGATGACGAGTCCGTTCATCGACGCGTCCATCTCGCAGGACCAGCTGGTTGCCTGGAACTGGTTTAATGTGGCGACGCGCGCGTCGAGCAAAGACGGGGACCGGCCGGTTGTGCTGGCGGGCGTGCTGGATCTTGATGTTGGGGCAATTCTGAAAGTGAAGGGGGCGCACGAGCGCATGCGCGTGTTTTATAGTCTGCTCGACGGGTTTCCTGCCGATGTGCTGTTTCAGGATGGGCTGCGGTTTGAGGAGGATGGGTGGCGCTGGGCGCTGAGGGTTTGTCGGTATACGGATGAGATTCGGTATTTGGGGCATGGGGCCGGGAGGATCACGGAGGGGGGGTTGCAGGTTACGGGGGTGCTTTCGTGGGTGTTTGAGTCGAGTGTTGTCTTTGATCTGAGACGGCTGGAGGAGGATGATGGGCAGTTGGCCTGGGAGGCGTGGCTTGATGCGGCGCAGATTGATCCAGATAAGCCGGCGAAGGTGTTGCATTTGAAGGCGAAGCAAGATGTTTGTTTCCCAGCGGACGAGGTGCAGGGCATTCTCCTGGAGGAGGTCAGGACTTCTCGTCCTGGGTCGGCGACGCGGTGTGCGCTGGTTTCGCTGCAGGCAAGAGACGAGGAGGTCCATTATGCGCGGTATACGAGCGTGGCCACGGTGCAGTCTGTTGATTTAGGCTTGTCGAGCTTTCCTGATGAGGGCTTCCTGATCGGGGGCACCTGGGATGACTTGCAAAGGCGAGAGTGGGTGGTAGGATAAGCTCCGGCATAATTACCGCTGCCGTATACCCTATTTAATAGCTTTTCATATTGTCTACTATAGGTACATCAGCTAGGCGTGTTTCCGCTATGCCCGTTTATAACCGCTTAGGCCCAAGAGCTTCAGCCGGCTTGACATATTCTAACGCCCAATCAGCTAGACGGGAGGACTTGTCTTCGGTAAACCCCAATGTGATAGAAGTGCTCTCGCAATGCATCAGCATCCCACTTCTAACCCACTCGGCCACCCTTACCTCGAAGTGAATCTGGTTCATAATCGCTGGATACTCGGGCATTGGGCTAGCCCTAACCCGCGCCGCTTTAAGGTCACCGCAACTTTTGAGCTACAGTCCATCACGCACACCAGATATAGTCGCCAGGTCGGAGACACGGACAAAGAATAGATGCAGTTTGACTGTCATCACCCAGCTCGAGGGCAGCGCCAGCATAGTGGCGTTCGTTTGAACAACGCGCGGGTACGGTATCTAGGCGTCGCCTGAGACGGTGACCGAGAGTGAAATGAAGATGCAGATGGAGACAATGTATTATCGTGCAGCCTTGCTGTTCATGCGCAGCGTAGATCGCGTTGTCATGATAATTAGAAGTGGCTGGTGGCAGTGCATGGGATTCTACCATAGCTACCTAGGTATAGGGGCTAAGGGCTGGATGGTCGGACCCGTCGTGACTGTGGTCCTTGATATGACCCGGGGCAAGTCCCAATATGCTTAACTTGAGTTCTATTTAGCAGGCCGCGCCCACTGGAGGACTACATGAACTTTTTTACTGGCAGATCCAAGGTCCCCTGATCAGCGGGAATCACGCCTGATGGCGACAAGGACAAGGCATCATCGACTGCGAACCAGGCTGTTTATGGGGAAGGAATGGCTAAAGGGAGTTTCCTTCCTTAAGAGAAACCATCCAACCGCCCGTTTTGAAGGCGTTCAGAAGTACTCTGACCATGCGTGGGATATGCATGTAAGCGGGAAGGGTCGGGGACATCTACAACAGAATGTAGCCCAAAAGTGCACATGGAATTGAGAATATTGAGAAGTGCAATAGGAGCCTGCATTAAACACTAAATTTGATTTAGTCAATGTCATATGGCGGATCTTCAATTAAGACCCGCGAAAGAGAACTAGAATCTTGAGACTGGGCACGAGTGGGTATGAACCCAGCTCCCAACAACATCTTCGGTATGCAATAATCCTGTACTTGGCCCGTCGATATACTAACTGATCTTGACAACATCCGGAATGCCCTCCCTATTCGGTTCAGACACCTCAACATGCATTCCATACCCGGACCGGAAGAAAGGATGATTCAAGAGGTCAGCACAAACAGTGATCCATTCACCAAGATATTATCCAGGCTTTGTGCACCAGACATCTTCGAAAGGAGGAAGAGGCTATATGGACTGTCCTGCCGCGCCCAGATGGTCTCGATCTCGTCAATCATTATCACAGGAACTGAGATGTCGCTCTCCGTGGGCTGTCGCGAGTCAGCCTCGGCCTGCTCGAACAACTCCCGCAGGTCGTCCACAGTTTTGATGTTCGCGCCATTTACTGTCCTTGTGCCGCGAACATTGGGTAACTGTATCGCCTGCCGGGCTATCACTGCCTTCCGAGCTCGGGAGGGCCGTAGATGACAACGCCCTTTACATGGCGGATGCCGGCCGAGCGTACGTCATCTGATAACATGAAACGTGAGAAAGTGCCCGACGGAGCAGAGAAAAGAGTGTTCATCGAGTAGACCAGGCGCTACGGCCACAAGAGGCGATTGCGGCACCGCTCGCCTAGCCGACAGCGTTAGAGCTACTTGCGCAACCTGCTGCTCCACGGCGGGACAAGATATCCGGTATTCAACAGACAGCCGTTTGTTCAAGGGCTCGCTTGGTGGCTCTTCACTCGGCGGCTGAGAGAAAGCAGGGTGCTCTCGCAGGATGATCACGGTCGATTCGGTGAGGATCCCGCCCGTACGTTTGGGGAGCGGGTCTTGGGTCTGTGAGCATAGCTGCTGGCCGTCCTTTCGCTCTATGATGTGGATTGTGTGGAACATTATGGTGATATTGGCGGCCCTGTAATTGACCAAAAGTGGTTGGCGCGGGGCTACGAACCGGGTGTTGAGGGTCTACCATACATTGTAAGCGTGGCCTGGGGCTGGTTTGCATGCGGTAGGTAACTGAGTTTAACAATAGTCTGAGGGAATTGTTCCTTGTAGACTCGCAATATAGATCCCTCGGCAAGGACGTCGATATCCGCGCGAGCAAGGGACGCCCTGCGTGGGGGATTGTACAGCTGCACAGTTACCTAGCCGCTTGAACGTCCGACCCAGTCCTGCTGATAATCATGAAGGCCAAGGGCTCCGCGGGGCCAGTCCCTGATTGAGCGCACTGCAAATAAGTGGACGTCATGCACAATCACCAGGGGTCCGGACCGCCTGGAGGCGAAGGCACATCCGCCGTAGACAGAGTGGCACTGGGATGTTAAAGGGTATTGACAGTCCCAAGCTCGACTCTCGTACTCGTTTGGAGAGACATGCTGCACGGGCATGATGAGCATAGAATGCGCTTGGCCATCCGCGAGAGTTGCAGTTGCAGCGGCCTTTCTCCGTGCATGCATAACATCTTTCTGTCGAGATGTATCTCCGAAAGCTTTTCTGAGTTTTGGGTCTCGCGACTCGCGCCTTACGGCGTTTGAGCCGCTCGCGAAGCCTGGTGAGAGAAAAGCGCATGGTACAGCGGTGGTTATCAAAGGATAGAAAGGTGATGTGAGTGCCTACCCCTGCTATTCTCGTGGACGGACCCTCTTGTTCTTAGTAGGATGGACAAGTGTTGTGCACGAGACACTTGCGCGCAGGTGGGGAAACACCAGCAGCTGTTGAGAATCATCTGAGACTGCCCAGGTGTGCTATGCTCGGTATAAGTATGGATATGAGCCACCCTTGCCGAACCAGTTGGTCTGTGTCCTGAGGGGAGTAGTGCTTGTTGATCCAGGCGATGGACATTACAAAGCAGACTTGGTTAGTCTCGTTCATGGTCTAAGGAACCTATCCACTACCGAGTGGTTGCATTGGTAGCATTTCGGCCGGGTTTACAAGCCTAGAAGAAGGCTGTGTCTGTTGTGGGAGTGTTGGTCGCCGAGTGTGTTACCTGGTTAGGTAGCACATGCTGCCAGGCGCGATCTGCGTAGAAGAGAGGTAGCGAGAGGGAAAAGCCTGGAAGATTCCAAGATTATGGACAAAGAGTATGAAAGAAGAGACGTGCGAGTTGGATACAAGAGGCTCAGGAACCGAAAGCCCCAGACTGTGGCGCAGTGGACTCACTGTGGCTAGTCAGGCACTTAGTCATCCGGAGAATCGTGAATCCATTCCGGTGTCGAGTGATCGGCTTCGGGCATTCCGCGGCCAGAACAGCCATCGCCTCGAGTTCATCATCGCTCGCAAATCTGTCGCCGTTCCTCTCGCCTCAGCCTCCTATTGCCGTCGCCATATCGAAGCTGCCCAAATTGGCCTGACAAAGAGCCCGGAGATCGTCATACGATGGCCCACGGCCAGGAAGATTGCGCCTCCGTCCTGGAGCAGTTCGTGCACGATGTCGCGAACCTGCCGCTGGAGATCAACCACTTGATGGAAGAGATCCAAGCGAAAGACCGGATCATCCAGGACTGCCGCACCATCATCAACTCGCGCGATGCCAGCATCCAAAAGTTCATCAAACTCAACGGCAGCTTGACCCCGAACCCAAAAGAGGAGCAGTACTCCAAGATCGTCCTGCAGAACCTCGACAGGTCCAGCCAGCTACAGGACGAGAAGATCCACTTGAGCGAGAAGGCGTGTATCCTGCTGGACCGACAGATCAAGAAACTCGACGTCAAGATCCGCGATCTCCAGAACGACAACGTCCTCTCCAACGACCCTCCCATCCCCTCCCTCTTCAACAATAAAGACCAATACCGCGATCCGCCCAAGATCTTCTTCCCCGACTCCTCCACCGACGCCGCCTCTTACTCCTCCCCTCTCGCCGCATCCTCCGGCAACGCAAACCCCCTAGTCACAGGCGCAACCCCCCGCCTCAACCTCTCCCTCAACCGCTCCCACTCCGCCGCCGCCCTCTCCCAAGCCGCTCGCAGCTCCGCCCCCGCCACCCCAGCCGGAACCGCCCACTTCCAGCAACGCCACCGTGAATCCTCAGCCGGCGCCATCGACAGCAAGCGCCGCCGCCTCAACACAACCCTCGGCTCCCTCCCCGCCGCCTCCTCCAACCTCCGCCAGTCCTCGCTCGGCCCGGGCACGCCCAAAGCCGGGACCCCGTCCTCCAGCCGCGCAGGCAGCGCCGGCCCACGCTCCGCGGGAATCACCAAGAAAGCGCTGACCAAGAAAGTCGCGCCGCACCAGCAACTCAAGAAACTCAAATCGCTCAACGGCAAGCACAACAAACGCTCGTCCAGCACGAGCCGGTTAAAGGCGCACAAGAAAACGCTGTCCGGGGGCGACGACGACGACGACGATTCCATGCTCAGCAGCGCGGAGCTCTCCGATTCGGACAGCGGCGACGTGAACATGGACGAGGACGAGGACGAGGGGAACGAGGACACCCAGGTGTATTGTACGTGTCGGACCGTCAGCCATGGGGATATGGTGGCGTGCGACAACAACGATTGCAAGTATGAGTGGTTCCATTGGAAGTGCGTGGGGTTGACGAGGGAGCCGGTTGGGAAGTGGTATTGTCCGGATTGTTCGGCGGCGAAGGGGGGTGAATAGATAATTACCAGATTTATGAGTTATGATATCCATCTACGAATCGAAACATTATCTCTACAGTTTGTTTACGAACTGGTATATATATTCCCTTACATTGTCCGTCCTATACTCATAGTCGAACCCATCCCAAATCACATGCAACGCCATCGCTATGCAACAAACACATTTTTAATCGCCGCTAAAAAGAAAGCGGCCCCTTCTCATGAATCCACGTCTCAAAGTACTCGCAATTCTCCGGGCTAACCGCACCCCCCGGCACACACAGGTTGAAAACCGGGCAGTGGCCGCAGGGGACCTCCGTCATGCCGTTCAGGACGAGCCGGTCGTCATCCGCGGCGCGGTCCTCGTTCGGCTTGCGGGCCTGGCGCGCCTTGACCTGTTCCGGGTTCATGACGGATTTGTAGACCTCGCCGTTGTTCAGCGCGACGAGCTTATTGTCGTAGCAGAGCATCTCGAGCAGCTGCGTCACGCTCTCTTCGCCCAGCCGCACGGGCGTAATGCCGCTCTGGTTGACGGCCGCCGTGAGCATCGCGATGGTCGGGTACCCCGTGTAGCCCGCCGGATAGGGGAGGTACTTCGCGGAACCATCCTTCTTGACCGTCGCCGCCGCAGCAGAGCCATCAGCGGTCTTCAAACGCTTAGCGCGTGCCCGATCAGCCGCCGGCACCTCGTACCAGCTCTTCTTGCTAACGGAGAACTCGATGAAGCCCGAGACCACGCCGATGAAGTTCTCGTCGAGCACGCCGTCCGTGAACCACGCGCCGCCCGTGACGTCCTCGCTCGGCGCCAGCCCCGCGAGCATGTACATCTTCCGGCTGGGGAACTTGACATTGTGCACGGATTTGATGTAGCTCTTGCCCTCGAGGGACTTGAGGCAGCGGTCGAGGATGGACTTGTGCAGGTTCGTGCGGCTTTGGATCTGGCGCACCCAGATGCCTGAGCGGCCGGTGGAGTGGATGACGTTGTAGACTAAGCTCTCGTCGGGGGAAAGGTTCTGCAGCCTAAACTGATTAGTACGTTATTGCTAGATGGGGGTGCGCGTACTTCTCGGCGTCCTCGCGCGCAATGAGCTTCCACGCGAGCCGGTCATTTTTGCCCTGCAGGAGGCGCAGCAGCTTCTGGTCGACGAGGGACTGGGTGCATTGGAGGAGGAGCGGGAGGTCGTTTTTCGGGATGATGTCCAGGCCTAGGAGGTCTTGCTGGTAGAAGAGGTGGTCGATGGGGAAGTTGGCCAGGCATGCGTCGTAGAGTCTCGAGGCGAGCTCGGTCACGGAGCCGCCAGACCCCGCGGAGGCCATGGTTGAGGGAGAACTGAGCGTCGGTCACCGGAGGGATTCGCGGAATCGCATGTTCGGGGGGTACCGAGGGGACCGTAATCGTCGATGGCTGAAGCCTTCGCCAGCAGCCCCGGGTGTGAACTTGTGGACAGTGACTTGGTGACAGGAAGATGTTTTTTGGCGGAGAAATTCTTTCTGGCCTAGCGCCGCCCGGTCACACTAGTCCACGGATGGCTTAGCGCAGGAGCTCCATTCAAGCAGGCTTGGCGTTCTGGCGCTCAGCGTCTCGGAAATTTCCAGAAGCTCGGAGTCCTCAATATTAGTCCAGCTGCCTCGCCTCAGTCGCTTTGACCTGCTTCTCTCCATCTCACTCTCATCAACTGACACACGCGCACACCATGGCTGACGCTCTAAAGGCCGAGGGCAACAAGGCCTTCGCTGCTAAGGACTACCCGACTGCCATGTATGTATACCGACCCCGCTTTGCATTCTGGAGGCGGCGCTGATCAAACCAGTGACAAGTTCACTCAGGCAATCGAGCTCGACGCTACCAACCACGTCCTCTACTCCAACCGTTCCGCTGTCTACGCCGCCCAGCAAGAATACGAGAAGGCGCTTACCGACGCTGAGAAGGCCGTCGAGATCAAGCCCGACTGGTCCAAGGGCCACCAGCGCAAGGGTGCCGCCTACCGTGGAATCGGAGATTTACGTACGTCCCGCTGCCTTTATCTATACTGGCTTATATACTGATGATGGAATGCTGGTATAGTGGCCGCCCACGATGCGTACGAAGAGGCGATCAAGCTCGAGCCCGGCAACACCCAGGCCAAGAACGGTCTCGACGCCGTGAAGCGCGCCATCAACGCCGAGGCCCAGGCTGACGGTGTCACCGGCGACCCCATGGGCGGACTCGGCAACATCTTCAACGACCCCCAGCTCTTCCAGAAACTCGCCAGCAACCCCAAGACCTCCGGATTCCTCGCCGACGCCGACTTCATGAACAAACTCAAGAAGATCCAGCAGAACCCGAACAACATTGGCGAGGAGATCAAGGACCCGCGATTCCTGCAGGTGATGAGCGTTTTGCTTGGTATTGATATGAACTTCGGCGCTCCTCCCCAGGATGGTCCCTCCGCGGCTGCTGCTGAGGCTGAAGAGGACGTCCCGATGCCCGACGCCCGCCCACCTCCCCCGAAGAAGGAGCCTGAGCCCGCGCCCGAGCCTGAAGATGAGGAGGCTGCTGCCAAGAAGAAGGCGCAGGAGGCTGGTGACGCCGAGAAGAAGATCGGTAACGACTTCTACAAAAAGAAGCAGTTTGACGAGGCTATTGAACACTACACCAAGGCGTGGGAGCTGAACAAGGATGTCACATACCTCAACAACATCGGTGCGGCCAAGTTTGAGAAGGGCGACCTCGAGGGTGCCATTGAGACATGCAAGACCGCCATCGAGGAGGGCCGTGACCTCCGCGCCGACTTCAAGCACATCGCCAAGGCCTTCACACGAATTGGTACCGCGTACGAGAAGCTGGGAGACCTTGAGAAGGCTATCGAGAACTACAACAAGTCTCTCACCGAGCACCGAACCCCCGACGCCCTCACCAAGCTGCGCAACGCCGAGAAGGCCCGCGACACGGCCAAGAAGGAAGCCTACATCGACCCCGCCGAAGCCGAGAAGGCCCGTGAGCTCGGCCAGCAGAAGTTCCAGGAAGCCGACTGGCCCGCTGCCGTCGACGCCTTCACTGAGATGACGAAGCGAGCCCCCGACGACCCCCGTGGCTTCAGCAACCGCGCCGCCGCGCTGATCAAGCTGATGGCGTTCCCCCAGGCCGTCCAGGACTGCGACGAGGCCATCGCCCGCGACCCCAAGTTCTTCCGCGCCTACATCCGCAAATCGCAGGCTCTCGCCGCCATGAAGGAATACAGCCGCGCCATCGACGCCTGCAGCGCCGCCGCCGAGCACGACGACGGCAGCCACGCGCGCGAGATCGAGCAGCAGCAGCAGAAGGTCCTGGACGCGCAGTTCAGCGCCCGTGCCGGCGAGACCGAGCAGGAGACCATGCAGCGCATCCAGAACGACCCAGAGGTATGCCCAACCACCGTCTAACTCGTCCATAGCTAACTGGCCAGATCATGTCCATCCTCCAAGACCCCGTCATGCAGAGCATCCTGCAACAAGCCAAGGGCGACCCCGCGGCCCTGCAAGAGCACATGAAGAACACGCAGGTCCGGCTGCAGATCCAGAAGCTGATGGCCGCCGGTGTGATCCGTCTCGGGCGGTAATCTGCTGCTGTCAGGTGTTTGCATTTCTTACGTACATTTGATGGCGCATCATGCTGTAGTTAACGAATCGGTTAATATGACTTAATGATCAGTCACAACACGGCTACACTGTAATTGCGAGCTATTTATTGGTTCTCACTTCTTACCTGCTGCCCGTATCAGTCCATGGCCAGTCGTTCATCTATACACCCGCCGACACAGCTTGAACAAGGACAAGGTATAACAAAAAGACAAAACTGGCAAGAGTAGCTCGGCCATCTTGCCTGAGTGATACCCCAGCAACCATTCCGTCCGCGGCTAGGTACAGCATCAAGGACATCCCGCCAGAGCCAATGTAGCCCTAATCTGTCTCTGAGCAACTCCTCCTCTCCAACTTACCTTATATAGGTATGATAATTCAAGTAAGCCCAACCCCAACTAATGCTGGATAAATTTCCTCTGAGAGATTGTTATTCGAGGTCATTCCCTAGTTTATCCACGCACATTAGCTGGGCATTGACGTTCCAGGTGTGGTGTTATAGTGTTATTGAGGACATAGGGTCTCGTGGGCTTCTAGAAAACAAAAAGCAATACCAGGCGAGTTCCAGGGGGCGATGTTCAAGCGTTCTGTATATGAGGTAGTTGTTTTGACATACCCGTGGACATGTACGCGGGGTTATCCAAACCACAAGATAGGAGGAATTCAAGAACGGACTCGAGATAACTAGGTACCATATAACAAGCGCCGGTTCCATGTGAAATAAGCCCTGGAGGCGTAAAAGGTATACTATTTGCTACCCATCACTGGCCATCCGCTCGTTCAGATCCCTCGTTTCCACAGATGAATCCGTTTTATTGATCAATCCAGTACTAGTGTGTGCCGTGTGGACAAGGCCTAGGGCTTCCATGCTGGGTCGTACTCGTCGCTATCTATGATGGACTAAGTCCGCTGTTGCACCGAGGTCTTTCAGGGCTGTGGCATCCCACAGACGACCTGATGTCGCCTGTCTGACTAGGTACATAGGGCTATGCAGGGTCCTCCTTACCAGACATTCAATATGGGCAGTGGGCTGTCTATATAAGGCGACGGCTTGCCCATGGTTCTGTCTTCACACCTTCTTTCTCCATCCCAATGGCCCAGAGGGCGAGTCTACTCGTCTTGTCATACTACCTTGCTTTCCATCCTTGGAACTTGTTTCAGACCTCCGCTGGTTCTCCTTTGGTGCAGTTGATGATGATTTCCAGAAATGTGTACGCAGCCCGATGCGCGAGTGGCAGACGATGCGTGATTTTGTGGGTTTCTGTTGTTGAGCTTCTCGCGCTCTAAAGCTCCATTGGTTCCAACATCTAAGCTGTTTCAACTCTTGCGGTCCTTATGGCACTTGGACAAAGTGAATACAAAAGCCCCCAGTCCAGTCCGCGTAGTAACCCGTGGCCATCAGCCCTGTCCACGACCGAGGCATTCGCTCACTTGTCCACATTGGCAGGCTCAGCAATCCATCACAACCACTGCTTATTCCCAAAATGCGAGACAAACGCCCCCGCAAATCCACCCTCAATGCTGAGCCTTTCCCAGGTCTCCCTGAGCGTGCGAACCGCCTCGGCAACGGGCGTTAGGCCCTTGAAGTGCGGCGCATACGCCGCAATTTTGCCCATGAATCTCTGCAAGCCTTCTATCTGCTCTGGCAGCACTAGTACGCATGCGAGCATCAGCACAGCACCACCAGATCTAGGGCATGATAAAGGTACGCACCATTCTCATAATGCCCGACCTCCACAACGCCCGGACTAACAGCCACAAACAGCACGCCGTCCCTCTTATACTGCGCGCTGAACTTGGCGACGATCGTGTTCATGGCTGCCTTGGACGCAGCGTACAGCGCGCTGTTCTCGACCTCGAGGGCGTTGATCAGGTCGAGGTCTGCGTGGCCGCTGGATATGGCGATCACTTTCTTCACTTTGCCTTGCATTACAGAGGGCAGAAAGAGGTTGAAGAGGTGGATGTTGCCCACGACGTTGGTTTGGAAGAGCTTTGAGCAGACGGCTTCGAGCTCTTGGGGTTTGGTGGCTCTTGCGTGTAGACGTTAGGGACTAGCTGGCCGGATAGGCAAGGGGGGTAGTGAACCTACAGATTACCAATTGGGTCATAAGCATCAAAGTGAGACGGGAAGGCCCCGTTGGCAACAAGGTAGTCGACGCCCCGGTCGCCGATGATCTGGGCCGTGTCGGCAGCGGCTTGCTTCAGGCTGGCCTAGTCGGTGAGGTCGCCGTGCAGGATGTGGAGGTTGGGACGGTGGCCCAGCTCAGCGGCCACCTTCTTCTCAGTTGCGGCTTTGTCGCGGACGAGGCCGATGACGAGGGTGTTGGTGTCTTCGGAGATCTGCCTGACGAGCTCGAACTGAGGAGTTTTAGATGTATGTTGTGATGCAGCAGAGGCAGGGGCAAACTCACCCCGATTCCCTTCGAGACGCCGGTGATCACGTAGACGGACATACTGAGTGATCTCTCTGAATGGAACCCTAACTTTGATGGAATGCAACCAGCATCGACCACGGTGCGAGGCATTCCCTATATACCCAGAGCGTCCTGCGAATTACAGGAGCTAGCCCGCACCGCAGTCCAGGTCCGCTTAGGGCTCGGCATCAGCCACCTTTCCCACCTATCAAGGCTTTCGCCTGCATACTAATGGCTTGGGCTTACGCCGCCGTCGGGCTAGCGTGCGGACGATGACCCAATAGCTCTGTCGGTGCCCAGCTGATGACAAATGCACTACTGTAAGCAATGACTTGAGGCCAGCCCCAGAGCCTCCAATGAATAGCATAGCATGCAACAACGGCATCGCCCGCCGAGTCGAACTCGAACGCCTGCAACGCCTGCAACGCCTGCGCACGGTCGAAGCGGAAGTGCGGTCGGCAGAGGCCCTCGTGCGCTCGATGCGCGGACAAGGGCGTGTCCTGCGTCTATCCGCAGCCAAGCAGGGCACATGCTGCTCCTTCGTCACGGCCAGCAAGGGTGCTGCCGAGAGTCGAGGCGGGAGATGGACTAGGGCTGCTGGCTGTGGACGACACAGTTGAAGCACTTGCAGGCGACCTCATGCTAGTGGACTTCCCACTCATACACAATGGCTTTGCTTCCTCGCCGCTCATTCCAATGCCAAGTACACCAGCAAAAACAGCATGGTTCCTTGCCCCCGAGACGTGGAAGATATCCTATCGACCCGACGTAGCCACATCAGCCGATGTAGGCGTCACCACCGCAATGATGAAGTGGTACATCGCAACCCTGCAGTCCTGGTTCAAGCGCTGGATCACAGCCGGCAGCAACCCCTTCATCCACACCCGTCTGTACAGCGTCAGCTTTCCGGCGTCCGTGCAGATCGCCTACGCCACGCTGGCAAGCTACATCCACCGCACGCCGGCGAACACGGAAACCATCCTCCAGATCGTAGAGGATCGGTCGAATGCTCTGTTGCACGAGAACGGGGTCGCGCTGGAGTTGAATGATGGAGGGGAGGAGTGGGTGGCCATGGACATGGACAGGGGAGACCGGGATAAAGACATCGAGCTGGACCTCGTCGCCCAACTCGCAAGGCTGCACGCCCTCATAACCTACCAGATCATCGGCCTTTTGGACGGCGACATCCGCGCCCGGTACGTCGCGCAGGGCCACATAGCCGTGCAGGAGAGATGGGCCCATACACTCCTCCACGCGGCTGCAAGGGCATTCTCAAGCGATAACCTCGACACAGTCCCAATCCAGCCGGCTACTTCTACCTACCACTCGTCATCCCCCCAGCAAGACTGGCACCTCTGGATCCTCGCCGAGAGCATCCGACGCACCTGGCTTGTAGCAATGAGCCTCTCGCGCGTCTTCGCCGCGCTGCAGCAGCGCTGGGCGACGTGCCCGGGGTCCATCATGTACACGAACCGCGCTGGGCTCTGGGATGCAGAGAGCGCGCTTGAGTGGGAGGAGTGCGTGGGCTTGGGAGGGATGGCTCTGCAGCGCTTTGAGTGTGCTTCGCTGCTTGGTATGGGGCCTGGGGGTGTTGATGAGTTTGGGATGGCGATGTTGGGTATGGCGGTTAGGGGGGAGGTGTTGGAGGGGTGGAGGGTGGATGGAGGGAGGTAGAATTAGGGCTATGGCAGCTGTTGATTCATCGTTACACTCCTCTTCCCCATTCAACCGGTACGAAGTAGGCTCCCGGCCTCTAGCGTTTAGGAAGACGAAGAGGTAGACCAGCGCTGTACGATAGTCCGGAAATGCTGATGGCTGCATTGTCTTGATGTACCCTAGTTAGGGCTATACTCCCGACCAAGAGTGGTTCCCTTATGTCGGATGCGCGTCTGCGCGGTGACGGTTAATCTTGCCATATGATCTCTAGGTTATGGAATGAGAAAACTCCATTTCCATGGAATCAATTGTAGACAATGGGTAGGTTATTGCGGAGTTGGTCCTGTTTGGTGCTGAGCTCGGCGACAAACAAGTCCGGTCCAGTTCGCTTAGGCAGTACGTTGGAGAAGTAGTAGCTAAGCAGCAAATGTCCCCAGGGAATCTGGCGGTAGTCGTATAGATGGAAGGTGTGAAGCAGTCTTTAGCATCCTTATGGAGTTGACACAGTAATTGCAATCAATGGAGGCCCTATGCCACATTGAAGCAGAATATACAGACCTCAAACTAGCCTTTTGACGGATAGCATAGTAGGTTCCGGATCTTTTGGTTCCCACGGCTGATACTGCAGATTGGTATGTCACAGGAGGAAGCCATCAATGGATGTAGGTAGGCCTAGTACATTCCAGACCATGGCCACTCTTTCAAGAACTAGTCAAGTGAGCAAGACATTGAACGCTCTCCAGCGTTCACAGCAGCGAATACACATTTAAATGCTTCACATCTCAAACCACAGGGCAAGGCTCGTTAGCACGATGCTAGATCCCCACCAAGGACGGCGACTTAGGGCAAGACGCAGCGTAACCATGATAGAGCACCAAAGAGGTCGCATTCCAACCACCCCATCCCATTCAAACAACGCACACTTTAGCGTTCATAATATCCCGATAGAAGGAGCAAGAGATCATTGATTGCAATTTCTGCTGGTACTTCGTACCCTATGGACCAACATGTGTTGCGCCCTTGTATCGAATGCGAGCATTTCCGCGGGCGCAAGGTCCAGGGACTTTTGCTCTTCGTATCTATGTACGTAGGACGAGGACTTTTTAGCCCAGCCAAGTCGATGAATCAGTGAGAGGGTAGACGAGGGTTTGGGAAGGCCGTGGTGGGCAGACCAGGCGCGCTGACAAGGGCGCAGAGGGCGGAGGCGATGACGGATTGACAATCAAGATCCCTACAAGCCTGCAGCTGCAAATATACGTCTACCTTCGGTAGGACGTCACTGGGCTACGACAGGCCAAGGTCTTCGCCGTTCGGATAGCGGACGTGTGGGTCTTCAGCCTTTCGGAAGAGGCCATGGACTGTCGGCTGGGCTGGTCAGATGTAGATCCTCTCGGATGGGCACCATGGGCTTATATTACCTCGTAGCTAGCAACAGTAACAGGTTCCAGCTGCTCAGAGTATCTTCCAGGTACAAAAGCATGCTATTCTATCGGAAGACCTCTGAAGATGGGCAGTGATCTAGCCATGATATCATCATGGCCTCAACCCATGAATACAGGATCTCTTCGCTGAATAGAGCATCCCCGAGTCAAGAGTAATAGCATCACACCCTCAGCATGCGCGGCAAAGTCAACTTCGAAGAAGCCTTCGAGCTCCCCAGCCAAGCGGACTCCAGCCGCGACCAAGCCGCCCTCTTCATCGCCCCCGACGACCTGAACCGCTACCTCGACCACATCAAGAACCCACTGGGCGAGCGCCTGCAGCAAGCCACAGCCCACGGCATCGGATACACCATCTACTCGCACACCGTGCCGGGCATCCAAGGGATCCCCTCGCAAGCAGCCGCGGAGTCCCGCGCGAAAGAAGTAAACGACTAGATCGCAGCCGAGATCAGACACCACCGCGATCGCGTCGGCGCATTCGCCGCGCTGAGCATGCACGACCCGTCCCAGGCCGCCGACGAACTCGAGCGCTGCGTCACGCGTCTCGGCTTCCACGGCGCCCTGCTGAACAACTACCAGCACGCTGGCGCCTCCGGCGAAACATACCTCTTCTACGACCAGCCGCGGTACGATCCCTTCTGGGCGAAGTGCGTGGAGCTCGATGTCCCCGTGTACCTGCACCCGTCTGCCCCGAGCGGCCGGTACCAGGCGCAGATGTACGCACAGCGGAAGTACCTGGTCGGGCCGCCGCTGAGCTTTGCGAACGACGTGTCGCTGCATTTGCTGGGCCTGGTCACGAACGGGGTGTTTGATCGGTTCCCTGGGCTGAAGGTGATTGTTGGCCATCTGGGCGAGCATGTCCCGTTTGACTTTTGGCGGATCAATCACTGGCTGCAGGATGTGGAGCGTCCGCTTGCGAGGAAGAACGGGGATGTCATGTGTCAGCGGGACATTTATTATTACTTTAAGAAGAATATCTGGGTGACGACGAGTGGGCACTTCTCGACGGCTACGGTTCGGTATGTTGCGAGTTATCTGGGCCCTGAGAGGATCATGTTTAGTGTTGATACGCCGTATGAGACGATTCCGATGGGGGCGGGCTGGTTTGATGGCGATGAGGAGGCCTTGACGGAGGCTTTGGGGAGGGACGGGTATAGCATGGTGGGCAGGGAGAATGCGAAGCGGTTGTTTAAGCTGGGGAGGTATCCTGATTCGGAGGCTTGAGCACGGTGTCAAGTCTGGGATATGGAGGAGTATCCATTACTGTCATCATGAACTGCAGTTGCATGCCAGCATACAATTATCTGTGATCTGGCAAGCCCTAAGCCCTGCATACCATCCCAATTACTTCCAGACCCCCAGGCAAACCAACGACACAAGCAAGGCACAACCATCGTAGTCCAATGAAGCCCTCCGGATATAGAGAGGTAAGAAGCCAAACCACATGGGCCCAACCCAGCCATTAATCACAACATGCATGATCCGTATCTCCCAGCTCGTCAGACGGTCCCAGGGGAACGACCTCTGTAGCCATCAGGCCTTTTGGCCCATTTCTAACATGATAGGAGACCCTCTGGTCCTCATCCAGGCCTTGAGGACCGCCGCCCTGGTTGATCCATGCCCGTTAACCTTGGATCCTAAAGACAAGCTGGGCATACGCACCTGGATCACCGAGAAGTGGAAACGGACATCGTCGCCGCCGTGATCTTGTGCGATGTAGCCGAAGCCCTTGTTGCTGTTAAACCACTTCACGCTGCCGTGTTGCTTTGCGTCCATGCTGGAGAGGGGGGAGGGCGAGGGTTGTGGGTATGGTAGTAATGAGAAGGGATATTCCAGGTAGTTATGAGAAGGGATATTTCACGGTTAGGTTGGAGTTCATAGAGCAAAGGGTGCTTTAATAGGGGATGGGCTGCCACGTGTACAGCATCCGGGCCATTCGGCTGGAATTTCCGTTTTGATCGTAATATACGGTAGCCTTTGCATAGAATCCACCTGTTTCAATAGCCCCTTTGGATTCTGCATGGAATAGCGCAACACCAGTAGTCTTGCTGTCAAAGCGTAGTATACCGGACTTAGGACTCGCTGGGCTAGGGTTCAACGGTGCTGTGTATAGATGAGCCTCGACAGGATTACAGACAAGTGTAGTATACACATGGTATCATATCCTTCAGCTTATAAGCCAAGAGGTATAATAGCTGGGCCATTAGACGAGGGGTAATGTCTTAGCACGTCCTAGTTATAGCCTGACCATCTCATCCTTCTCTCGGATGCGACCTTTCTTCTATCACGGTTAGGCTCACGATGAGTCCCCTATCACACCTTACTGTAGATCCACAGCCAGATCTGCGAATATGTCGGCGATGCATACGACCTAGCTGTTATGGATCAGACTCAAAGCTTAGATACATAAACCAGTGCCTTGATTTCGCTGGAAGAGTGAATGCTGATATTGAAAAGCAAGTTGCCGTTTGGCTCCCATATGCTGAGAGTCGAGAACAGATCCTGGAACGTTGTAGTGACCCGGGAATTATCCGCATCGGTCACTTTGTGTTCTTGAGATAGCGGTATAGGCCCGCACTGGGTACAATCATACTCTTCGAGTTGTATGCAGAACCATATGTATTGCACAAGAACTCGATTGCGATGGTTATTGAATCGAAACCAGCAAGACGTGATGATGTGAGGGCGATTCGGGCGAATTTGTGGCGCTCAATAATCGCCTGCCATCGTAACACCGTAGCAAAGCGAGCCACGCTACATCCGTCTAGCAGTAAGGCCTCTAATACAATGAGCCGGATCCTGTAGGCAAGTGCCAAGATGTCTTATTAGCTGTGAATGACGACATTGGTGTTGCTCTTGTTGACGTTGCTTCCATCCGCGTGGTTATCATGAGTACCTTGTTTGATGACAGTGGGAAAGCAAACTGTGGAGACTTGAATTCTTTTATGCTCACCAGCGGAAATTATACCCGGAAGAAAAAATAGAGATAGACGACTGGGTGGGTAAGAAGCTTGCTGGACGGTAAGTTCGTTGTAAGGCTCTTATTGACGTAGGCCAGATCTTGAAGAATCGGTCAAGGCTCAACAAGGGAGATATGGCTCAGAAGAGATTCGGAAGAGACACCGGAGTAAGGACTGAGCCTGCGTAACAACAGTAGTAGCTCAACACTACACGTGCTTCATATCTCGTGAGGCGACCGGCGAAAATTCGACCCAATGTAAGGTTGAATCGGCCAACCTATCAACAATATGGCATGGCGCAGGATAGTTCACGTACCTAATGGACAGATCATTAGAGCGTCTAGCCAAATCGCGCCTTCCTGCGGAGTATGATGGCCTACCTAGACTTTCTGCGAATAATTAGTTATATTCAATGAGCAACACCTGTCATCTCTCATCTGCTTTTACCTTGTGGCCCTGGCTGCTACCAGCTACATAAACTTTGCTGTTTGGCGGTTGCTTGCTAGTGTAGCTATAACAAAGTTGATCCTTTGTAGCCAAGATTGTACGTTATTGATATAAGAGTGATTTGGGCAAGTACCTTAGAAGGTTTCTTCAAACCGTAGTGAAAAAAGCTTAGGCTCAAACCACAGAGCAGCTAAAGCTCGACCCGCAGAAGTGCTCTGCCTAGGGCACTCGGGCGTCCGGACTATCACCAGGCTGAGTACTTGCCATTTTGCCCTAACTATATCCTCCGTACTGCCCGGAATGAGTGTGCTCGGACAGCCAGACCGCTAGAGAAAGCCGTCTGGGTCTCAAAACATCGGTTGGCAAAGTTGATAGAGGCGGCAGTGCCATTGTCGGATACAGTGAGATGAGAAGTCATACCCAGCGAGTTGAGAAGAGTATAATCAAAGGCATAGCTGCCCGCTTGAGTGATGTAGGCATCTCCGAACGCCTGTCGGGGATCAATCCGAGACCGAAGAGCTTGGCAGGAATGCACCGCCGACCGGCCGGACATTGCCCCGCGTCGCATTAAACCATCGAGAGTCGAGGTCGAGATAGGTCTCCCAAACCTAAGCAAATCAATAGCCTGTCACAATGCGCCCGCTATGTATGGCCTGGGGACAATTTGGTGTCATTTTGCCTGCTTCATGCGCGGGGCCCAGGAGAGTCGGTGCATTTGGTGTCGACCTTGTGCAGAGCATCTGGAAACGACACGTAGGGGGCGCTCAATCGATCCATACGCTTACTGCACCAACGGGCTGTAGAGCAGAGAATCAGAGCCTCTTTGATTTATCGCTGCAGCTTTCACAACGGCCTATGGACGGAAATGCAATGATGCAATACACAGAGTATCACCGTGACGACGCGATGTCCCGAGCAGGGCATGCGACCAAACTCGGCGTAGCAGAGAAATATGGCCTGAGTTCACGGGATCTGCGTGTCTTTGACCAGCAGTCAGGATCGCCGCATATTTTGGTTCGAGACCATACGCTTCTGCTTCACTTTTTTGACCTGCGGGTGTTGGTGCAGCATGACCACGCCCGACTCTTTCATGAAGCGAGCGCGTCAGATGACGATGTGCAGAACGCTGATAGGCATTATGTGTCTCGCATATTCAGCCATAATATGGAGGACAATATACGGGGTCAAGAACTGGGCAAGTCAGATAGCCAGCCTTATGAATTATACGTGTTGGAGACGGCATTGTCGTCGGTGACATCAGTACTCGAGGCCGAGTATATGTTGCTTGAGAAGCAAGTCACCAAGGTACTACGTCTGGCTAATTCGAGCACGCTGGATGGGGAAGAAAGTCTCATCCATTCTCACCTACGCACAATCCTCGAACTGAAGCGAAAGCTCATCAGTGTCGAACAGCGGGCACTCCAGGTGCAAACTGTCGCTCAGGAGGTTCTGGACGAAGACGAAGACATGGCCAACATGTATCTGACTGACAAGCGGGCTGGAAAGCCACATGGGTTGGAAGAGCATCAGAGTGTCGAGTATCTTTTTGAAGCCTACTTCAAGGCCAGTGGTGCCATTGGCCAGGAGACGGCAAGCCTGATGAGCCATATCCGACGGACCGAAGAGACAATCCAATACACGTTGAGCGTGCGGCGGAATCAAATCATGGTGTTGGAAGCGAGAATCGAGATCTTGATGCTGGCGTTGGCGGGTGCCACTTTGGTTGCAGGCTGGTACGGTATGAACTTGGTCAACCATTCTGAGGAGAGTCCACACGCCTTTACCGTTGTTGTTCTCATCTCCTGTGCCGCCGTACTTGCATCGTCGCTGTACGGTATGCAGAGATTGCGGCGGATTCGCAGGGCACGATTACAAATCTGAGCCTTGCAGGGACTCGGCTAGAATACCCTATCGTTTGATGAAAGTTGCAAATAGATCCCGTTTTCCTGTAGGGACGTATCCCAAGATGCCTTTCAAAAGGCCAATGAGCTCTGCAACAACATATATCTGTCGGGGCGCACTTACCCAGTCAAAGTGTTCCATAGGGTCGAAGATCCCCGGGGAGGGAGAGATCTCTGCCATATCTACTGCTTCAGTTTGGCCTGTATCGGGCGCTGATAACACGAACGTATTATGACCGGGAGTTCCTTCAGAGTCTAATGTGCAATATGTTAGCAATTTTGATTATCCCCTGCGAGTTAGTAACCTACTCAGAGTCATGATGGACGCGGTATCCTGCGCAGTGTGTTCCCTGGAGGATGAAGTCGCGTCCGTTTTTACTCGATCCAGCATTGGTCTCACAATGTCCAATACATGTCTAGACCTCTTTCCCTCGGTACACCACTCCATCCAGATATTACGTGATTCCTCCAAGGCGCTTAACAATTCTGTGCGACGCCCACAATTGGGACGCGTTGCCGATCCAGGACAAGAGCGAAGACCCAGACAGAGAAGCATACTGGCGAGAAGAAAGTCATACGTCGCAAAGTGCGTAATTTTCCATAGATTCCCCCTAAAAAGTCCGTCAGGTTGCGTCTCACGATACACGTACGACTGGTGGCGAGTGATTGCAAGTGCAGCGTCAAGGCACGTCTCCCAAGACAACCTATTTTGCGGTCTCATATACCGCCTATGCAACAGACATCGAGACCTTTGGAACAACAGATCCAAGTGCAGACGCCTCATCACCACCGTGGGCGAGTCAGTCACCGGCGGGCTATCCCGCATTTTTAAGCTCGTCGGGAGCGCCTCTTGTTGGGCACATAACCACTCGTGCAGTTGGATTACAGACTCATAAGGTGACGGTTGCACTGACGTGACATGGCCGTGTATCCGTCCCAGCGCGATGACCAGTCTTGTTTTTGCTCGAATGTACGACACAACTGCAACGGCGGACTCTGGCCGAGATGGTGGCAAGACGGTCATGTTTGGATCCATCTCCTCGGTAAGGATATTGCGCGGCGTCTGGGTGTCGCAGTCTCGCTCGTTGATCATTCGAGGAAGGCCTATCTGAAGGGATACCAGGATGTCGAGCTGAATAATTACGGCCCACAGCCGACGTCTCATCTCACCCACAAAGATTGAGATATTCGGATAATGAGACGGATCGCGGTGATAGCCCATTCTCATTGCAACCCGGACAATCGTCGACAAAACGACATCCAGTCCGAAATGGGTATCTTCGCACCGTAAGTACTCGCTGTAGAAATACAACACTAGCGCGTCAACGGTGTAAGTGGTCGGTTTGGTGTAGTCGCTTAACATCAGGCACTGCGCACTGCACCTCCGAAATAAGATTACGTTTTCTTGCGCTTTCAATTCATTTGTGGGTAGCGATTCGCCGGACTGAAACATGAGATCGGTCGCCAAGCACATCATACTGAACAGCATGCTGAGCCAGTTCAAACTGGCGGTGCTCGGATCCTTCCAAAAACGTTCATACTGCAATTCTTGTGATCAGCGACCATCCCACACCAATCGGAAGGGCAGATTGACGAACTTCTTCTTGGAACGTTGGCCCATGGCTGACCCCTAACATATGTTTCGATCCGTCTTAGCTCTTTCCGACTCAGAAACACGCAGTGCGCGACAGGGGCACATACATGCGGCCAGGTCTAGCGAGTTGAAGTATTTTGAAATCAACCGATCAACTTCGGATTTGGGCGGAACGGACGCCAACAGTTCTTTGATTGTGCAACCCTCGCGCAGTCCAAGGAGCAAGTCAGGCCATCGGGATGATTGCTGTTCGCGCGCCTGTTGACCACCCAGTAACTGTGGTTCCGGGAGCGTGAGTCTTCATCGTTGAAGCGGAGTCTCGCCTCTTACAGTATCCGCAAGTACTGCCCAATGTTCGCCTCCGACATAGTTCGTTTCATTCCCAATGACTTGGATGCGGCCGACGGAGCATGCAATCGAAGGCGCAGTATCGGACGGGGAAGTGGTTTCAGATACTTGGGCAAGAGGGCGCGTGAGACGGTCATGACTTTGGACTGAATTCAGGCGATGTGAAGTAACGGAGATACTGGTGGCATAGCTGCAATGGGCATGTTCACCCCGAGCCACACAGTTCTTGCAAGGCTGGTTTCGGTCACATCGCACTCTATGCTCGGTCAGACCTCTTCCCCAACACGCAGGCAGGGTTTAGTACTTTCGTTTCCGGCAGATGTTGCATGACAACTGCAACTTGTCTCTGCGTCGGCGCTGCTGGGCTAGAAAGTCTGCGGACATTACTCTCGCCTGTAAGACAGAGCTTGAGATTATGAGTAGAGGGAGAAGGAAGAAGAAGAGGAGGAAGGAACGCCGACACTGGGAAGGCAGTCACGTGCTGCGGCCCGGATCATCCCCGGTGGCACCTCTCTCTCTCCATCTCCATCTCCGGTGGCATCTCTCCATCTCCATCTCCGTTGAGGATCTGGATCCCTGTCTTAATCATCCAAGATATCGCCATAACGCCCGTCTGGAAGATGGGGTTATCTTCGCTAAATCCGACATGCAAACGCCGAGCGATGGCCCGGCCACTGTCCGAGGGACCGTCCGAGCGACCGTCCGATTAGCGTCGGAGGCACCCCAGGAGATCAGAGGGGGATCCTTATTAATTCATGGCCCGACTGCTACTGATTATGACTGAAGATTGTATCTTAAAGATTTAGCAGCTGCAGAACGTCTCCTGTTTTCGATTTACCAACTGGTCATCTTCTACCAGATAGCATCAACCCAACGGTTGCCGTCTTGACCAGCTCTCACTCATGGACGACAAACATGAGTCACCCCGAACCACCAACATCCCATACTGGCGGCTGGTGTTTGAGCGGGGCGTGGTCACCCAGGAGATCATTGACTACCCATACCCGGGTTCCGGAACCGAGCAAGACCCGTACGTCGTGAGCTGGATCCCTGATGACCCTCGCAATCCAATGCGCTTCAGCCAGTGGACGAAATGGACCATCACGATGTCAGCGGCTATTGCAACCCTGGCGGTCTCGCTGGACTCATCTGCATTTACAGGCGGCGCTGCACAGATCCAGGAAGAATTCCATATCAGCACCGAGGTCGTGACGTTGGGGGTTTCACTGTTTGTCCTAGGTTTCGCAATTGGTATGTGACCTGTTCAAAGCACACCTTGAATATGATCTGACAATGCTATCAGGACCCTTGCTATGGGCGCCGCTCAGTGAGCTCTTCGGCCGGCAACCGCTCTTCATTGGCACCTACTGCGCCTTGACAGCATTCAACTGTGGCGCCGCGGGTGCTCAAAACAGCTGGACCCTTATGATCATGCGATTCTTTGCTGGCGCGTTTGGATCGTCGCCTTTGACTAACGCAGGGGGCGTTATCGCGGACATGTTCCCGGCGAGTGAACGAGCCCTCGCGATGAGTATGTTTGCAGCGGCTCCATTTCTAGGTACGTCCTGCCGTCCGGAAGTCGGTTTTTCGAGCTCATGCTCGGCGTTACCAAGTCATGGCCGGCTGACATGCTTAATTAGGCCCTGTTCTTGGCCCTATTATCGGCGGATTCCTAGGCATGAAGGCGGGCTGGCGCTGGGTGATGGGTCTTACGGGTGCCTTTGCCGGGGCCGTCTTGATCATGGGCTCTTTGCTCATTCCCGAGACATATGCGCCGGTCCTCTTGCGCCACCGAGCAGCCAAGCTGTCTGCGATAACGGGACAGATATATCTCAGTAAGGCTGAGATTGAACAAGGAAAGCCTGACCTGAGAAAATCATTCAAGATTGCACTTTCACGCCCGTGGGCGCTCCTATTCCGGGAGCCTATCGTCTTTCTACTCTCATTATACTTGGCAATCATTTACGGAACACTATTCATGTTATTCGCTGCATATCCAATTATCTTCCAGCAGGTTCGAGGCTGGAATCAAGGCGTGGGAGGCCTTCCATTTCTCGGCATCATGGTGGGCATGTTACTTGCCGTCGTATACACGATCCTCGACAACAATATGCGTTATGTGAAGACTGAGAAGCGCCACGGCGGCGCTGCACCCCCTGAGGCTAGATTGCCGCCTTGTATACTGGCGTCGATCACGATACCGGTGGGATTGTTCTGGTTTGCATGGACGAATTCACCTTCGGTCCATTTCATGGCCTGTATCAGCGCTGGCGCCCCGTTTGGGTTCGGAATGGTCCTTATTGTATTAGGAGTCATGAACTACCTCATCGACGCATATACAATCTACGCGGCATCAGTTCTAGCGGCCAATTCGGTCATGCGGTCTTGCTTCGGAGCGGCCTTTCCCATGTTTACGAAGTACATGTATGAATCGCTAGGGATTCACTGGGCCTCGTCGATACCGGCTTTCCTAGCACTGGCTTGCATGCCGTTCCCGTTCTTGTTTTACAAGTATGGGGCGGCTATTCGGAAGCGTTGCAAGTATGCGGCCGAGTCTGAGGCCTTCATACGCAAGTTACAGGAGCAGGTCCAGCAGCAACCAACAACCATGGAACCAAAAGAATCTGCTCGAGAAAGCACCGCATCAGAGCCGGACGAGATAATTGGGGAGAGCGACAAGACGGCCAAGGCGTAGGCTCGAGTTCCTATCCCCTCGGTTGTACGGCGATCATTCGACCTTTTCCTCCCGTTTCTCGAACGTCGGGAAGCTATACAGGGACGTCTCCGCCATGTCTGATTGGCTTTAGGCAATTAACACAAACAACCTCTTTTGTTATTTCATTTTCACCTTTGCTTTCTTTCCCTCCAGATTGCTCTCAAAATTAGATTCCATGATGTACTCTTCAATCTTTATCTCCAATCGACTCTTCACTCATCAAGTCAACGCATCTCTTATATCTCGCGAAACAGGGCCAGGCATTCCTGCATGGCGATAGTGGCACGGATTATCATGCAGAGTGGAGCAGCATGAGTTAGGGCTGTCTATCTGTCTATCCTACCCACGTTCGTACAGCGTGACATCATCCGACCCAACATCCTATATAACCAACTACTCCTACAGTCTAATAATCATCTGTCTATCAACCTTCCGTCTTCAAGATCCTTCTTTTTGTACTCATCATGTCCCACCTCGACTGGCCAATCCCCACAGGCTTCGGCCAAGCAGCGCTAGCCTCCCACGCCTACAACCAGGTCGTCCGCGTCGATAATATCCTGCATATTTCCGGACAAGGTACTTCCTCACCCCCCTATCTAGTACTCTCAATACCAACAGAGCACAGGCGGCTGGGACCAAACAACCCTGCACCTCACCCCCTCAGCCCCCGCCCAAATCGACCAGGCCTTCGCAAACGTCGAGCACGTGCTCCGCGCGGCGGGCGGGAAGGGCTGGAGCCAGGTGTTCAAAGTGCGGAGCTACCATTTACGTCTTGACAGCGAGGCGCAGGAGGCTATGGTGCGGAACTTCCAGACATGGATGCCCGGGCATAAGGCGCTGTGGACGTGCGTGCAGGTTGGGAGGCTCGGGAGTGACGAAATGGAGGTTGAGATTGAGGTTGAGGCGCATGATCCGCGGCCGGAGGGGGTGAAGGAGTTGGATGCTTAGCGGGAGCTTGGGATAGGACTATTGAATCGAACGCCTCTTTGGGGCTACGCGAAGATGGGTTGCTCATTCTTAGCGGCTTGAGTTGAGACATCGGGGTAGTTGGCCGTCTTGCCGGCCAGTTTCATAAGCGGAAGAGCAAGCGTTCTTGTGTGTCTTTTTTTCTTGTATGGCAGGAATACAATCTTCAACTTCACCCATCTGTTCTTGCGGTTTTACACCTTGCTCGCGGTAATGACCAATAAGATAGTTCCTATGCCCCGTAGACTATAAATCTCTCCTGGGGTCCATTAATAGGGCAGGAGTCTGGTTGTCTGAACTGTCTGAACTAATGAACAAGTTCTACAGGGATTGTATGCTGTAACCTCCAAATCAGCAGAAGCCTTCATCATGGTAAGACAATCAGGCTTACTTCAACGGCTGTTTCACCTATCTGCTTTGCTGTGAACACCTCGTTCCATTGCGCCGCTAGCTGCAACAGCCCACATATTGCTAATGCGTTCTCTCGACTAAGCAATGCACCAACTACAACCGAACTGCCAGCCGCGGCCTCGACCTTTGGGAGCACCAGCGATGATTCTGACATCGATTCCCGATTCCCTCTCAGTCGGCGAGCCCAAGTCCAGCTCAACCGATGAAGATGCGGACTCGACGCGGACTACATCGAGGTCTCGTAACCCTAACCGACATCCCGACGACATTCATCACAGACCCCCCGACGACGGGACATGGACGACGGATATCGTCCCAGTAACCAGTACGAGTGCGAGCGAAGACACAAGTACCACAAGCGCAGGAGCTCCGAGACCTTGACTGAGTACGTTTGTGTCCATGGATATTGCTCCCAAGGGCCCACTCGGCTAACAACCTACCACGGTGGCTCTTGATGGATCCTGTCGATGCATTCGGACGGGACTTTCCTGGATCAGGTGGACTGTTGACTCTCTCGCCATCTTTCTTAATGGTCCTCTCCGTCTTTCTTCGAATCAGTGACTCCAATGTATAGCTGGAGTGCTCGGAGTACGAATATGCCCTACCTCCTCAATCTAGATATCAGACTCCAACAATCCTAAACTTGTAACTCTTGAATAACCCCCTCCAACCACTCAAACCCCTCCCTCTGCCTCCTCCACGTCCGACTCCCGACCTCCATCCCAAGCGCAAACGTATGATCCTCGCCCTGAACCTCCACCATCCCACAGCGCACCCCCCTCTCCCGCAAAACCCGATACAACTCCCGGCTAACCTCAACACTCACCATGCGATCACTATCCCCATGCACAATAAACGTCGCCGGAAACCCGCTCGCCACCCGCTGCACGGGGTCGATATCGCGTATGTCCCCACATTCCTTGGGGAAAATGGCGTCGAGAACCCGCCCATTCGCAATTTGAGTCAAAGCAAACGCGTCCCGCGCGCGTCGGAAATCGGGCTTGTTGCGAGGCTGGCTCTGGCCTTCCAGTGAGATCCCGCTGGTTGTCGGGATGGGGGATTCAGAATAGACCTGGCGGAGGAATTCGGGGTCGAAGGTGGGTAGATTGCACCTTACGTGTGGGAGTTCTGCCCGCCAGCTGGGGTGCGTGAAGTGCACGGCGCCGTAGAAGTTGAGGATTGCGCGTGGGGGGCGCGGGACGTCGTAGCCCTACCTTCGTCAACACTTCCATATTGAGAGGATGGGGGAAAGGATGAGGAGGAGGACATGCATACCAACGACAGCGCCAGCATCCCCCCACTGCTCGTCCCAAATGCCATGACTCTCTCTTCGTCAACGCAGTACCCCTCCGCGCCCTCCTGGCTTTGCAGGAACGAATCGAGCCCGTCGGTCTGGGCGTAGATCCAGGCGAGGAAGTCGCGGATATCGCTCATTGGGCCGGACCGCACGTCCACGCCCGGACAGAGGCGGTGGTTTGGGACGGCCACGATCCAGTTGCGGGCGAGACAGTCGGAGATCTGCGGCTTGGAGACCATCCCGCTGTGCCCGAGCATGAAGGCGCCGCCGTGGATGTTTATTACTGTTTTTCTGGTTTTAGTATAGTGGTGGGGAATGGGATAGTTGGAAACGTACGGACAGGATACTTTCTCGGCTCATGTGGCTGTGGTTGTGGTGGGAGGTAGATGTCTGCTGTGATGGTGGAGCCGTTGATTTCTTTGTAGGTTGTGGTTAGCGGGGGTGGCGGGGGAGCGAGGGAAGCCATTTTGGTGTTGATCTTGGTTAGCAGGTGGTTCTCTGTTGAGACAAGTCGGGAGGAGGATGATGTATTTATTTCGGTCAGTTCCGGCTTATCCGAGCGGCTTGTCCGGTTCCCCAGAGTTAGGGCTACGGCCAGAACATCTACAATGGCTGCAAGTATATATAAACAGTCGTAATTCATCACCATCATACTTCATATCCTATTTCATCACTACCTAACTACCATAGCCCTCCCCTCATGCCCATTCCAACCCCCACATTTTCGTAACGTCATCGCAAGGCCGTCGCATCAGGAGCCAACGCAACAGAGCGGTCTTGTCCCTGTGCCAGACATTGATATCCCACCAGCCCAGCTGACCACATCCCCGGACGCGAGTCGAGCACAGCTCGTGTCGTGCCGAAAAGGTGGCCAGTCCGGACTGGGTACCTTTTTTTGGGCTTTTGCATGAAACATTGTAGATCGGTATCGGCGCTAAAGCTGCCAAGTACCGTGGGTGATTAATGTAAAGAGTGACTGATGTGCTAAGTGAAATGATGTACTCAAGTGCACTGCACCTGTCAAGTCAAGATGCGTCAAACCGATGCAAGCAAGTCATCGAGGAGCGACGGGTCGTAGTCGTATTAAAGCGGAAGAAGAAAGAACCTTGACTGCTTCATCTACCGACGGACAACGATACCCTGGCGCCTCGCGCCGCGACGAGCACGGCGGTACTCCTCGTCGCTGTCACTGTCCTCAGAGCAAGAGTCCTCAGACGACTCGGTGAGGTATCCACAGCGGGAACCACCGCAGTCCAGCTTGACGCGGTCTCCCTTGCGCGTGATGCCGTAGCGCTCGCAGTGGCAGACGGAGGGCGGGTCCGACATGCTGGAGAGCGAGCTGGGCGAGGTGCTGCCGCTGCTGCGGGACGAGAGGGACGAGCCCACGGAGGACGGCGGGGAGCGGGACAGGTCGCTGTAGTCGTCGTCGGACAGACGAGAGGACTCAAAGCGGCGGGAGAGCTCGTCCATGGCGTGGGAGGGGGCGAAGTCGGCCTCGCGGATTTGGCGGGAGGCGTAGGGCTTGCTGGGCTTGGGGTGCTGGATCTTGGAGGGCGACAGGGCACGTCCAGTGGCGATGTCGGACGAGCCGCGGCGGGGACGGCGAGACGAGGGAGCAGGCTCCTTGCCGCCAGGGACGTCGAGGATGTTGAGCTTGCGGTTGGTGGTGGGCTCGACGGTGTAGTCGGCAGCCGGGTCGTGCGAGACGTGGTAGCCGTCGAGGATGTACTGCTGTCGTTAGTATGGAGCTGGTAGATCGAGAAAGAAACATACGTAGTACCAGTAGCGGCCACCGAGCTTGAGCATGGAGGTCTGGAAGCGGAACTTGCCCACCCACGAGCCGGGCTTGGACGAGTCGCGAGACAGAGGAATCTGGCGAGAGTAGTTGTCCCACGATCCGAGCAGGTGCACCGTCTTGACGTTGGACGAGGTGCGCAGGTTGAACTTGAGTTGAACAGCGGACATGGTGGCGATTATTAGATCAGATTATATGCAAGTAATAAGTAAGTCGTGGTGTCAGTGAGTCGTAGCTGAACGGTTTAAATGACTGCCAGAGCCGAGTAAACGTCCAGTGGTTCTGTTGGTGTTGGTGTTGGTGTTGGGAGGCACAGCAACAGAGGTTCCAGTCCTGACACGAAGAATTAAGACGAATAGAGGCGGAGCAAGTTGTACGGTAGCTGAGGTCGACCGGCGACGTAGGTTGATTAACTGGAGTATCCTGCACAGCAGAGCCGGTAAGAGGAAGCAGTAAAGGCAGAGAGCACAGCTCGTCTGGAGGGTTGTATAGAAGCAAGTAAAGATTAAGGTATAGAAGAAGAAAGCAAACAAACAAGTGCAACCAGTGCACAGGATACTCCGAATTAAGGCAGCTTGGACAAGACTCGCTTGCTGAAGAAAGAAAAGAGAAAGGAAAGGAGCGAAAGAGAGGAGGGCGCTTGCGCATCTTAAGGCCAGCAAACACCGCCCGCAGGCAAGATTCATTCTCATCCTCTCGTCACACGCAGACTGTCTTGTCCGAGTCTTGTCAGTGGCCGACAGGAATAGATGCCTGCTCGCAGCCAATGACGGTGCTTTGCCGCTGGCACTCGGCCGGTGGAGCTCTGCGGCGGTAAAATGCGAGCCTTCATTGGCCGATGCAGAGTCGTCCTGCGGGTGACAAAAGCCAATCATACAAATGGAGCTAGCGCCCGTGATGAAGATGTCCCTCCCCAGCCAATCACATTGAGCCTTACATGAGAGTGAGACCACAGACAAGGCTTCATTCAGCACGGTGGGCGAGACACTCAAGGGTACTTGGATGACTTCCGGAATATTCTGCATGAGAGTTGCGCACCAGCTGAGCTGCAGAAAGGATCTCGGTACATCGGATGCAATATTCCATGCTGTGTCAGCCTCAGCTGGTAGCAGTAGCACCTGCGCGTCATGCACACACGGCTCAACTGACGAAGCCGTGCAGACGAATTCCTTGTCGAGATTGGCCAGAGTACTCCGGACGGAGAGATTCCCATTCCCAGTCCAATAGGCGACCGGGCATGGACTTGCACTGCGAGGCTGGAAAAGTTAATTCTGCATGTCTAGCGTCGGTCAGTCTCAGACACGGCAGAGCTTCAGAAGAACTAGGTGTATTGATGTATCATAAGTCCTCGCCTATACGCCAGGAAATGCCAAAGGCTGTTTTTACTTGATATCCCCAAAATACAGATTGAAATCGCCAGCCGAAGAAAAACAAGAGCAATTACTGTACAACCTCACCGCACCGAAACCCCAGACCGGTTGGTAAACATCCGAGCCGCGATGTTCATCGCCGCCAATTCCTGGAACAGAAGCTTGGCTGCATAAGGAATATGCACCTGGGAGATTCGGTGCTTGTTGTTGCAGAGTCGGCACTCGAACAGACCCTTCTTCAGTTTCCTGCTCTCGGTTAGCATCCTGGTCACGTAAATGAGGGGTAGCACTCACGCTATCGGCGTCATCAGCCCGCAGTCGTCGCAGATGTGCACTCGGAACGGGTCCGACACGTCGAACAATCGCTCCTTCAGGAACGCACTGGCTCCATGCGCTATCATGCAGTCACGTTCCATCTCTCCGAATCGAAGACCACCGTCTCGAGCACGACCTTCCACTGGCTGCCGCGTCAAGATCTGCGTAGGTCCACGCGCACGAGCGTGGATCTTGTCGTCCACCATGTGTCGCAGACGCTGGTAGTACGTCGGTCCCAGGAAGACCTGCGCCACTAGCTTGCGTCCTGTGTGTCCGTTGTACATTACTTCAAATCCACGCGACTGGTAGCCGTGCTCGCGGAGGAGACGAGAGACCGAGTCGACGGTGACATCGGTAAATGGAGTGGCATCACCTTCGAATCCACGCAACGCAGAAACCTTGCTGAGCTGACACTCGATCAAGTGAGCAATAGTCATACGAGACGGAATGGCGTGCGGGTTGATGATAAGATCCGGCGTAACACCCTCGCGAGTGAACGGCATGTCTTCCTGTCGATAGGTGATACCAATCGTACCCTTCTGACCGTGACGAGAAGCGAACTTGTCTCCAATCTGCGGAACCTTGGTCATTCGCATGCGCACCTTGACCGATCTCAAGCTGTCCGGAGTGGTGGTAACCAAAACTTGGTCGACGATACCGTTCTCCGTGCTGCGGAGCGGCGTCGACACATCCAGCTTGGTATGGGCCTTGGTCCGTTGACCCAGCTCTTCTGCGTCCGGTGCCAGCGGAGCGGTCTTGCCGATGATGATATCCTCACCCGAAACACGCACACCAGGATTGACGATACCGTCTTCATCGAGCTTATCGTATGTACCCTTTCGCATGCCAATCGTGTCGGACCGCATGGGCTTCTCGAACCGTTCGACCACTGTCAATCCGACCATCTTCTCGCTGTCTGAATATGTACGGTAGAAAAGACTGCGGAAGAGGCCACGATCGATACTGCTCTGGTTCATAATGACCGAATCTTCTTGGTTGTATCCCGAGTAACAAGCAATAGCGACAATCGCGTTCTGTCCGGCAGGAAGCTCTCGGAATCGCAAGAACTCCATTGATCGCGTCGTTGCCAAAGGCTTCTGTGGGTAGTAGAGGATGTTCGCCATGGTCTCCATGCGCTGGTCAAAGTTGGTCAAAAACACACCCATAGCTTGTTTACCCATAGCAGACTGGTAGGTGTTACGAGGAGACTGGTTGTGATCGGGGAAGGGAATGATACTGGCACAAACACCGAGAATCATACTGGGATGGATCTCGCAGTGTGTCCAGGTATGTGCCCGTTGACTGAGAATCGACCGCACACGCTTGTTCGAATCTTGCTCCTCAGGAAGCGCGTATCCAGCCTGCAGTTGTTTCGAGATCTCCAAGTCCTCTGGTGTCATGACGATCATGATCGTTTCCTCTTCTTCCGCATCCACATACTCAACCACGCCCGACTTGACCAAACCATCCCATCCAAAGTAGCGCTCGCGGCGGTCCTCTGCATCCATATCTGGCGGAAGGTCCTTGTCTTCCTCCAATTTGCGAATGTGCTCCTTGTTCAAGATGAGGTTGCCGCAATTCTCACTCTTGGGGTCGTTGTCCACGACGTAGAGTGGTCGGCACACACGACCGGCGTCGGTGAAGATTTTGAATTCTCGCTCACGAATATCTCGGATAAGACTGACTTCGTGGGAAATCATGTTTCGCCGACGAAGGGCTTGCATAGTCTCGACAAGGTGAGCGGGTTGTCGGTGAATACCGACCCAGACACCGTTGACAAAGACCTTGGTAGCGTTGGGCGTAACTTGAGGCTCAAACTCCTCGAGCACTTCCATGTTACGCTGAATCATGAAATCGATGATGGGCTCGCTAGGTGTACCGACAGTGATGTAGCACATGAGCGCCAAGTTCTTGACCAGACCACAAGCTTGACCTTCAGGAGTCTCCGCGGGACATACCAGACCCCAATGGGTGTTGTGTAGCTGACGGGGTTTTGCAATCTTACCATCACGGCCGATGGGCGTGTTCGTTCGCCGAAGATGTGACAGTGTAGAAGCGTAGGTATAACGACTGAGCACTTGCGACACACCCGCCTTGGCACTGGCGGCCTTCTTCTGCTCTCCCCAGTTACCGGTAGCGAGGGCGTACCGCAGACCTTGAGTGACAGTGCTGGCCTTGAGACCAACGTTGAGGTAAATCTCGCGTTCTGACTCGACACACCGCTGCACGTAGCGCTGGAGATCGCGGGTAACTCTAGTGAAGAGAACACGGAAGAGATTGGCCAGCAGAGGACCAGCAAGATCAAGACGCTTCTTTCCGAAGTGATCACGGTCGTCAACATCGCGACGGCCAAGAGCACACTGAAGAAGTCTGTGCACCATGTAACCAAGGAAGAAAGCCTTTCGGGTTTCACTACCCTCGCTTTGGGAGATGTGAGGCAGCAGCTCCTTCTGCATAATCTCTCGAGCGTATCTGACACGACGTTCGTGGTTCATGCTCGACTGAGACGAGCCACGCTTGGCAATGAAATCCAGGGCGACTTCACGGTCCTGAATAACGAAACCCTCCTCAATGCAGGGTTTCAGCATCTCCAACATAGGCGTATCATTTCGGTCGTAGCAAATGTGGTTGAGGATATCTTCATCGGAAACGACACCGAGCGCACGGAAAACAATGACGATTGGAATGTCGGCCTTGATGTACGGCAATGTTGATCGGATTGTAGGACCGAATCCGCCTTTGGCGCTGTCGCCCTTGCCGAAGAGCTTGAGAGCCAACTGCGACAGCAACCTTGACCCCTTTTCAACGGCACTGCGGATTTCAGCAACGTAGGGTGTCGGGCTTGGCGGGGCCTTCTTGAAAACCTGAACTGTGTTTCCAGCGCTGCGTTCCTGGGCGATCAAAACCTTTTCACTTCCGTTGATGATGAAGTAACCACCAGAGTCATAAGGACACTCGTTCCAGTCATACAGAGCCTGCTCGCCCAGATCCCTGAGAAGACAGTACTTAGACTTGAGCATAATCGGCATCTTTCCGATGTGAACAGTTTCCTCCTTCGCCTGATCCTGAGCCAACGCCATCTCTTCCCACTGCAGGTAAGTGCCCGCCGCTTTTCTATCCTCGCCCATATCGTCATCGTCGCCATCACCGACCATGCGTTCTCGTCCCTCCATAACCTTCTTCCTGATTCCGAGATATAAAGGACTGGCGTAAGTCATATTTCGGAGACGAGCCTCGTGCGGCAACATAATCGTAGCAGCACCGTCGCCTTCCATGGCCATCGGCCGGGAAAGCATGACGGTTCCGAATTTGAGCTCATATCGGCGGACAACGACGGGGTCGACTTCATCCTCGGATGGCGGAATCGTCTGGTCTAGAGTCACTTGGCCTTGTTCCTCTACTAATTCCTGTAGCGTCGAGGAGATAAATTCATCGAACGAGTCCAGCTGCTGTGAAACGAGACCTTTGGTATCGAAAAACGACGAAATCACCGTCCAGCAGTCCTCCGACGTAATCCCCTCATCCATCTCATCGTAATACTCCTCATCGTAGGCCTCGCCATAGTCGGCCATTTTGACCGCGGTCGGCTCGAGCGAAAGGTTGATTGTTGAAGAGCGCAAAGGGCGCGACGCGCTCGCCGGGGGTCGCTGCTAAGATCCGCTGCGAGTCGGTAATACCTAAAACAGTCTTTTGGGCGGGAAAAAGAGGAAGGGGTCGAGAAACCACGGGATCGAGCTGGTTGAAATTGAATACCCCAGCCCGGTCGAGGATGCTGGAGGAACACAAGCTGAAAGAAAGGCCGTTCGAGAGTCGGGACATCAAAGCCGCCACTAGCGCTCGGGAAGGCGGTGAGAAGTGAAGTGCCGTGAAGCTGTTATCACGTGGACCATAGCCACCTCAAGTTTCAGGCATCAGAACATCAGCTATCTCTCAGCTGCCCTAATTTACTTTATGGCCATGGCCCTTATGCTGGCTAGTACAAGTTAGTATACTTTACAATGGTTATTCCGCTGTTTGAAGATTGTCCTGCATGGTGACGGTGGCTAGCGTGGCTGTTGATCATTGTAGTCGGAACTTATATGCTGAGGTTCCTGTCCTGATATCCACTTAATTGTCCATGGCGGCACAAAGTAGCTATCTAAACAGGAAATCCCCGGCCATAGGCAGTGGTCAAACTGAGATACCCGACTGGAAATTCCGATCAATTGAGTTCTCAGCATTATTTTGCCGTGACTATGTTACAAAAATTGCAGCAAAGTTTGCAGCATCTCCTTGTGGTCCTTCTGCCCTGGCTCATCATCTGAAAGGCCCTCGATTTGCTCTGTATATCATTAGTATGCATTGGTCAGCAAAGATTTTAACATACCTTGGAGTGTGCTTTGAATAAGCGACAAATCCTCATCTCGATCTGAGAAGATCGAGATAATCTTCTTCTTCGCCCCATCATCTTCCGCCACAAGCCATGCTAAAATAACGTCGATGAGCTATTCATGTTAGTATCAGTGGAAACCCCGGCTAGAGCAACATACCTGCAAAGAAAAGAGACCAGCATCGAATCTCCGTGAGAGCCACTCCCCTTCCATGACCTCTTGTTCGTCTTTTGTGAATTGTGTTCGCTCTTTCTCGATTATTTGTTCGACCGGCGACACCCTTGAGGCATAGTCGCGCCTCAGTTTGACCAGCTTCTCAATCTTCTCGTAGTCTTTTTCCATGAACTTGGCCAACGCTCGAATTCGCGGTGCAGAGCCCCCTGGCAGCAGCCGCAGTAAGGATCCAAAGATGCCAAGGAGGTGCTCTATAATCTTATTTTCTTGCTGTGATGGTTTAGCGTTATGTTGCACTGAACGGAAAAGCAGCCTACCTTTCGCATGAACATGCCAAATATAGTTCTCAAGCCAGCCACTTCGACCAGCCGCTCACAAGACGCTGCACCTCCAAGCCCACCCAAAGCATGATCCAGAGTTCGGATGGCGCGTAATTTGCTAAACTTCCCTTCCTTCAGCATGATTTGTGCAAGCTCAATGCCTTCTGCTTCCAGGAATTTCTCTTTCCCCGCGTCTTCATCCACAAGACAGACCAGACAATCAAACAGATTCTCAGCGTATTCTTCTTCGTCTGAGTCCTTCTCCGGGTCGCGCTTTCGGTACTGACTTAATAGTTGAAGTAGAGCATCTACTCCGTCAAGCCCGATGAACCGCTCTCTATTTTTGTGGCCTGACTGTAACAGGATAGCTAAAATCTCGGCCGAGTATTGCTGGTTCTGACTCACGGGCCTCTCTTTCTTTTGTATCCGTGAGAGAAGCCAGGGCATTGTATTTGAATCTTGACCGATCTTCTCTGCAATAGGTGCTTGGGAAGCAAGATTTTCAAGCACGCCTGGGTATGTCAGTGGCGCCTCGTTTATCAAATAAACAGCACTCACTAAGGATATAGTACACTCCAGCCCTGTCGGCTTCTTCGTCTTCATTCAAACGCGACAAGTTCTGGGCCAGCAGTTCGATAAGATCGGCATCCAACTAGAATAGTTAGTATAGAACGGCAAAAAGCGGAGAAACATACCATTGCATTGACCAAGGTGTCCCATTGCTCCTGTTCCGCTTCCACATCTTCATCGGTCAACTCACTAATGATTTGGATGGCGTCAATGGCGATGTCGGCGTTTTCGTGAGAAAGAAGGGATACCAGAGAGCCAACACATCCCAGCTTAGTGAATTCGGGGAATAGATCTGTATGCTCTGAGAGAATGGACAGACTCTTGATCTCCGCATCTAGATCAGCCTCGGACGCCATGAATCTGTACCCGTCAGTACCTGCACATTTCAACCGCTCACGGGTCATACTTCTGAGGATCGTTTTCGAATTTCCCGCGCAACTCCGCATTCTTGGATATTTTCTTCTCAAAATTCAGCGCAAAGCGCCTGAGCCATGCGACATCGAATTTCTCGTTCTATCCCGATCAGCGTCCAGTCCAAGTCTTGCCGAGGTGATATCCATACCACGACCTCGCCCTGGTCTTGATCTTGCTCATCGATGTAGTTCATGGCCTGCGCCGTTTCCCGTTCCATCCCTCCACCGAAAAAGCGGCCTTCCTCGTCGTCGGGGATATCTTCGGTTTCGAAATCGGGCGGGAGCTCGGGGCCGGCCTCGCCGTCATCCTCCTCTTCATCTTCTACCATTGGCGCCTTCCCTTTCGATTTCACATCGCCGTTCGCGTCAAGTTTGGCAGCTTTGTATAATTCGTCTATTGCGACTTAGTATATGGTCATTTTCCGGGCTTGATGTGTGAACGTACTCGGATCTTTTGCAATGTCTAATTTCCGCTTCGCGCTCGCAGCCGCTAGCGGTTTCTTCTTCGTAAGCGATGAGTCGGAACATGACGAGGAATGGAGCTTACCTTGAAAAGCTCATCTACGCTTGTCATGGTTGCGGACGCTTCTCAAAACAGATTCGGACCTGCCAGCCAAAGGTCGACCGGTAGGGCTATATGCCAAATAAGTCGTATACCAGGCGGTCAATGGTTTGAAGCCTATATATTTCACTCTTGAATCAAGAGCGTATCCTGCTCGGCAAAGCCAGTATCAACTGCGCAGCTGTCGGGGATAATTACGGTTGCCGCGAAAAGCTCCAAACGCAAATCGCCGCCAAGCATTCCGACAGATTTCTCGGAGCAGCTTCACACCTCCGACCTACAAACCATCGATTGCACATCCACCCAGACCACACTCTTCCAAATCACTTCGATCCATACCACAAAAATGGCCCCCAGGCGCTCCGAGCAAGGCTTCTTCAGTGCTGCCTACGAGCAGATCACCTCACCCGAGCACACCACCATCGTTCGAAGCATCCTCGTTTTCGGCGTACGTTCATCACTCGCATCACCGTTGCTTCATCCGCTAGATCTCGCTAACTCTATCTACAGGCAGGTGTCGCTTTCCTCCACAGCAGCCTTTCCGAGCTCCTCCTCCCTCCGTAAGTCACCAGTCGCCGGATATTGGTCGTGTCGTTGCTCATGAATCCAGTGCTTAAACGAACCCGTCACCACCTCGCATAAAGCCCTGATGGCTGGAATCAAAGCTTTGCGCTAGTCGAGGATACAAGCAATTAACTTTGACGACCTCTCATTACGCTCGAAGCGGAACAATGTATAATATGGTGTTTTTTCTTGGGCATGCGCTATGTCGTCTGGCGTTTTGATAGAGTTATGGAACAACAAATGAAACAAAATCAATACTCAGCAGTCCTCATGACTTTTCCACGGTATATCGGCACTTTTTTCTCGCCATCCTTCAAATCTCGTGACGGCTACGGTATAAACCGGGCACGGTATGCCGGGTCCTACAGCGTTATTTAGACATAATTCTCGAAACACTCTTCGAGAGCCGCGTACGATAACAGAATCTCCGTGCTGAGTCCTGTACTTATCCAGAGTGATTGAGCCAAGGCAATACAACTAGGTCGACGGTAGGTGATTACAGAGTGCGTACTCAACACTTTTTCAAGGTATTTGCATGATCAAAAACATCTCGAATTTTACATCGAATCCACTGCTCCACTGGCAGCAGTAAAGTGTTCTGTTATATGGATTTCGACGGTTCGTTATTGTACGAACACGTGCGGCCATGATGCAGTTTCTGCCTGAAAGCTGAGGCGAACTTCGGATAGTATATCGGCAAATCGCTCCAGGCCCAACGGTTCTCCAACTTCCACCTCCCCGAGTGGAACAAACTACGCAAAGCCCGCCCAGGCTAGCGCGCCCGGTGTTTGATTCTCTCACCGGTGAAATCCACCGCATCCAATTGGCCCAATACAATGTCGAGATTAGCGGGGAAGCCCGCAATTACGGAGGCGCCCCCGCCTCCGCACTGCCCACAGCATTTCTGCTTCTGCTGCGGTGAGCTCAAGTTGCCAACGCTTACGCCTTCTTGCTGCTACGCTTAGTGACTAAACCGGCCCGGCCACCGCCTTCACTGACATCGGGGAGAACGCTATCGTCACTCACCGGCTGACACCGGCAAGCTCCGCGGACTGTTGATCTTGTCGATGCGCTGCATGTGCCTGGCCAACCTATATTCTCGCGCACAAAATGTTGAACGCCAAGCGCAAGCAATCCGAAGCCGGGTTTCCCGATGACGGTCCAGCTAGGAGGAGGAGCAGCAACGTCCTAGGATACAATGCTCAAACGCCATGGCTACACGAAGATCATAGCTCCAGATTCTCTGCGGCGCGAAGGTCGATAGGGACTCGGGGTCACGCGGATTCTTTACCCCTCGCTAACATGGTATCGACTGTGCAAGACTTGATCGATCCCGACTTTGACCCGCTGATTGCAATATTGGACGAAGAACCGCGTTTCCTGAAACCACTGCCGTCGCGGATATCAGCGGAGGATCTGGAGTTCCTGCGCTTTCGAGGGGCACTGGCGATCCCCGAGAGCGGGTTACGGACCGAGCTCCTACGCTGCTATATCAAATGGGTTCATAGCTTCTTGCCAGTGCTGAACTTGCAGGAGTTTCTACGATGCGTTGCCGTCAATGATCCGGAAGGGGACATTAGTCTTTTGCTATTCCAGGCCGTGATGTTTGTGGCAACCGCTTTTGTGGACTTGAAGCACCTTCAGGCAGCTGGCTATGCTACAAGGAAGATTGCGCGCAATGCTTTCTACACACGATTGCGGGTACGTTGTTTTCGGTACTCCATGCGACAACGCTGACAGCGACAGTTGCTCTACTCACTTGACTGCGAAGAAGACCGAATAGTCATCGTGCAGACTCTCCTCCTTATGACCTATTGGTCCGACCACATGAACAACCCGCAGCGAGACATATGGGATTGGATTGGAATATGCAGCACCAATGCGCACTCGATCGGATTAAACAGAGACCCGTCTTCTTCTGACATGGACATACGAACGAAGCGGCTGAGGACAAGGCTATGGTGGTGCCTGTTTTCGCGCGATCGACTCATTGCCATGGGCTTGCGGCGTCCGACGCAAGTCAACGAAGGGTCGAGCAATCTTCCGATGCTGAAGCTGGACGACTTTGACCCTGAGCCATTCCATCCTGCAGTAATTGAGCAGTTCCACTGCCGGCAGCTGGAGGATGCTTCTCATCAGAAACGTCTCGCGACTATGTTCATCGAAAAGGCAAAACTATGCCAGTGCATTGGAAGGGTACTATTCGCTCAATATACGCCGTCCCAGTACCAGTTCGGTCTGACAACCCGAACAACCATTAACCTTGTTCCGAGACATGCTTCGGAGTCAGAGCTCGCTCGATGCAGTCAACGACTCGAGTCATGGCTCGCTTCATTACCCAGAGATGCACAGTTCATACCCGCGTCAAAGACAAACTTCAACGACGGGGAAGACGTATTACTTCTCCACGGCGCCATGATCCGTATGCTATACCACGCCACCGTGAGCGCCCTCCATCGCCCCTGGGCTTACGGGTCCACAAAAGATCAGACAAAATCTCGCCTAGAACTAGCAAACGCAGCACGAACAAAGATGCAAGACGCCGCCATCGGAATCACTCAAATCATCCAAGGTCTCAACCAACTCAATCTCACCCGGTATCTCCCTCAATCCGGCGTAACGGTCATTCTCCCCGCCGCCGTAGCCCATCTCGCCAACTCAATGTCCAACGACCCTACCCTCCGCGAAAACAGCATCTCCAACTTCCAGCGCTGCATCCAGGTCCTGCAAGGTCTAAAGGAGATATACCCCGCTGCGGACATGGAGGTCGCTAACATCGAAGCCGCCGTCAAAGCGCAATCCAGCACAAGCGCCCTGTTGCGAATCATGCAGTTCAACGGATCACCCCCGGCTCAGCCAGAGCCACCGCGTAAAACAAGCTTGGTCTCCAACCCAGCACAGATACCGTCGCCGTTGGACGAATCAAACCATTGGACGCCGCCGGCTGAGGAACATGACACTGCCCATCCTATTCTCCACCAACTCGGCCACGCATCACCGACGAACAACGCACAAGAAACCCAAACCCAGCCCCCGCGTCAAGACCAACCAACACCACCAACTGACTTCCCCGACCCCCTCAATACCTCCCCAACCACAACAACAGTTCACCAAGCACCCCAAGTCAACCCACCCACATCCTCGATCTTCACCGACCTCCTAGACTTCGACTTCGACACCTACGCTTCAACAATCACACCCGCACTCCCAGACCCCAAAGCAGGACCCGACCTCGACCTCGACTGGACAAGCGAGCTGCTCCGATGGGCAGACGCGAATCCAGAGTATTATTCTAGCTCGAGTACGAATGTCAATGAGCCGAGAGATATCTTTTCGTTTCCGATGGGGCCGGGGTCGGGGCCGGGGACGAGTCCGGGGCTTGGTGCTGGGCTTGGGGGTCAGGGCGGGAATGGGCAGAGGCAGGGGCAGGGGCGTGCACATGGGAGCTTGAGTAGTGGGATTACCGGGGATTTAGATCGGGATTTGGGGTTTATGGAGGGGGATGAGATGTTCTAGCTTTACCTCCTCGCCTCGATTGTTTTAGCGAAGCGATGATTTCTTCTGTTTGTGCGCCTATTTGGGGCTTGTTTTTTGTCTTGATGGGTGCGTTTCCTATACCTCAAGTACCTACTCTATGTCCTGCTTTTTTGGCGATTAGCATATCGGCGAGGATCCTCTGGCATAGTCTACTCTATACTCTATATCTTCTTTTGCGGAGATTTGTATCATCAATGCATAGATCCTTGGTATCGTACGGATGGGTACGGTATCCATATACCATTAAATCAACTCTATTCTATTCCCTTTCCTAGCCCTTCCACCCGCCCTCATGCCTCGTATCATACGCTCGTTCACTTCTATAGTTCGAGAAAATCACTTCCCATTCCACCGATTCCGCTCATCCCCTTCCTCCCACTCGTGCTCTACATACCCCAGCCTCTTCTTGACGGCCTGCACGGTGTCCTTGTCGCCTGTGTTCTTGCCCATGTTGTCACTGAGCTTGACGGCGGCCCTGCCATTCGCGGAGGCGATCTTGATGACGATATTGAGGGGTTGCGATTTTTCGTTTGTGGTTGTGTTAATGAAGTCGTCTACATATTATGTTAGTTTGCTGCGTTCCTGACGGGTAGAGAATGGGAATTGTGGAGGGCGTACTTGTGAAAAATGTTCCAACGCCAAATACAGGCTTGAACCCGGCCTCCTCCGCAAGAACCTTATATTCTAAACAGTGCTCAATGTTCAGTGAATCGGAGAACACCACCGTCTTTGCCCCAGTGATGCCCTCGCGGTCGTAGAAGTCTCGGGCGATTTTCACAAAGTAAGCCGGGTCGCCTGAGTCCTGGCGCACGCCTGTGTAGACCTGGGCGTAGGTTTTGCCCGCGGAGTTGGGGTGATCGTTGGCAAGAGGTGCGGAGATAGGAGGCTTAGTCTCGGCTTCGCTCTGGATGTTGGACTCGGTGGTTGTGCTGGGTCCTGAGGGAGCTGTTGAGACGGCTCCAGTGCCGGCAGACGTGAAATCGGGGATTGGTTTGCGGAAGGCTTCAAGAAAGGCGGGAGTGCCGAAGGTGTCTGTGAGGGCAATGCCGAGGACCTGCGTTTATTAGCATTGAGTGCTCAGTGATTCATGAACTGTGCGACGTACGCCTTCGCCAAAGCAACCAAGCCAGTACTTCAGCGCCATCTCGTTTGCATTCTCGTAGTCGTCCGTGATCGCGGCGATGGTCATGTACCACTCGTGCGCGACTGTTCCAACAGGATCCACGTCGTACTTCATCGCAAAGTGCACATTACTGCTACCGGTAAAGACACCCGGTAGACCCTTTGCCTTGGCCTCGCTCGCAGCCCGACAAAGTCCCTTCATAACAAGATCCTGGGTGTGGTAGTCGCGGCGCCGGCGGGTTCCGAACTCTGAGAAGATGCAGCCGTGCTCGAGCAGCACATAACCTTTCCGGTAGGCTTTCTCCTCTTGACACTCGTAGTTCCAGTCCTTATCGCAGAACATGAAGTATGCCTGGCTCGTTAGCGCCAGCAGGGGAATCTCGTATAGAATTGTCTCGACCCATTTGCCCTTGACGATGTATTTGATATCGCCCAAGTCGTCGTCACTTCCTGTATCATCCGTAGGGGTGAATTCGATATCGACCTGCTCTGAGGGTTTGAGGTGGAATTGCGTCAGGAAGTCTAGGTATGCGGTGTTGAAGTAGGGGCATCGCTTTCTGAGGAATGCGATTTCATCGTCCGTGACGCGGATGTTTGCGAGCTCTATAAGTGCGCCTGTTAGCGATTGCCAGACTATTAGGTCTCAGCACGTACTGTCCATCTGGGCTAGCATCCATTTGTATGCACCCCGCGTCAACTTCTTCTGCGGAGTTCGGTTTGTGAAGCCATAGGTGACCTCTGGGCCATGTCAGCGAAAGCAAGGCTCACAGGTAACGAGTACCTACGGACGTCCGGGAAGTATTTCAGGATTGCGCATTGCATCGTCAGCTTGTACAGGTCTGTATCAAGCAGAGAGGAGACCCCCTCCGGGAGCGGGGCCGAGTGGTCGCCCATGGTGAAGATTCTTCGTAGATGAAGCTGCTCCAATTGACTTTGGCTCGGAATATCGCGACCGTGAATCAGATCAGAATCATACGCAGAAAGCAGCCAAGCAGCCAGGAACGCGATATTGAGTCAGAGTCCAACGATGCCGGTGAAGTTATTTAAGCCCGCTGCGGGGGAGGATGCCCGATAAGGAAGGTTTGCAGTGTTTGCACGGAAGCTGGAGGGGTATATCACAGCGACGTCATTGTATATCTGTTTGTTCGTCTGGACAATAGCAGATGCTCTCTTTCACGCTGTCTTCTAGCGGCTGCTTGCTGTTCTGAGCTTTTTGGAACAGCCAAATGGGTTTCTTTGCGCTGTTGTGATGCGTCGGAGATGTTGCGATATCGGGACGATGCCCGCTTCAAGCCGACGCCGCGGCAATAGCAGGATAGACAAGCCTTGCTACGATTGCGTCTTCCTACAGTGAGTGCTGTATGATTGAGTCTGGGGTTAGGAAGCTAGCTATAGCCTTATGGCTAAGCTCTACACACAGTGTGCTTCGAGATATATATCTTGTTCTCATCGAGCTTATTCTATATTTTAGCAGCACCTATATCATTGACCAATCGCACTCTTAAACAGCTTCTCCAGCCTTGCTCCCTCACTATCTGCCAAGTCCCCATGACTCTGCGCAGTACCGATAGGATGATACGGAAACGGCCTAAGCACAGCGTCAGCCATGTCGCACAATAACGAGGTCCTCATAGCGATGTACTCACCCATACTCCGGAACAAAAGTCAGCCGTCCATTAGGATCCGTCTCCTGCTTGTGCTTCACAATGTCCAGCCAGAATTTCTCGAAGAATGCGCGCTCGTCGGCGAAGACTGGATCTAGGGGGTCGGGACATTGTGAGGCTTGCGTTGTGCCCATGCGGGTGTGAATGTGGCCGACCTAGAGAGAAAGCGAGAGTCAGTATAGGCTGCCATGGATTGATTGGATGAGCAAAAGTGAGCCTTGCATGTGGAATAACACGAGCGAGAATTTCCTGGTCCTCTTCGTTGACATCGAGGAGGCGCTCAGATACGACGACCCAGTGTGAGATATCGGCGGTGATTGTGAGCCTATATCTGTCAGTGAGAGCTCTCAGCACAAACAGACAGGACGCACCCTGGCACTTTTTGCAGGATGTAATCCGCAGCATAAGGGTTGAAAAGGGACCGGTTGCGGTGCGTCTCATGGCACACTCGTCCGTCGAATCCCTCTTCCTTCTCGACCTGGAGAGCCTTCTTGTAGAAGGCCACCGACTCATCCCAGCTGAAGTGGTCCCTGCACGCCGTCAGACCATGTCCGCTTTATTCCAGAAAAGAGGTATAGGACATACGCTCCTGACTGCGCATTGATCCGCACCGGCTTTAATATAGATGCGAGTTTGAGCTGCGATCTGAAGAACTCGGCGTGATCGTCTGGCGCCAGTCCGCGAGGACGACGACCGATGTACTTCGGCCATGATGAGAACAAGCTGCGTTCGTTAGATCCCGTCCAGCTTGGATTCTGGGAAGTACTGACGTGACGCTAGTCTCCAAGCCGACCTCGTCGCAGATGCGGCGCAGAAGCTGGAGCTCCTCAGGGCTCATGCCGGCAAAATCGATCTCAATTCCAGCTGCATCCTCAGTCAGAACGTCCTCGCACCAGCGAAGCAGGGGCAGTACCGTATCCATGTGCCTTCCACTCCACAAACTTCTTCTTCCACTCGGACTGCTGGGGACCGGGCTCAACGCCCCAAAGAGATCGAAAGCGCGAGATGACGACCATGCCGTAATCCTTGCTTATCTGTAGATTAGCTTCTTGGGAGACTCCAAACAGCGAGATCCAGCTATAAGTATACATGAAAAGACCGGGATCGGATTTGCGTTTCCGAATCAGGGTCTGCGGGCCGCATTGCCTGTTGCTCTGGATGCAGTAGTTTGGCCCGCCATCCCCACGTCCCCTGATGCTCGATATGCATCTGCGTCCGCTTATAGGTCATTCCCCTGCGGAGATTCTGGGTGCCCTCCTCTCGGAGGAGATGCGACACAAGCAAGGATGATGATGTATCTGCAGACCCGGAATGTCAATTTTCCCCGCGTCCCGTCATACTCCGCACCCCGCACGCCTTCTGCCTCTGTTAATAACCAGCTGCAGCCACTTGCGGGCCTGAAGAGAAACAGTTGACTTATTCGCGAGAACTTGCGCAGTATATTCGAAATGGCGTCACGAACAATGAAAGCGCTCAACTATGTTGGGCCGTTCAATGTCAAGGTCCAGGAGGTCGAGATGCCCCGACTCGAGCATCCCGATGACATTATCGTCAAGGTTACCAGTGTATGTTTGCGTCGCTTCAATTGATTGCTCTCTTGATACTGACTATATAGGCCGCGATCTGTGGCTCAGACCTACAGTGAGTTCGCCCAGCAACACCAGCGCATACACCATACTTATCTATCGCAGCATGTACGAAGGACGAACCGCAGCAGAGGCAGGCATCACTTTCGGTATGCCTTAACCAGGTACATGGGGCCCATAGTTACTCAGACTGCTAACAGTGCTGTATTAGGCCACGAAAACCTAGGTATTGTCGAAGAACTCGGCGATGGCGTGACACTACTCAAAAAGGGCGACCGGGTAGTCATGCCCTTCAACGTCGCCGACGGCCGGTGTCGGAACTGCGAAGATGGAAAGACTGCGTTCTGCACGGGCGTGAACCCCGGGTTTGCGGGCGGTGCTTATGGATATGTTGCTATGGGGCCGTATCGTGGTGGTATGTATACCTCTTCACTTCATTCGAACACGCCAAAGGACAGGTGGGTTAAGAGCACTATCGCAGGCCAAGCGCAATACCTTCGCGTCCCCTACGCCGACTTCAACGCCCTCAAGCTCCCACCCGGCACAGAACACGAAGCAGACTTCATCCTGCTAGCCGACATCTTCCCGACAGGCTGGCACGGGATCGAGATCTCAGGCTTCCAGCCCGGCGACACTGTTGCTGTCTTCGGCGCGGGTCCCGTAGGCCTGATGGCGGCATACTCCGCACAACTGCGCGGCGCATCACGAGTCTTTGTCGTCGACCGCGTCCCAGAGCGGTTGCGTGCTGCCGAGAAGATCGGTGCCGTGCCCATTGACTTTACGGCCGGCGATGCAGTTGATCAGATTATCGCGGCGAATGGAGGCGAGCTGGTTGACCGGAGTGTTGATGCGGTGGGGTACCAGGCCGTTAGTGGTAAGGGGGACAATGCGACCGAGGTGCCGAATATTGTGCTGGAGAATATGATCAAGGTTACGCGGGCTTGTGGTGGGTTGGGGATTCCGGGGCTTTATGTGCCTAGGTGCGTTTTCCCTTCTTTCATACCACTTGAAGTATGGATGGACCGCTGATATGACGATAGTGACCCCGGCGCTGGTGACACCGCAGCAGCGAAGGGTATGATTAGTCTAAGCTTTGGCAAGCTCTTCGAAAAGGCACATTTCTCCCCTTCACCCAAACACTCGCCTCAGTCCGCACATCTAACATATTTTCTTTGCATAGGGTCTCACCCTCGGCACCGGTCAATGCAACGTAAAGGCATACAACCGACAATTACGCGACCTGATCATTGCAGGCAAAGCAAAACCGAGCTTCGTCGTCTCGCACGAGATCAGCATCGACGAGGCGGAGGTTGCGTATGACAAGTTTGATAAGAGGGTAGATGGATACACCAAGGTTATCATTCATCCGAATGGCGGTTTCCAAGGAAAGCAGCCGCCGGTTGTGGCGTCGACGTTGTAGTTCTGTTTTGGACCAGGGGCTGGGGGTGTTGAGGGGTGTTGAACGTGAAGTTGTTTTTGGGTTGTAAAGGTGAATGAATCCTTTGATAGGACTGATTTTGATGTAATGAATTACCTCAGCTTGGTCACTCAGTGTAGCATATCACAGTCCCGATATGCCAGAAGGAGGCAGCCAGGTGCATTGACTCAGTCTTCAGGTCTATTGAGAGTGTTCTACTCTAGCACCTAAGTAACAACGACCAAGCCATGAGACCGTCCATACTCGATAGCATCCGACGAGACCCTCTCACATCCCCTGACATAGACGCACTCCACACTCGCCTTATCATCTGCCGTCTGAGTGTCCACAAGCGCTTTGATAGTAACGCCCGTGATCTCAGTAAATGATAGATTAAGCACTTTCAAGGTCTTCAACGCGTCAACAAAAACTGCAACCGTGGAATCTTCAATCCCCATAATATGCGCAACATTCAGCGTATGCAGATGCGATCCAGCCCGGAGTATTGGAAAGAGAGACGCGGCCGTGATACGAAAACAGCTATCCACGTGTAATACGTCCAGAGGCACTTTCGCCTCCGTCACAAAGGCCTGCAGCGTAAGGTGCGTGACCCACGGAACATCGCTGAAGATGAGTGTCGTTAGATTCGGAAGGTCAAGAGATTGAGGCTGGGGGTCTTCGGAGTTTTCATCGACTGTAGCGAATGGGAGAGCTTCGAGTGCTGCGCCACCGCGAATGCGGAGAAACTCGAGGGTAGATGGGAGACCAAAAGAGCCGCCAATGTAGAGGCCGCTGATATCAAGCTTTTTGAGATGTGGGAAGTCCGCTGGGTTAAATGAAGGCGGGTAAGGGACGAATATTTGTGGGTCGGAATGCAGACGTAGTTCACTGAGGTTTGATATGGGGAGTGGCATTGAAGGGTCTATGAGGCGGGGAATGTAGAGGGCTGGAACGTAGTTTTCGATCACACCAGACTCAGTGGTTCCGAGGGTGATGCTTTGTAGATTAGGTAGGGATGGCGGCCAGTTTGTGTCGGCTGTGCGTGATTTCGAAGCGCTGTGAATCTCAATTCGTTCGAGTCTAGGGAGAGTGGATAGGAGTTTCGTGAGCGTTGCTTGGGGTATCGTGGTTTGCGAGGATACTAGAAGCGTCTTGAGATTCTTGGAGCCTTTGAAGAGGTCGTGAATGGCCTCTGGGGAGGATGGAGATAGAATCTCGAGGTGTTGGAGGTTTGGACATCGGCTGATGTATTCGAGACTTCTGTGGATAGAGGCTTTAGTGACGTTGGTCACAATGGCATGGGTGAGCATTGCTTTTGAACGTCGGATATACGCCAGGACGGAAGACCAATGAATTTTGCTGCGGGCTCCGGTAAAGTCGATGCGCATGAACAAGTCGGGCAAAGAGGAGAGAAATCGATCCCATCCCTTCGAGACTCGTAGAATAGCACTATCCAGGTTAGATACGTATTGAAAGACGGCCTGTGTACTTACACAATTTGTCTAAAATCATAATGATCCACAACCATTCTCGCTATTTCTAGCGGGAATACACTGAACGGATCATAGCATTTTGATACCAACTTCTCGTGAAGCTTCGTATGCATTTGCTCCACAACCTGTGTGGATTAGTACTAAGCCAGCTGATACAGTACATATGCAACGCACCTGTCGTCTTGAATTATCCTTTGGTAAAGTCTTCAGCGCGTATGCATAGACTTCGAGGGCCTTTTCAGGCTTTCCGTCCAACAGCAGTGCTTTAGCACAGCGCAGGTAGCCCTATAGGCGATCAGCATATGAATCAAGAGAATGACCAGGGTTCGCACTCGCTCATCTTGTTTGTCCCGCTTGATCATAAGCCTAGCATCCTTCAAAGCTTGATCGTATCGCACTAGTTTGGTGTATGTTGCTGCTCGATTGTCAAGCACCGAGAGTGCATCTACATCAGGACATTTTAGTGCCTGAGGCACCAAGTTAGAAAGTCATTTCAGTCTCCATAGCAGTTGCAATCACAACGCGCTATTGAGAAGGAAAGACAGGGTCCTACCTCTGTAAAGGCGCTAATTGCACCGTCCCAATTGCCTTGGCCGTATAGATTCTGGCCCTGCCGTTGGAGCAGCGCGGCTTCTCCTAGTTGATAGGTCAACAATGCTCAAGCCGAGCAACTGGTCCAGAATCAAAGAAATACCTCTCGATCCCATTATCAGCCATCCACCCTAGCCAGAGTCAACACCATGAAGATCATTGTTCTTGATAGCCGTTGAGCTCCGGTGTGACGAAGTGCGGTCAACCTGGCAACGGGACGCCACAGAACGGGCGGGGCCGGCGTCTCTGGTCCGTCTCGCCCTCCGCACAATGGTCGGTGTTTACTTTCTTCCCGTTTCGGAGTTTTGACTTAACAACCAAACCCTCGTCCGAGGATTACTCTCGGTTTAATTATCTACCTTGTTTTAGGCTGCTTGCAGGACAAGCACGTCCGCCATGGAGTCGCAGGGGGATCTGCAGGCTGCTTCCACCTACATCAATAATGTCTTACTAGCACGGGGTCTGGTCAAGAGCGGCCGACCGATCGATTTTGCGAACCCGGAGAATGAAGAAGGCGGGGTGGCCAACACCATGGCCAGGATCATCAACTTGGTGAATGACTTGGTTCTGCGACGAGATGTAGGTTGTTGTGTATACCTTGCAGGAGCTTTGGCTAATAAGTTCCAGCGCGAATCAGAGCATCGAGAGAATCTAGCTACGACGATTCGGACATTGCGAGCGGAGGATTCCCATAAGGCGGTGGAGATTGTATGTGCAGTGAATGTCAGTTTCAACGGGGCGTATACTAAGAGTGTAGGAAAAACTTCAAACCAAGAAGTCCGAACTGTCGCGATCGCTTGCGCTAGCTGAAGCACAAGAACGCGCGCTTAAGACCAACATGTCGAGCGCAGAGGCAACCATCCGAGGATTAAAAGACCAAGTCCAGCGCATGAAGACGAACGTGCAACAAGTCCGATCCCAGTGCGCCAACGACATCCGCAAGCGTGATCTCGAGCTACAGAAACTGAAGGCTCACCTGGCGGACCGGCAACGAGGGAAGCGGGATGGACTGGGTGTGACAACTATCAACATCAACCCCGCCGCTAGTCAGTCGTCGAGAAGATATCTGTCAGGGGGCGAGGGGGTGCATGATCCGGGATATAGCTTGAAGCAGGAAACGAACGAGTTCCTTACGCAATTGCTGCAGAACCTCAGCGACGAGAACGACTCCCTCATCTCCCTTGCGCGAAACACTGTACATACCTTGAAGGACTTGCAAGGGTTGTCGTCGGAAGAAGATGCAGCTGCTGAAAACGGATACTCGCAGGGCGCAGCTAGTACAGCCCAGAGGTCAACTTACGGTGGCCATGCTGCCACAAGTCTACCCGCATCATGCGAAGAACTATCCAGCGAGATGGAGCAAGTGCTGGAGCATCTACAAACACTGCTCACGAACCCGTCGTTTGTTCCATTGGAAGAGGTCGAGGTGCGCGACGAAGAAATCAAACGTCTGCGCGAAGGCTGGGAGAAGATGGAGAGCCGGTGGAGGCAAGCAGTTACGATGATGGATGGCTGGCACAAGCGGATTGCACATGGGGGAGGTTCCGTCAGAGCGGAAGAACTCCGCATGGGCTTGAAGCTCGATGTCCATGTCGACCCAAGGCACTCTCACATCAGAGACAGCGACGTTGCTATGCCGTCGCCGATCTTCGAAGACCAAGAAGACGAAGATAATGAATACTTCGGGGCAGAGGCGACAGAGGCAGAGCCAGAGCCAGAGCCAGAAGACGACACACCCGCTTCAGAGGAGCAACCACAGTCCAGTTCTAGTCGAGCCCTGAAAGAGCGGACCGATAATACCGCGTCATCGAAACAACCAGCACGGAAAGAGGTAGCCTTTTCAGAAAAAGGGCGCAAATCCTCGTCCAAACAAAAGCAAGAAGAGGACGACACGGTGCCAATCAAAGCCCATCAATCCGATGCCGTAACAAGGCGGCCATCAAGGAAGCGAGTTGAGCCTAAGGGACCGCGTCCAGTAAGTAGCATGCTGTGCGAACCGATCAAACCACCGACTTATCTAACCATTGCAATCGACAGGCCCCTACGCGGATGAGCGTATCCCAGAAACTGGCAGCCGCCGAACACGAGGCACGCGCAGCAGAAAAGGCGCGCCGAGAGCAAGAGAGTCGAAAGAGGAGTCGCGGTGGTAAAGTCACGCGAAAGAAGACAGGCGATCGGCGACGGAGCACGCTGACAAGCGATGAGCTGGGGGAGCTGATGGGGATGAAGTAGCGTCATATACCCCTTTTCGTTTCTTCACTGTTTAATATTTTTGTTCTGTTGAATAATTTTGTCAAGAATAACCCACCACTACTCTAATGAAGTCACGGCAACAATCAACCTCGGCAAAAATAAACTTCGGTTGTCTCCAATTCTACTTAACGCCTCCACTCTCCGCATCTAGAGCCATGATTTATCAATTTCCCTAAACGTCTATTGCTCTGGACTCAGGTCTTTTCAAAAAGAAAAATGCCTGACACATTCACAGGCTGGGTCGCGCATGACCCCAAATCCCCACTTACCTATGAAGCCTTCACGCCAAAGCCTTTCGAAGAAACCGACATTGAAATCCAAATCACCCACTGCGGCATCTGCGGCAGCGACATCCACACCATCCGCTCGGGCTGGGCACCAGCCGACTACCCCTGCGTCGTGGGTCACGAGATAATTGGGACAGCAACGCGCATCGGCAGCGCAGCCAGCAACAAACAAGGCATACAAGTAGGCGACCGCGTCGGAGTCGGCGCACAATGCTCCTCGTGCCTACGACCTGACTGCGAAGCCTGCGCAGACGGCGAGGAATCTTACTGTCCCAAAATGGTGGGCACATACAATGGCCGATTCCCCGACGGGAGTAAATCCTACGGCGGGTATGCAAACCGATGGCGCGGGCCGGGGCATTTCGTCTTTCGAATCCCGGACAAGCTATCCAGCGCGCAGGCGGCGCCGTTGCTGTGCGGTGGTGTGACGGTTTACGCGCCGCTGCGGCGCTTCGGGGCTGGCCCGGGGAAGAGGGTTGGGGTTGTTGGGATTGGCGGGCTAGGACATATGGGGTTGCTGTTTGCGCGGGCAATGGGGAGCGACTCGGTCATTGCGATTTCGCGATCCTCAAGCAAGAAGGGGGATGCGCTGGGTTCATGGCCGTACAAGCTAGGGGCCGATGCATTTATTGCCACGGGGGAAGACAAGAACTGGGCGAAGACGCACGCCAGGTCCCTGGATATCATCATCTGCACCGTGTCTGGGGAGAATATGCCGCTGTCTGGGTATTTGAGGCTCCTCAAGCGGAATGGGGTCTTTGTGCAGGTTGGTGCACCTGAGGAGCCGTTACCGGCGCTTAGGGCCTTCTCGCTCATCCAGAAGGGTGTTAAGGTGACGGGGTCACAGATTGGATCTCCGGAGGATATTAGGCAGATGCTGGACTTGGCGGCGGAGAAGGGGGTCAAGCCGTGGGTGCAGAGCAGGCCGATGGAGGAGGTGAACTTGGCGTTGGAGGAGATGCATGGGGGGAAGGCGAGATATCGGTATGTTTTGGAGAATGGGAAGAAGACGGGGAGGTTGTAAAGAGAGAGATAGAGGGGCTGGGTTGTCTTTATTTAGATTCTAGACCAAGGTTCGTGTTGCGTTACCGAATCGGGGTAGGGGTGCGAGCGAACTATACCGCATTGGGAAAGGGTTACGATATACGAGGTGGTTACGTTTTACTACGGAGCCAAGATGGAGAAGGGCCAGTAGGCAACAGACAGTGGAACGGGTATAAGAATCGATTTGGACGGAGATTTAGGGATCAAATTCTTTCAATTGTGTCTTTCTTCTAATTGTCTTATCAATTCGCTCCCACGATGTCTGACGGATTTGCTGGCTGGAAAGCCTACTTCTACGACCCGTCCATGGCGGCGGCGGCCATCTTCATTGTTCTCTATGGAATCGTGACAGGCATGCATACATATCACATGTTCCGAACAAGGACGTGGTTTTTCATTCCTTTGGTGCTCGGAGGATACTGTGAGTTTGTCAGAGCTATGTCGTCCAAACCTCGCTAACCAAACCAGTCGAGTTCATTGGGTACATAGGTCGAGCGATATCGTCTTCCCAAACGCCAGACTGGACACTTGGTCCATACATCATGCAGAGTGTCTTGCTGCTAGTTGCGCCAGCGCTCTTTGCCGCAAGTATCTACATGTACCTGGGTCGCATCATCGTGTTGGTGCGGGGCGAAAAGTTCTCCCTCATTCGCGTCGGCTGGATGACCAAGATCTTCGTCGCGGGCGACGTTCTCAGCTTCTTGATGCAGGCATCAGGTACGTTGGTTATGTTGACATCGCCGATAACGTCGAATGCAAGTGCGATTAACAATCGTAGGCGCGGGTCTCCTCGTAACAGACTCGCAACAGACGGGAGAGAATGTCATTGTCGGCGGTCTTTTCGTGCAAATCGCCTTCTTCGGCTTCTTCGTGATCTGCTCATTCATATTCCAACGGCGAATCAGCAGCAACGCCACCGCGCTTGAAAACGCCAGCACGACGCCATGGCTGAAACACTTGTACGCCCTGTACGGCTCAAGCATCCTAATCCTAATTCGATCCATCTTCCGTGTTATCGAATACCTGCAAGGCTGGGATGGTTACCTCCTGAGAAACGAGGCATTTATATACGTGTTTGACGCATTGTTGATGTGGCTGGTGATGTTGATCTTCGTCGTCATCCACCCGAGTGAGGTGAATTGTCTTCTGGGCCGGGGGCGTGTCATGACAACCAAGGGAGGGCTGAGTATCAGCGAAATTGCCGTGTAACGAATATATATAGCGTAACGATAGACCGAGACTTCTTCTCTTTCGCTAAATGGTGTCTAGGGCCTGCTGGGCTCGAACATATCATCTGTCCATCACAGCATACTGCTCTCCAAATATTTCTTCCATGCAGGCATGGATAAATGGTCTCCAATAGTTGTCAAGAGCGTACCAAATTTCTCTTAGAACGCGTGTGCTCCATTCAGCGCCAAACCATACGTCGCGGAGCTGAGGGAATATGGCACAGAAATGAGCAAGAATCACCAGCGCCAGTGGTCGACGGTCCCGCAACCGATCTAGGAATGCTGGTTGTAGTTTGATCGCCCACCGGCCCGCCAGTGCAAAGCCAAGCCCTGCGTGGACGCCCGCCATGAGATCCGCCAAGTGGTCAATTGCCTCTTGATATAGGGCCGAATCATGGAGGATCGGGTCTTGTCGGGTGCACGCTTCGTTGGCCTTGTGCAGTTGCTCGATAGCTACTCGACTCTCTGCTGGAAGGACAGGTTCGTAGTCATTCACGTCACGTATCGATGTCCAAAGGCGGTCTTCAAAAATAGTGTCCATAGCTTGACTCAGGATGTGCTGCACCCCGCGAGTCAGCACAAATGCTTGCACCAAGTCGCCAACCGCAGTATTACCCGGCTCCGGAGTCCGCGGGAAGCCGAAGGCATAAATGACAGTAATGCTGGCAAAAGCAAACATAGCCTTGCCGTTGCTGGAATTTATATTGCCGAGCTGCTCGCGGAAGAGCGTCAGTGCCTGGTCTTGGTGCGAAATAGCGACCTGGAGGTAGTCCTTGGCGGCGTCACCTAGGGTTCTCGGTACTCGTGTGCATGCGATATGGAGGGCCGATAGAGCTAGGATGCCGTGCATGAGAAATTGGTGAAAAAGAGCTTCTTGGGGGACGTGGGTACGCCAGATGGCCTCGGTCTGCTGGCTCCGCGTAAAGATGCCATGAGTCTCATTTACCCATTGTAGCATCAATTCCAAATCGCAGATATTTAAAGGAGGTAAAAACGAATCGCCATTGCTTGCGTTGTTGCTGCGGAACTGGCGGAGCAGGCTAAAATCGGGCGATGGCGGTGCTTGCTGTCGGTCGGAGAGGGCACGCGGGGAACGGGATGGCTCGTCTGTCATCCATCGGAGAGGCCCGGAGGAATCATATTCGCAGTCAGTCTGACGCCGGGCGCAGTTGGCGCATACCGGTCGTGATTCGTCACACTAGAAGTAAATAAGTACGGCGAAAAGAAAGCAGCGGCAATCGAAGGAGACGACTCGGCGAGTAGTAGGAATGGAGCGGGGAAGGGTCCAGGGCAGGGCGGGATTGTACCTTGACTCGTCGACGCTTGCATTCCAAGCAGCCATGGCGAGATTTCTGATGAGACCTTCGTTGCGCCATGAGAGGCTGTCGCAGGCTCACGAGCTTCAAGAATTGAATCAGCCGATGCTCTTTTCCTCATAGTCCAGAGCTTCGAGAAGGATCGGGTTAGTGGGAGTTAATATAGCCAAGGCTGGGGACCAAACTAGGCTGCATCATTTCTTAGCGAACTACTTTAATCATCTAAAACAACGGCGCAGTCATAGTGCATTCCTATAGATTACGGCTTTTAATGAAACTTGCAACGGGTATACGGGTATATTCGACGCGCAAAATGCAATGCCATTATTGACGCCCTCTTTACCCCCCATCTCCTCCTCCTCCACCTCCCTTGGCCCATCTGCGTCGGACTTTCTCATACATAGCTAGCAGCGTGATAAGAGCCATCAGGTCAAATTCGGGCCCATACCCAACCGCCACCTGAAGTTTGCCATTCTTTCGAACGCTCTTGAAGCTGTTGCTGGTAAAAACAGCCACCACCTTCCCATTTTGCTCGTCAATGAGCTTGTAGTTGCGGAGACTGAATAGTAACGGCGATTCCCCATCCGCGCCGACTGAATGGGTTCTCTTCCAGACAAACCATCGGCGCTCCAGTCTCCCATCGGCCATAGGTACAGACATGGGCCACCGGTACTTGGACAGTGCGAGGTTTTGGCATTGGAGGTCCTCCCAGATCATGGCCCCAGCATGTTGCGGGTCTCCCAGGCCGACTTTACAATGCCGCGAAAGATGGAGGAACTTGCAGACGCCTGCTACCGGCTCCTTGCTGTTTTCGCCAGCATGGAGCGTTATGTCTGCCTTGAGCGGTTTCAGGTGCGAGTTGTACACGTAGTAGAGGTGGTTCTTATTCACATCCGACACGCGGTAGTCATAACGAATGGGTGTATGGTAGATGTGGTATACCCGTGAGTGGGCTAGGTCAACGCTTTGAGTGTCCGCGGAATCCGAGCCCCGTGATGGTGGATCTCGTAGCTTGACATCGGCGTGGCCAAACGGATTGGTCATCTTGCGATCATTCAATGAGTGTAGAAACTGCTGGTTGAGGAAGACGTATGACGGGGGACTCGCGCTTCCTTATATGCTCTCGCCATGCTTCAATCTGGAATGCCCCAGTACCCGAAACTGGAGATACGAGCTTGGCATGGCAGGGCCGGGCGATCTCTTCATTTAATGGTACCTTTCCAAGATCGCCCCAAACTTCATCCACTAAGAGATGATTCATAGCGCCCATGTGTTGAAGAACCAGCTTTCTGGAGTCCGGACTCACCTCGTCCGGCGCTGCGTCCTTTTGCCCAATCATAAGACCCAACGAATACGATCATCCATAATTGGCTTAGTGTGTGTAAGGCGCAAGACCCTGTCTCTTGGCACAGCCTTACGAGCGCAGCCTTACGAGTCATGCGCCCGCAAGGAGTATACAGTTCACGAGGTTTCTAACACGTAAAATATGATCCAGATAGACTTGCAACTGGCATTATCCGAGTATATTTGTCTCGGAAATACGAGCTCTACTCGCATAGCGCCGGATTTTGCTTTTCGAACATGGTCTGACCTAGTTATTTGATCAAGCAACCTCGTATACTCAGTTCTGGACACATAGATATCTCTCAATAGGCTTGAGTAATACTCAAGCAGTGATCTACTCGGCTGAATATTGTGACTTAGCTAAGCTGCTAAGTAGGACTCCCTTCTGACTTTGTGGGTTAGCATCTATAGTCTTCCTGATCACGTGTCGTCACATGACGCCAAGGCTCCGCGGCATTGAGCATCATAATAACACCGCGAGAAAATGATGGATGCGCTCTCGAGCTTCTCAACAAACAAGACAAAGCCGCGGTCGCGGCTGGATCCAACATACAATGCTAATGGCAAGCGAATGATATTTAATTTTGAAAATTCCTGAACTTGACGGTCTCATTGATCTTCTGAACCGCGTCGAGCTCAATCCTCCGCGGTACCCAAACGACAACTTTACCACCCAACGCTATACACATACGAGCTTCTATAGACAAAATGAGCTTTCCAACATTCAACTTCGGCGCGAATACTGGTCCTGCGACTCCTGGAAAGTCACGTAACCCATTCGCGAATGGCGAGCCCCCGTCTGCGTCCAATTCTTTCACTCCGCAGGGCCCTCCTCCTTCTACCATATACGGCGGCTCCCAGATGAGCACCAGATCGCCGGGAAACTCAAACCCAATCTTCAATAGATCCGAGCTGTTGAGGGACAGCATATTTGGCTCATCCGTGGACTCGCCCGATTTTACCTCCCGGACGAGGAAGGCCGCGCCGGCAAAGCGGTTTACGGCTTCAGAATCTCTGTTCGACGTCTCACATGGTCCTGATTTTGGCGATTCAACGAATTGGGGCGCATCGAATGGCTTTGAGCCGCACATGTCCGGAGGGCTCGGTGTAGATGAAGACAACGGGCCTATGGAGGAAGAATACGAAGACGTGCAGACAGAAAAGACGACGGGATCGGGATTAAACTTCCTCGACTCGCACATTAGCAGCACAGGACCCTCGTTAATACCAGCACAGCGCAAACCCATCTCCACAAATGCTGAAAATGCCAAACGACCCAAGCTTGACGACAAGTGGGGGACCCAGTCGCCTTTGCGCAATGCGAAGTTGTCTCCGAAAAAGAACTCAACAATACCAGCTATCATACGGAATTTCTCATCGAGAGCTCGTAAAGCGGCTGCTAACGAATCGCTTGACTTCATCATTCGCACTGAAGACGAGATATCCCGCATGTACGATGAGACCAAACAGGCGCATTATAACGATGAGAATCTGCAGGTGGCCATAGGAAAAATTTGCGCTGATTTGTCTACTGCGTGGTACAAGACACCGGACAACAAAGCTTCTGGTACAGTTATTGGCCCCGGAGATAGCGCCGCGAATTCTACGAAGGCAGGCTTTCTGGGATCGTTGTTGCTACAGCTTCACCATCCACCTGCCGCTCCAAGATCACCAGGTTTTTCGAATGGGTTTGGATTTGCGGCTCCGCGGTTCCCCTTTGGCGGGCGATCGGCATCTGCTCCAATTCCTAAAGTTCTTTTGGACTGGCTGAACACAAACGATTCTCTGTCAGCCGAGTATACAGCTCTAAAGCAAGTGGGACCTGACCCTACCGCATCGTCAAACTTCTGGGAGATTGTAATTGCTGCTATCCTGCGAGGCCAGCTCTCGGAAGCGTCTCAGCTTTTGCGGTCTGCTGATTTCAACTACGCTCGCTCCGCGCTGGAGGATGGTTTGCCGCAGGCGGGTTACCGCGGAGCGCAGTTGCAAAATATCCAAAGATGCATCAACAAGGCACTTCAGGTGCTGGAGGCGTGCCCTAGCGTTCATAATGACGACTGGGATGTCCGCGATGCAGAGTGGTCGCTTTACCGAAAACGCGTCCATGCTGCGTTAACTGATCTGGAAGAATTCGCCGAAGGAGAAGAGCAGCCCGCACCAGCGCCCACAACGAGCAATATGTTCCAGGCCGTCAACTTCGGGCTGGGCCCAAATGCTTTCCAGGGGCCTTCATTTACCGAGTCTGCACGTATGGCTGAAAGTCGAGTGCCGTGGGCCATATACCAAAAACTGCGGTCACTGTACCGAATTATACTTGGTGACCCGGGGGCTATCATGAATAATTCGGAGAACTGGGTGGAAGCCACGATTGGTCTAACCGCTTGGTGGGATGGCGAGGACGATGATGGACCCAGCCCTCCCACATTCCTACGCCGTGGGCCGTCGTTGTCAGGAGATCCTTATCTTCGCCGCCTAAGCCTGGCTTTCAAGCACGCAACCACCGCAGAGGGGGACGAGAAGGGTTTCCGCATCAACTCGCTCAGCGGAGTTGAGGTCGGACTGGCCGCTGTTTTTGAAGACGACGTTGAGGGTGTGCTGGGATTGCTCCAGACCTGGTCACTCTGTGTGGCCGCCGCCGTGGCGGAAGTTGCCTCGGTCGGTGGCTGGCTGAAGGCGAAAAACAATGCCAAACCGTCTGGTCTCAACGATAATGACCTTATGGTACTCTCGTACGGTCAAGACGACGGTCCCGCAGGGGTGAACCTAGACGATGTTCTGATTGCGTACGCTACTGCTCTTTTCGAGAGGCCGTCAACTCGAAATGAGCCAGAGGGCCGGGAGGGGTGGGAGTTAGCGCTTGAGGTTCTAAGCAGGCTAGATGACAATCAGAAGATGCAAAAGAGCGTTTCGGAACTGCTGGACAAGCTTCCGCTCGACACGGCCGAGCAGATGGACAAGGTTGTTCTACTGTGCTCAGAGTTGGGGTTGATCAAGGAGGGTCGGCGTGTTTCTGAGGTACGTGCATACACAGAATATCAATAAGCAGTCTGCTAACTTTTTCAGCGCTATGGTGATCTCACTGTCGAGAACTCGGAGCAATATGGTCTAGCGCTGGTTTGCTATGCTCGCGCGCACAACCGTCGCAAGGTCAAGTCCGTCGTCGACCTGCTCATCTCGTACAGCCTTGTCCAGTCTCGCGCGTACCCTGCCTCGAATGACCTAGATGAGCAGCTGCGGACCCTAATCCGAGAGCCCAAGACGTGCCTCTCGGCAATCGCAAGTGCCGACGAGGAGGCTGCTTCGATCCTGCAGTTCTATTTCAGTGGTTACGCGACGCTGCGACGATTCTACGAGACACGCGACGAAGCAGTTGCCCTTTCAGCAGGCCAGAAGCCCCGCTACAAGCCGCTTGCCAGACGGCGCGCTGCAGCGCAGGCCCTGGTTGCTGCCATCACCAGCGCTGCCGACAGCATTTACGGAGGGCTATACGACCCAGATCGCGACTCGGCTATTCAAGTCGACGGTCTCCTAGCTCTTTTGGGCGAGGCTCTACCTCTTATCCACCGTATGTCCTTTTCTCTTTTTCAAAATGACAAGTCACTAACTGGCTAGAATCTTCCTCCATCCTGAACCCCTCCCAGCAATTCGCGATCCTCTCCGCCATTGAGGACCTCGAAACCGTTACCCCCCGCGTCTATGCACAATGCGAAGAGTGCTTCCGCTCGACCCTTCTCGAGTACTACTCCAAACACACCGGCAAAGCCACCGATTCCTCCGTCCTCCCTCCATCGCCGCGCGCCCTCCTCAAAAAGTCTGTCTCGTCCCTGACAGGCTCAAGCACGTTCTCTATCATCGGTAGCGACATGCTAGGAGCGCGCACGCGCTCGTCCTCCGGATCTGCCGATGGCTCCGGCGTGCTCGTGCCGCGGGCCAGCGAAAAGACACAGGCGGAACGCGAATGGGATTGGCGTGCCGGACTGCCGGAAGACACCAAGGGCGAGGACATACTCCGGATGTTGCGGTTGGGACTGGCGAACGGGCTGAGTTTGGGGGCTCTGGGCGCGGTCTACTAAACTTCTATGATATTCTTCGTCTCTTAGTAATTGCATGGTTTGCAGGGCATGTATGTACTCTAGAAATTACAAATATGGAGGGGGATTCATTCCCACGTTTGCCACAGCCGTCATAACCACACGTCGGCGGAATAGCTGGAGATAAGAGTACGCCGTACTCCGTATACTCCGGAAAGTCGACAGGAGAGCCATGAGTATGAGTATGAGTATGAGTATGACGTTGAAGTTTTCAGCCTCACTGGATCCTGCATCACATGATTGGCTGAGCCACCGTGAGTCAAATCCCGCCGTTCTGAAGTTTGAACCTCACTCTGCCACACTCTCGGCGACTCTGAAACTCCTGCACATGGCCTGACCAAGCAGTGCGTAATGACGTGAGTAATCAGGCAGGCAAACCCGCCAAGGCAGCGAACACCGCGCACTCGGAAAGGTCACAGAGTCAACCATCTCCGAGTCACCAGCTATCCCCGAAGCGACGAGACAAGACGAGACGAGACGATGACTGATAGTGATGACATGACCAACCATCCCATCCCAGCTGAAAAGAAGCGCCAGCAAACGCCCGGCCCCAAATTAGATCGCTCGCCAGCGGGAACTCGGGGGCCTAGTATACGCCGTCCCTGCCAGTCGCAGTCCGCACGCGCTGCATGGCCACTAATGCAGTCTAGGCCGCCCCAGGGCAGTGGATACGCTATGCTGATCACTGGGGCTGGGCACGGGCGTGTTCAGCCCTGACTGTCCTGCACCTA